TGCTAAGTAAAATCAGACACCCTCATGGTCAGAATGATGAGGATCGGCTGAAAAAGCAGGGGGGCAACGTAAAACAAACACCGAAAGCGCATTGCTTAGAATGGGGGCGCATGGGCTTATGCAAAGCGAATTCGGGCGTCTCATGGCGACGCAAAGCCTCATGAAAGCCAGGTACATAGTTAGGCGCTCACCAGTGAACACCTAACTGGGGGCAATTGTTGGGGTAGTAGAGAGGAGCCCATGAAAGTTAAGAGCCTATTGGGCCTTGTTGGGATAGTGGAAAGGAGCTCATGAAAGTTAGGAGCCTGTTGGGCCTGAAGCCCATTTATGGCCCATAAGGGTATGACCTAGGTGACTATAGAGGAGCAGGGGCGCATGACGACAAAATAGGCTCGCAGACAAGGAAGTACAGGTGGACAAGGTCGGAAGGGCGCCACGAGGCCAGTGGTCCCCCTATGCGCCTCGACGTGGAAAACGGACGGTATGCCACGTGTAGGCGCGTAGGCGCCAGGGGAGACCGAGCATTTAATGCTAGGCTGACGTAAGGCTTGGTGGCAGGAGTTGGTCGAAGCTTGGTCGAGGAGCTCGAGTAGTATAAATAGCACTTGGTAGGTAGCATTTAAGCAGGTGGGTCTTTCTCACACTAAACTTCTTTCTTCACTTCTCTCTCTAGAATAGCTTCTGACTTGATCGTCGGAGTGCTAACGGACGGGTCTAGCCCTCCCGGCGCCCGTCCTGCAGGGTCCAAGCGCTAGGCGCGGAGCAAGTGGAAGAATCTCGAGGGTGAGAGAGTATCACGGCTTCAACACTTATTTATAGACACTTACGCTCAACTTTGGTCGGATTAAATGGTAGGAAAGTTTAGTCTACTATGAATACCTTTTCAGATCAACATAACAACGTTATTTTTGAACACCGATAAGGTGTCCCACCGGACGACCATTAGTCTTAATGATTGATCGTATTTTGTTCCTTTGTCGTAGGATTCCAAGTTCAACACTAACAAGGCAATACTATATAACGGTCGACCGTTGTATTTATGAGATTGATCATTTTATTGAACATAGCTAAATGGAAAATAGTACATTTGGTTGACCAATCCATCAAAGAGGTCAACCATTTTGTCCAAGTCACCGTAGCAAAGTCCTAATGGAAGACATTAATGAAAATGTAAGAGGATAAGCCTTTGGAATTAAACTTTGATTACCTTTTAATATGTGAGCGGATAAGGTACAAAATATTGTTCTACAAAACGTAAATCTGGAATCCTCTATCAAGATGTAATCTAATAATCCAAAATTATTTAAGAGACGAGGAGGGTCGTACTAATTTTGCACTCCTCTATCTTTTTTTATACGAAATCCAAATGAGAGAGGAGGGACTTTTGATAAGTCAAAAGCTATATTTTCTAATATCTCATTTTTCACAATAGAATAATATCTCATTTGTTTCAACTCGGAATTGAACAGAACATGTTGCCTAAAGCAAGAGAGCCGGTCTTGTAGGTTGTCAATTCTCCATGGAGGGAAGAACCCTTCGATGAAAGCTTTTACTAGAAATTCCCATGTATAGAATTTGTAAGACGGTTAGTATTAGCAATCCCTTTGCTTTTCCCCATAGGGAGAAAGGAAAGAGGTGTCTGGGTATTGCATGTGGCTCAATACTTCGATGTTGAACAGAGTCACATATTTTCAGAATATTTTAATAAGCACAACTAGGTTTTCATTTACACGGCCATCAAAACGTCTAACATTTTGGATTATGTGAATTGTGGATGTTTGAATCTCAAAATCCAGAACAGTTATAGGTGGAGGGATGATGTTGAAACCTATGTTCAGCAACTTACACTCTGTTTTTGTAAGAAGGAAAGGGAGGGGGAGGGAAAATGGGAAAGGAAAGCGCGCATCACTAGGTATTTTTCGTTGTTTTTTAAGTTTGCTACAGAGGGAAGGGGAAGGAAATTAGAGGTGAAGTGTACTGTGATACCCATCCCTTCAATTTGGAGAGAAAGTAGCTTTTTCATTCTTTCCCCCTTTCTTTTTATTTTCCGTTACTTGTTTGTGGGGTGTAACTTGTGAAACTGTTTTCATTATTATATATTTACTAGCTTCCAAATGTTTTGTTATTTTATTTTAATTGGTGATAATAGGTCGGAGGTATTAAAACCTTTCCGCACTTATTTTTTAGTTATTATTCAACGACAACCTTTTTTTTAGTTTATGATCTTATTAGTTAATAGGGTTAATACCTTAGTTTGGCCCGAAGTTTAGCGTTAGTGACAGTTCTGGCCCCATTTTTCAAATAAGACATTTATGACCCACTTTTGAAATTATTGGACAAATTTGGCCCGACGTTTGGGTTGACCGTTAAAATTGATGGTCAACGATTTTTTCCGTTAGTTACTCAACATATTATACTGAGGTGGCGTCCACCTCATTTTTACTATTAATTAAAAAGAAAAAAGAATTAAAAACATTATTTCTCCTCCTAACCTTCCAGGTTCTCTCTTCTCAAATCGACCCTCCGCCTCTTCAATCCCAATTCCTTTGCTCTGCTTTTTATTCCTCTTCCTCGTTCATGAATTGATGGGCAATGGCAGTGGGATAAATAAATCCCCAAATGAAAGTATGCAAAATGAACAAATACCAAGCCGGAGAGTCGAGCAAAGAAGTCGGAGAGAAGCGGGCACTGGGGAGCCCCGAATCTCTCTGCTCCCATCGACTGCCTCTTCTTCATATTCGATGGCGAGCTGTTACTAATCCCGGAGAGACAAGGCGCCACCAGGGTAGTGCTGATTACAGAGGAGGATTCGCGGATCTACAACTAAGGCGTGACCCAAGACGATTGCCCGGCGCATCTGATTCTAGGGTTGATCGGCAATGTGAATGGGGTTTTGGGGCAGACTTACGAGAGCCCGGTGAGCGTCATCGCCAAGATGGCGGTGATGGGCGATGATGTCTACTCCGCCGCGACATTCGGTCCTTCCTCTCCCGCATCCAACCACTGCTGCACTAGTCTCTTCCGCCTCCAATCACCGTCGCACCAGTCCATCCTGAGTTCCCGGAGAAGAAGATTGGAGGAAGAGAAGAAGGCATCACCTGCCAACCTACCCGACCAGCCAGCAAGGGAGTGAAAGCCATCAGGGAACTCGGGATCTCCAAGCACTCTCGAATTTGATTACTTGGATAACCTCTAGCTCTCCCAAATTCATTCTCCCAATACCAACCTATAATAAATCCATCCCTGCTCCTCTCTTCCCGTAGCCCAATCCGATGGGATTTGATTTTGGAACGGAATCTGAACGGAGAGCGACGGCGGATGTGGAGTAAGGATAGAGAGAGTTGTTTTAGGGATTTTTAGTTTCACATTTTTTATATATTTAATTTTCAATTTTAATTTAATTTTTTTTTCTTGTCAAATAATGATGTGGCAGCCACATCATAGCCATCTCAGCATAGTCATTCACGAAAAAAGTCATTGACCGTCAATTTTAACAGTCAATCCAAACGTCGGGCCAAATTTGTCCAATAATTTCAAAAGTGGGCCATAAATGTCTTATTTGAAAAATGGGGCCAGAATTGTCACTAACGCTAAACTTCGTGCCATACTAGAGTATTAACCCTAGTTAATAAAACATTATTGTTTGCTACGTAACATAAAAATTGGGTGCTTAATTGTTTATCAATAATGCAATGACTAATTATATCCACCTTTATTTACAACAAGGAATTATAATGGGAGTGTTAATTAGTGGATAGTTACCATCCATTTTGGTATAATGTTATATGTTATTACTCCGCGATTTGATATAATTTATAAATTTATGAACAATACAATAATTTTTTAACAAATTCAGGTTAAATCGGGCGAAAGTGATAGGACCATTATCTCTCATCCCACTATTCATAAATAATTAAAATAATATCAATACATAATTAAACTATTTTGCTATTATATAACCAATAAAATAACGTATCTATCACAATTTTTAATGTACTTTTTCTTCCTATTTTCTCTTTTACTTTTCTCTTCCCTCCATTTTCCTCTCTTCCAAATTTTACTCCGAGGTGATGAGTCTCATAAATTGGGATCATTTGTTGGCTTCATGCTCGTATTTTGTTTGGATTTTGTGCAAATCTTGGTCATCTATGTTTTCTAGACGGGTGAAAATGTTTGATCGAGTATTTGAATGCTTTGCTGGTGGAAGTGTTGTTTTTAGAGGTGGCAATTATGATTCATATCCATGAATTTAATCCAATTTAATCCGTTCATTAAAATATTTAATTACAAATATAAATGGAAAGAGAATTAGGGACCCAACTCTAAACAAAAAAATACATGCAGGTAGTAGCTACACAAAACAATACATGCATTGTTTTACAACTTGACACTTCTAAACGTTGTATTGTGAACGGTACATGTATTCAATAAATACAACACCTACAATCGTAACTTCCAAACCAAATATTGTTAACGGATCACCATTACCTCTTTTTTTTTTTTTTTTTTTTTGCTATGGGATCATGTGACATTGTAAAAATATTGACTAATTAAATTATCTGAAAACATTTCACTTTAGAAAAAAATCAAACCAACTATTATATGAAATGTAGATATTCCAGTTTGTTTGGTGGATCAACTTAACAGATCCAATTATTAAATGAAATCAGACTGCTGCATGCTTCTTTCTTGTTTTCCATCCTGACAGTGACAAGTGACAATAACAACCTTTGTTGGTTAAGCTAGATAAGTAACTACTGTTCCACACAATTCTGCCACCCAAAGAGAGATTAGCTATACGTATCCGTTTTCGAATTAATGGTTCGTCGAAACTTAATCAATCGAGTTCTACATCTTAACAGCAACAAAAAAAAAAAGGCTATAAAATTCCCAATCTTCCTCTCCCAACGTCTAACTAGAACAATCAGCCATTACTAATTAACCAGCTCCATCAATTCTTCGTTTCTCGGAAGCTTTATAGCCCAGGAATTAAGGAGAAGATGTCGAACAATATCGTCGACGACGACAGCCGGCCCATGCGTACTGGTACTAATTTCCTAATTAGCTTATACCCATTAGTAGTTTAATTACTGATTAACTCTGTATTAATTGATTGCTAATTATATGTTTATCCAGGGACCTGGGTAACCGGCAGTGCGCACATAATAACGGCTGTGATTGGTTCAGGGGTGCTGTCCCTGGCTTGGGCTATTGGGCAGCTCGGTTGGATTGCCGGTCCGGCCGTTCTTGTCGCCTTCTCGCTCGTAACTCTTTTCACGTCCTCTCTACTGGCCGACGCCTACCGCCATCCCGACCCCGTCACCGGCCCAGCCCGCAACTACACGTACATGGATGCCGTCAGGGCCCAATTAGGCGGGCGTAAGGTCCACCTATGCGGCTTGGCCCAGTGTATTAATCTGGTCGGGGTCAACGTGGGTTACACCGTCACCGCCGCCATCAGCATGGCGTACGTTAAGCTTTACACGCATTATTTAATTTATATAAATACACATTTCCTTTAAGTATGCATTATTATTTTGTTATTTTTAACACATTTCTTTCCCGTTATGCAAGTTTTTAATTAATCAAAATTTAAAACTTGTATTTACCTGCAGGGCTGTGGAGAGTTCGTGGAGTTGTTTCCACGACGGGTTCAGGGAGGAGGACAAGTGCGACGTGTCGAGCACGCGCTACATGATCATCTATGGATGCGTCCAGCTGGTCCTTTGCCAGGTCCCCAACTTCCAGAAGCTGTCGTGGATCTCCATCCTGGCCGCCGTCATGTCGGCCACCTATTCCGTCATTGGCTTGGGTTTGTCCGTAGCCAAAGTAGCTGGTAAAATATGATATTTGTCACCTGCGTGTCCGTTATCATCCGTTATCGTGAGTTTAGTTTAATTGGATATAATAATAATAATAATTAATAAATGAATTGAATGAAGGAGGTGGGACAAAGGCGGCCACGACGACGGTGGGGTTACACGTGTCAGAGGGTCATGAATTGTGGAGAGTTTTCCGAGCTATCGGCGACATCGCCTTTGCTTATTCCTACTCCACCGTCCTCATCGAGATCCAGGCAAGTCCTTTCTGGCTGTAGTATAGTTCATAGTGGATTGGCCCACGTTGAATTAGTTGATTTCGGAGCAAATATTGACTCAAACCAAAAAATTTAAGTCGGATTTAGAGTTATTTCGGTTTAAGGATATAAAAACAAACATGTTTGAAATTTCATCAAAGAATACAAATTATCATATATATGTGATAATGGTTTACCCAGCACACGTCCTTGTACAGATATTCAGATTCTCACATATTTAACGAAACTAAATACAAATTGCATAAAAACGATAAAAGAAACACCACCGAGAGCAATAATCCTACAAGAAGCGCATCATTTTTGTCTATCACTACTACACTCCAAATACATGTTTTCCAATTCGTAGCCAATTTTTTTTTACATGGTAGTATGGTACCATTTTAATGAGTAAATTTGGTAATTCTGAGACATGGATAGTACGGCTTGGCCCACTTGCTCACACCCAGTCCAAAAGACATGCAAGTTACTCGGATTCAGATCATTCGAGTTTCGTGTCATAAAAACTTCAATTCAATTCTAATTTTTGCACGGAATTAACGACTCGAGTCATCATTTGCCAGTTCTACATCTCTGGATCAATTATTGTTTCATTGTTTTGCATGATGCATTGCAGGACACCCTAAGATCGAGCCCGCCGGAGAACAGAACAATGAAGAGGGCAAGCTTCGTGGGCATCACAGTCACCACCCTCTTCTACCTTCTCTGCGGTTGTGTTGGCTACGCAGCCTTTGGGAAAGCCGCGCCGGGGAACTTGCTCTCCGGAACTGGATTCCGCCAGCCTCTCTGGCTCGTCAACATCGCCAACATCTGCGTAGCAGTCCACCTAGTCGGAGCCTACCAGGTCCAAATCATCCCCTTAACCTAAGTCATCGAAACGTGCTTTAAAGTATAAAAATTTACGCTTTATTAATATTTCTAGGTCACCGATCAAAATACTTCTACGTAGAATTATGTTTCTCATTAACAAGTGTAGATTTTGCAACGTACGGTGGCAGGTGTTTTGCCAGCCAATCTTCAGCTTCGTGGAGTCCAGGTGCCGTCAGAGGTGGCCGGAGAGCAAGTTCGTGACCATGGAGCACCCCGTCACCGTTGGTGGTGGCACGACGACGGCGACCGTCTGCCACGTCAACTGGTTCAGGTTGGTGTGGAGGTCTGCGTACGTGGTGGTGACGACAGCCCTGGCCATGACTTTCCCATTCTTCAACGACTTTCTCAGCCTCGTCGGGGCGGCGTCGTTCTGGCCGTTGACGGTCTACTTCCCCGTCGCGATGTACATTTCCCGGGCCAAAATCCCCAAGTTCTCCTTCACCTGGGCTTGGCTGCAATGCTTGAGTTGGGCCTGTCTCGTGGTTTCGCTTGTCGCGGCCGCTGGATCGGTGGAGGGCCTGATCCAGTCCATGAAAAAGTACCACCCGTTCAAGAGTTGATCGATGTTCTTGAGCCCAGATTCTTAACCCAGCAAATCTCATATATATTTTACATTCTCAACGAGCCTTTATTTTTTTTTTACAATTCAACAAGCCTTTATGATTTGTCCTTCAACGATAAGAATTTGGGGCTAAGATCAGGTGACTAAGGGGGTCCTTTAGTCATATGACTAACCCAATCTCAACCATTGATGCTCATTAAAATCTAATAGTTCAGATTTATCTGATTTAATGAAGGGCAAGATGGTAACTACTTAATTTATTTATTTAACAATTAAAATAAAAAAATAAAAAAGAGCTTTGTCCATTCGACTTCTCCGATCGGCCGCCGGTGGGATTTTGTACCTGCCGCCGGTCCTGGAAATTTTCCGAGGCGGTGGGATTATTTTCACAATGGCAGACCACCGTCGGCATGATTACTACGGCCGTGAGGATCAAGACCAGTACGGTGCCGGCGGCACGATGAAGAGCATGCTGCCGGAGCGCGGACCTTCCACACAGCAGATTCTAGCCGTGGTCACACTCCTCCGCTGGGCGGGTTCCTGCTGCTGGTAGCGGGCCTCGTGTTCGCGGCGACGCTGATCGGGCTCGCGGTGGTGACGCCGGTGTTCGTGATATGCAGCCCGGTGATCGTGCCGGCGGCGCTGGCGATCGGGATGGCAGTGATGGGGTTCCTGACGTCCGGCGCGTTCGGGATCACGGCGCTGTCGTGGATGGCGAACTATATTTGCCGGACGAGGGTCGGGGCGGTAGTGCCGGAGCAGATGGAGCTTCGCGGCGGGCCCAGGATGTGTGTGAGAGAGATGGGGAATTGGGGAATTGTTTGGACATGGATATATATATATATATATATATATATATATATATATATATATATATATATATATATATATATATATATATAGATAGATAGATAGATAGAGAGAGAGTTTCTGGTCGGGAAATTTTTTCCGCCGAACATCGTCGCCGGAGAAGAATTTCCCGGCGACAGTGTTAATTTTGTGATGTTTGTTGACATATTTTGTAATGTTTGTATGCTTTGTTATTTTGTAATGTTTGTCGGTTTTTTTTGTAATGTTTGTACACTTTGTTATTTTTGTGCACCATGTTTGTAAACTTTGTTATTTTTGTCAACCATGTTTGTAATGTTTTTTATGTCTAAAAAACAACCGGGTTGACTTTTGGATGGACCTCCTCTATATAGGGATGGAGCCTCCAAAGTCAACCCGGGTGTTTTTTCTAGTTCGTATGGATTGTCGGTCTAGTTTGTCATTTTTTTCCACCATGTTCGTACTGTTTGTATGTATAAAAAACACCCAAAAACACCCGGGTTGACTTTGGGAAGGAGCCCCTCTATATAGGGATGGAGCCTCCAAAGTCAACCCGGGTGTTTTTTTTCCGTTCGTATGGATTGTCGGTCTAGTTTGTCATTTTTGTCCACCATGTTCGTACTGTTTGTATGTCTAAAAAACACCCGGGTTGACTTTGGAAAGGAGCCCCTCTATATAGGGATGGAGCCTCCAAAGTCAACCCGGTTGTTTTTTCTTTTTGTACGGTTTGTATTGTTTGTCAGTCTAGTTTGTATTGTTTGTACAGTTCATACGTTTGTAATGTTTGTATGTTTTGTCGCTCTAGTTTGTACTGTTCATATGTTTGTATTGTTTGTATTGTTTGTCAGTCTAGTTTGTATTGTTTGTACAGTTCATACGTTTGTAATGTTTGTATGTTTTGTCGCTCTAGTTTGTACTGTTCATATGTTTGTATGGTTTGTACTGATTGTATGTCCGGTTTGTATACTTCGTAATTTTTCATAATACCCAAACTACCCCTGCCATTAATTAAATAGCCCTTCCCACTTTTTAACCATTGGATTGAAGTGTCCAGATCTAATGGCTAGGAGGGGCTTAGTCAAGTGACTAAGCACCCCCCCTTAGTCACCGGATCCGCACTCTAAGAATTTGTTAGGTGAGGAAACCGTGCAAAAGCAATAACAATGGCGATGCCTTCAATATATATACATTATATACAATGGAATTATTTGGGTACGAAATTGTAACACGATTTTTTTTATTATCTTTTACGGCAATACATTATTCCTAACTCATGACACATATAATTTAACTCAAATCCTTTTCTGTAACCGTTACTATAGTATTTTCCTTGGAGAGTGAAGTGAGATCATGATCGCATTCACTGTCACAATGTGCAGAACAAATATGTGGTATCTAAAAACATATATCCATGCAATCTCCATAACAATCGAGCGATCTCACGGCACCATGGCATGAACCAGACAACACAACAACAACTAAGAGTAGCACAATCTCCATAATAATCGTGATTTACCTGCATTTTTGGGCTTATTAATGTGATATACTGAATACTGATCATATGGTAAATTGAAGTTGGTAAGGAGTTGATTCATGCATGCGCCAAGGAAAAATTAAGTAATAAGAGTTGATTCCTAATACTATTCAAGTTAGTAAACCATTTAATGATGCATATGTTTTTTGATTCTCTATTTTTTTGTCCTTCCTTATCTTTAAATAGGACTCTTTTTTCCCCTTATCTTTAATTATGACTCATTTTCTATAGTTTTATTGTGGTTGTGGTTGCAGTAGAGTTGTGACAACAAATATACAACCACAACAATATGAAAACAGAAAACCAAACCATGTTTTGTTGGTAATTCTGAAAAATCATGGAAGTTGACAACAATAAATATAAAAGTATTTGGTTACTTTTTAAGCTTTATTTAGTGTCAACATTCTTTTAGTATCAATGTTGGTACTAAAACAAAAATAGTTAAATAAAAGAAGGAATAGTGGAGCATGACGAGTTGAGAGAAAATAGCGGGAGAATAAAGTATAAATATAATATTAACAATAATATTTGGAGGATGATTTGCACCAAAATGGAGGGGGATAAGTAGAATGTGGGTCTAGTGAGATTTAGTCATAGACTCTTTTGAATGAAATTACTCCAACAACTTATAGAATTTACAAGAAATAACTTTTGGAAATAGCAAGGAAGCTAGTTAAAGTGATTCATGGACTTCCTTAAGAGCCCAAAGAACAGGTCAGATTCGGTTTCACTTCTTGGTTCCTATGGCGTTCATGGAATGACTATGTTTTCTCAGCCATTGCGGAGACCCCTAGTGAGCTTTCACAAAAGATCATTGTCTGTGAGGTCATTGCGGAAAGAAGCAAAGCAGCGGAACAAACTACATCACTGGGGAGATCGAGGATGAGTAGAGACATGGTTGTTGGATGGAGACCGTCCCCGACAGGGTGGATCACAGTGAATTCTGACTGGACAGGGTCACTAGCTAGGGGTGTTCTCAATGAATCTGGGGAAATGTACCATTACTCGAGCGGAGATCTAGGGAGCGCTTCAAGTACTCCAAATGGATTAGTACACATGGCACAGGAAGATTGAAATCCAACTTGATTCAACTACAACAAGATAGGTCGACTTGTCAATTTTGATTGGAAATTGTAAGGTGAAACTCATCAAAGAAATTAGTTAGGGAGGTGTTAAAAATATGGAGGGATATTTTATAATTATGATGAGCCATATGTCAGTGCTTAGATAGATTTCAGTTTATTGGAGACTAAAGAACTTTGAATGGTTAGAGCCAGTTAAAAAAAATGTACTTCAGGGGCTATACAATAATAGTAGAAGACTCATAATTAAAAACTGAATATAGTTCAGAGCCAATCGGAAGCTGGAGGAGGAGGAGATCATCCCTCATGCGCTCGGATGGTTGTCATCTTTTCTTCCAGCTCAATCCTCTCCTCACCCGAGTTCCTCTGCATATCCATCCCAAAGCAGTGCTTTGTGGGATTGCAGATGGATTCCCCTCTTGAGGGCCTCTACAAAGACGAATTCAGATGTCGGGGTGATCCAACAGCAGGGGATTGGTATGGGATCCATCATTCGTGACTTGAGGGAAGATTTTGTGGGTGCAATGTTTAAGAGAGAGAGAGAGAGAAAGAGAGAGGGATTTTTTGTTGCTAATTGAAGTGGAATCCAAGGCGATGATGATGGGCTTACGCGAAGCAAATCGAAGATCTCTCGGTCCTTTGATTGTTGAATCTGATTGCCAAGTGCTGATTAATTTGTTGAAGAGCGGGGAGGTTGATTTTACGGGGCTGGGGGTCTGGTGCGATGAACTAAAGAAATTAGCATTAATGAATGAATCTCTATCGGGTTGAAAGGTTCGTTGGGAGTTTACGCCAAGGAAGAAAAATTCGCAGACCCACTTTGGCTCATTCTGGGTCTGGTTGGGACCATCAGATTGTTTGGATTGAAACCCACATATATCTCTAAGTTGTATGATTGAAGTCGATTTGGACCGTGGGACTCAAAAAATGTTATTAACTCTACAACAAGTGTTCTTCGTGGATTACCTTTTCCTTTCTGCAGTATCATATTGTTTATTCATGCATTGGAAATGAGAAAGGTTTGTTGAGTAGCTTGATCTTGATCTCAATTTTAGGGTCCTCTACTTAAGTGACAACATAAACTATTCATTTTGATTGTTTATATATAAAGAAGTAAGAACAATCAAACAACGAAGACTATAATCAATCTTCTTATTTATATTGCATCAACCACAACTCATGCATACATATATGTGATCATATATGTAACTATTTCTTACATTTCTTATTAATACGACTTATTTATTATTTTTTTCCTTTTCACCCTCTTTCAACAATTATAATCGCAAAAGCACTGCTTCGGAACGAGGGGAGCTGTGTAAAAATCACAAACTCCTATCCCGCCGTAATTCTTTTCGCAATCCGCCCGACAAAGATCTTGACCTTTACAGTCCCATGTAACCCAACATTCTTTAGCTTCCGCAACCATCTTTGATCCACCTTTTCAATTAGCACACACATAATTAATTAGGACTAAACAAATAACTTTTATAATAATACATATTCAATGGACTGTAATTTTTTTTTTGTGGTAACTCATACATATATACAGTTGATTTTCATTTAATAATGATCAAATAGAATTTACCCAAGGAGGTGAAGACCAGAAGAGTGATCAAGAGGTATAGAGTAGTTGCCTTAACCATATCTCTTGAGATTTTAAGAGAAAAGAAATAATCTCTTATACTTTAGTTTATGTTATATTTTCTCAACTGTTCTATGACTTTTTGCATTTGGCTTGGCTATTTATAAGAAGAATTTCTTTTGTTGTAATTAAATGCGGGCAAAAAATTACCGAAAAAAAAAGCGGGAAAAAGATAGAACTTTTTTCTTTTAAATAAGGAAGAGATTAATGGAAAAGTAAGAGAATAATACTTTCCTTTTAAAGTTGAATTAAAGTTAAATATTTATTATTTAAATAAGGAAAGAGATTAATGGAAATGTAAGAGGATAATACTTTCTTTTTAAATTTGGGCTACCTTTTAATATTTATTTTTTAAATAAGGAAAGTGATTGATGGAAAAGTGTATGAGGATATACTTTTCTTTTAAACTTGGGTTACCTTTTTAAGTTTTCTTCGGTCAAAGTCATTAATTTGTTCAATAGTAAGTTTGTGCCATTAGTTTCACTCTCCAACTCGTCAACGTTCGCATAGGAATTAGCTCATTCTTCTTATTGGGCACCATTGTCATGCCTCCCTTCTTTGATGCCACTTGAGTAGGACTGACTCACTCACTATCCGAGATCGGATAGGTAAACCCAACATCCTAAAAGCTATTCTCCTGCCTTATCACTTCCTTCATGTGCGGATTTTAGCCAACTCTAAGGTTGCACCACTATCTTAATGCCATCTTCTATAAGAATCTTATGGCAATAGAAGGAGGTTCTAATACCCCAGATATATCTGTGACCTTTCAAGAAGCGCTTTCTCGTGCTTTCCCAGCAAATTCAGCAGTCTGATCTTCTGCTCGGGAGTGAGATAACAGCCGATGATGATAAGAATATTGGAGCCCTCCCTCAATAAAGTATACTCAAGGTGACTAGGGTGGTGACCGGAGCAGATTTGGAGACTGACTCCACTGGTGGTTCTTGGTCATGTATCACCTCCTCGTCCAATGCTACCAGCTACTCCACAAGCTGCGGCTGGTCAGATTCTTGCCCACCTAACAACCAACATTACTCAAGGGCATCATCAATACCAACACTCGTGATGGCGAGTGTTGTCTCAAACTCAAAAATCATGTTGCAATAATCTAAATCATCATACAAACTATAATACTTAAGATTAGCAACAATGTCAAATGTAATTTGTTTATCCTTAACCCTTAAAATTAGTTTTTCATCATGCACATCAATAAGAGCTTTGGCGATAGTAAGGAAGGGTTTACCTAGGATAAGGGGCATGTCCACATCCTCATTAGTCACCTAATCTTAGCTCGGAACTAAGGAGAAGATGTCGAACAGTATCGTCGACGACGACCGACTCATGGGGTAGCCAACTTTTTAATTAGCTTATACCCATAATTAATAGTTTAATTACTAATTAACTCCATATTGATTGATTGCTAATTATATTTTGTATCCAGGGACCTGGGGTAACCGGCATTGCGCACATCATAACCGCCATAATTGGTTCAGGGGTGCTGACCCTGGCTTGGGCGATTGGGCAGCTCGGTTGAATTGCCGGTCCGGCCGTTCACATCGCCTTCTCGCTCATCACTCTTTTCACATCCTCTCTCCTGGCCGACGCCTATCGCCATCCTGACTCCGTCACCGGCCCAGCCTGCAACTACACGTACATGGATCCTGTCAGGGCCCAATTAGGCGGGCGTAAGGTTCAACTGTGTGGGTTGGCCCAGTGTACTAACCTGGTTAGGGTCAACGTGGGTTACATCATCACCGCCGCCATCAGCATGGCGTAAGTCAAGCTTACATGCATTATTCGTCACCTACTCCGTCATATGGCTTGGGTCTTTCCATAGCCAAACTTGAAATATATGATATATTTGTCACATATGTCCGTTGTCATGAATATATGAGTTTAGTTTAATTGGATATAATGGTCAAGGGCGGACACGATGACAATGGGGGTACACGTGTCAAAGGGTCAAAAACTGTGGAGAGTTTTCCGAGATATCGGCGACATTGCCTTTGCTTATTCCTACTATGTTGTCCTCATCGGGATCTAGGCAAGTTATTTCTATTTGAAAAAATAAAAATGGTTACAGACATGTATGTACTTGTTTAATATGAGTAAGTTAAGCACTCATGACCCCATTCTTATAACATTTACTTGTCAAAATTATTATGAAATAAGAAAATCAATTAGACTATGTTATATAACATTTAAAATTCTCAATTTTATAACCCTTAATTGAAAGAATTTCTAATTTTACTACATAAATGTATAAAAAACCCTCGGTATATAACTAAAAAGTCCTTAATTTAACAAATTTGTTCTATGGAGGTACAATTTCTTTGTCATCAAGTGTGATTTATAATATGTTTGTGTGTTATATTTTGGTCGAGAAACTATTTACTTTAGCTAGTTAACGATATGCCACTTTTCAACTATGAGTTATATAAAATAAAAGGTACAAAACTAATAACTTGTGATTTGATGAATGACTACATGATTAAATATTTTTTAGAGAGTTCACTTGATAATGAATACAATGTTATAGAATATGTTGTATATGTTTGAGCCTGCCCGAGAACAGAACAATGAAGAGGGCAAGTTTCGTGGGATCACAATCACCACCCTTTTCTACCTCCTCTGCGGTTGCGTTGGCTACGCAGCCTTCGGGAAAGCCGTGCCTTTGTGGTTCGTCGATATCACCAACATCTGCGTAGCAGACCACCTATTCAGAGCATTTATGATCAGTGATGGAGCCACATCAGCCCAAGGTAGGTCGGCTGCACCACCTTGGGTTTGCAACTCACATGCAAATAATAGTAATAAGTTGTGAAGAGGGTTATCGAACTGCTGATCAAAATTTATTAATAGTTATTGGAAGTTGTACAAGAAAAGTCAGTGATAGAATATCTTATGCTGAAATTGTGGTTTAATCGTGATTCAGTTGTTTTGTAACGCTAAATATCACCTATTAATTTAGCCTTAGTAGGAGGGTTTTTTTCATGGTCCATGAAACCGTACCGGAAACCGTATCGGAAAAGTCAGCGATAGGGTATTTTATGATAAAACCGTGGTTTAACCGTAGTTCAACCGTTAGTACCGTTAAATACCGCTTTAGCCTCCGATACTGGTATTTTGTGGTTGAACCGTCGGTACGGTACGGTTTAATGGACCATGGTTTTTTTTTGTCGAATCGCTAATACAAACGATTTTCCAATCCTTGGAATTTATTAACAAGTTCAGCTACGAGCCATTTATTTTATGTTTTAACATCTAATTTAGTTTAGTTTACATGAACCAAGAAACACGACCTCGTCTGTCTTTTGTTACTCATCGCAATCCCTAATACGACATCGCCCCAAATTATCACTAACCTACTTTCTTCTACTCACGTACCACAATTTCATAATTCCCACAAGGCACAACCTCAATCCAATAACTCTGTAAGCCATAGACTGCTCGTTGCTCTTGTCGTTCGATGTTCGCTATCGTATTCACCATCTGTTAATTAACAACAAGAAAATCTTATATTTCTTCTAGGAAAATGTCGCTTGTGACGTGAAGGCAGTCCCCGACATTTGGGTTAGGTTGTCGACAGTCGCTTGCACTTGCCGTTCACAGTGACATATATCATTCTTCGACCCACGTTAACAAAATTTCTGTCTACTCCACTGTTTATTTATGAATACTCCTTTAACGATAAGAATTTGTCAGGTGAGAAAATGGTGCGAAAGCAATAACAATGGCGATGCCTTTATTACACATTATCCAATGGAATTATTTGGGTACGAAAATATTGTACCACGATTTCTTTTTTTTTTTTTATAATCTTTCAGGCATGCATTATTCCTAACTCATGCCATATATAATTTAACTCAAATCCTTTTCTGTAACAGTTACCATATCATTTTTCTTGGAATGTGAAGTGACATCCTGGCCGCATTCACTGTGACAATGTGGAGAACAAATCAGCGGCCTTTCGAAACATCTGTCCATGCAATCTCCGTAACAATCGAGCGGTCTCACGACGCCGTGACATGAACCAGGCAACACAACAACAACAACTAAGAGCAGCACGGCGGCTATGGCGACACGAAACAAGCTGGACTTCGTGTTTGCCTTCATGTCGAACGAAGATGCGATTGATTGATTGATTGATGAGATCGAATTTTTCGTAATTAAAAAGGAGATCACATTTTTGCTGCCCTTTTATAGTGTTTAGAAGCCCACGAAAACCCAACCAGATTTTTTTTTTCGTATCATCTGTATCATAGCCATGAATTAACTGTCCTGTGATTTAACCTACATTTTTGGGCTTATTGTGATATGGTAAATTGAAGTTGGTAAACAGTTGGTTCATGCATGTGCAAAGAAAATTTTAAGTAAGATTTGATTCATAATATTCAAGTTAGTAAAGCATTTAATGATGAATATCTCTTTTGATTCACTATTAGCTTTTCTTCCTTATCTTTGATTAGGCCTCATCTAGTATAGCTTGGTTGTGGTTGTGGTTGTGGTTGCGGTTGCGGTGGAGTTGTTACAACAACGAGGTAAAACGACAACAACATGAAAATAAAAATAAAAACATGTTTAGTTGGTAATTCTGACAAATCATGAAAGTTGACAACCAAAAACATAGATGCATTTTAGTTACTTTTTAAGCTCCACTTAGTATCAATGTTGAGACTAAGATAAAAATAGGGAAATAATGGAAGGAATAGTGTGATATTACGAGCTATGAGAAAATTGAAAGAGAATAAAATGTAAAAACAATACTAATAACATTAAGGTTTGGAGGATGACTTATACCAAAATGGAAGAGGGAATATGTAGAATGTGATTTTAGTGAGATTTTGTCATAGATTCTGTTGAATAAAAATTACTTCAACATATGATCGGACGGAGAAGAAGAAAAAAAAAACAACTTTTGGAAATAGCAAGAAAGCTACTCAAAGTGGTTTCATTGGTTTCATCTAATTTTTGTTGGGTTGCTAACTCTAGTTGTTTGATCAAACCAACTCTAGTTGTCAGATGTCACAACAACATATGAAAAAGAAAGGATAAATTGCAAGTTTGGTCGCTGATATTACTAAATTGTTTCAAGTTTGTCACTAAAAAATTATTCTAGTAGTGGTCAAAAAGATGAGTTAAATAGTCCAAGTTCACTCACTCTGCATTACCTTCCGTTAATGGAGTCCATTTCTGCTAACGTGACTAGCAGAAACGCATAATCAACCTATTCGAACGAGGAAAAATGTTATACCGGACCGGTTACATCATTAAAACCTGCTATGTCATCTCCCCAACCCAAACCGTGACCCAACCTTTCTTCTCCGACCAATCGCACTTTGTCTCCGTCAAGCCGATCAACACATACTAGCAAAAAGAACATGGAGGAGAAGACTGTCAAGCCTACCACCATCGACTAGGAAAAGAATATGGAGGTGAAGACTGAAGACGTCCAAGCCCTCCACATCACAAGTGACGTCAAATTTGGGAGGTTAAGGTTAAGGCAAAAGCACAATTGCATAACAACAAACAATAGAGAGAACCAAAAACATAAAGCAAAAGAGAAGGCAGAAACTCAGAAGTCAGAATCCCGAACTCAGTTCCCCTATCACGTCCATCTAAACTTGTACATTGCACCATACAATACAACATCAATGCTGCCTCTGCAGTAGCCACTACCCAGAAACTAGATCCAACAATAAATACAGACAACCCAGAACTGAAACATTCTTCCTACTCCCAAGTTTTCAGTCTGATTCTTTCCCGGTCTTCGTCCTTCTCTCTATTCACATGCCAGCTTGGTGTCAAAGCTGCTCAAGCATATCGCAAAAGCTTGAAATGCAGATAGCGGGTACCGGTAATCCATGGTGAACATATCCTTCCCAACCTTCCCAAACTGCAATATTATCTTATCATGATCAGACTGCGATTGCGGCTGAGGCTGCTGCCCACAGGCCGCTGCAGCCGGGGCAGCAGCTGGCTGATTCGCCGCGATCAGCTGGAAGTTCTTGACTGAGGCTACCGTCACTCTGCCCCGGAAGTTGAGACACCAGCACTGCAACTGCTCGTGCCACCTGGGCGCTTTGTTCCGCAGGATCACCGGCCCGTCGTTGTCTTTCACTTCTTCCTCTCCTCCACCTTCTCCCCCGTCTCGACGTCTGTCGAAGAAGCGGGAGCTGCTGAACTCGCTCGAGCTGTCCATTATCGACTTTGACAGCGACATGCTTCGGAACGAGTCCTCGAGGGACCCTGGTAGCAGGATCTCGGGTTGGCCCGGGACAGAACCGCCGGGCTGGAGGGATGAGGTTGGGATGGAGCGCATGGTGCATTGCATCCTGCGGGGACCACGAGTACCCAGCACGTTCAACTCGTATGAGATCTGGGCGATGTTGTAGCTTCCTGTGGGAACCTTTGGTGATACTTTTTTCGAGTAGAACCTCCGGCTTCTCCCAGGAGGAGCGGGCAGCTGTGCGTTGTTGTAGGGCGGCTGCGTGTCATAGATTATGAACCTGGTTCCTAAGAAATTTGATCTGCGGAAGTAAAGAAAGAAGTGGAAAATGTTTTAATACAGAAACTTGTGATAAAACGCATACCATAAAGAACAAAATAGCTTCCGAACATAGATAGTGTGAGTGTGTGACCTAGATAGATATACAGTTGCCATAGAATTGACATTGATGTTTCAAAATTATTCCAGATCAATATTACAAATTGAGCAGGGTTTCCTTAGTTTCCCCATTTGTTTCTCATGCAATGTACATAACATAGAGATAGAATCTTACCGTAGTTTCCCTATATATGTACCACTCGATCTTGATATGTTGTCAGCATCCATGGAGATAATATACTCTGTGCAAGTAGTTCTGCGGGTTCTTTTAGCAGAGAGAAGAAATTTCCCATTTTCAACCAGCAAAGCTGCGGAAAAGAAACCACGAAAGAAAGGAAGAGGTGGAAGTAAGATGCAGGACAGAAGCGATGAGTTCACGAGGGGGCAGAGGACTGCAGCTACAGAAAAACCTTATAGTTCAAACCGTCAATTCAATGCAAGTTTAATGTGATCAAGAACATACAAACACACGCACAGAGAAAAGAATCAAATGCATATAAGATTGATGTGTATTTGATGCTTCCATGAACACATTCTTCCAACCATATACTTCTCATTGATCACCCAGAAAATAGTAGGTGGGCCTGCTAGGGAAAGCAGCTTAAAGTTGGCTCGAAATTAAGAACATATATCATTCTAAATGCACCACAGAGGTTATGTTTCAATCAACCTCATCATAAAGAGGAACTGTTTGCCTACTCAGAGTTGCTGTTGCATCCCCCGGGAAAAGGGATAATTTTGTAATGAAACAACCTCACAGATATTGATAAAATATAACAGGGACAAGATCCAAGAAGCCGACTGGAGGTGCAGAGGCACAGCGGATCAGAAGCAGAGAAGCTCACAACCATACAATCAGATCAACGGAAACAAATCAAATCGAGAAAAGCTTACCAGGGCTAAGGCAAAGGAAAAGATGGTAAGTTAACTTGGACTTGTCTCTCTTAATGAAGCACTGGATGAGTCCATCCCTGTGTCCAGGCTACAATCAACAAGTAAAACACGTATGTGTCAATAATAGATCCTAGGCTGCATTTTTTACCAGTTCAATAAGAATGCTGAACAGTTATCTGAACCATTCTCACCTGCTTCAGGGAAACTGGGAAAGTAATCTTCCCAGAGAACTCTGGACTTCTAACAAGTTCTCTACACATTTCTCTCCATGCTTTGCAAACTGCAGCACACGCAACAACATGCTTGCGAGCAGGCCAAGTGCCCTCACTAGCCTCCAACCTCTTAATTACATCACGGAGCAACTCAGGCGGAAGGCTAGCCCAACGGCTACTCTGAACAACCACCAGCTGCTGGTCATTCGAGTCGGTAATAGAGCCATGAGATTTCCCTCTATTATGATGACCTGGCAGCCTTACATCGAAACTCCGCCGAGATAAGCTCCCAAACCCATCTCTGACATCACGTACTATGTTACGGAACGACATAAGCTTTTCTTGGTAGGATCTTCCAACTCAACCCCTCCTTGATAGTGTAACTCAAACCAGAACTGAATTTCAATAGCTCGATGACCATCCACCAAGAGAAGTAACAAAAACTGTAGATCATGATTTTAAAAGAACTTGTTTCAGATTCTCGAAGTAATGCTTAACAACCAAGGGAGAAAAGGGAAGAGACAGGCAAGGGAAAAGGCACTTAGCAAGTAAAGAAGATTCCTAAAGGACTCACATGTATACTGCAAGACACTTAACATACAACTATTATGAGTGGCATCTAAGCCCCAATCTGTATTCAAATTAAGAATCTTAACAGCAGGACGAAAGAACCAACAAGTAAAGTATTTTTATAGCTATGATCCGATACCCTTTCACTTCAAATTTTCAAAGTCCAGTACAATCATACTCCCTAAAAATCAGAAAGAAAGAAACCTACAAACCTTCAGGAATGAAAAATTGCAGAATCTAACAACCATGTCCATGATTCGGGCATGAAACATCACTCACCAAAATAATCAATAACTTCGTCAAACGCACTAAAACCCCCAAACGAAGACCTACCCACGAAGCCAAAATGGTCCAGAACCACAAACCGGAAGCCAATTTCACTTCTTGCCGGCCATCACAGATGGGGAAAACCCTTTCATTGACCAAACGAGAAGCAAATAAGCCAAGTTTGACTTCGCAAAATCACCCAAGACCCTTCAACTGACCTAACATCAGCTATCACCCAACCAGCAAGGAAAATCAAGCAAGGACGAGATTCAGTTTTCCCCCAGAAACAAACAGAAGCGATGAATCCACAGAAAAAGAGATCTGACCCAGAAAAAAAAAGTCACCACGACTGTCGACCAAAACCGCCGCCGCCGCAACCACTGGTGAATCTCAGTGTGTGTGTGAGTCTCGCTATCTCTATCTCTACATCAGATCTTTTGTCTTCATCTTCAATTTACCACAAGGCTTCCTCTCTCTCTCTCTCTTCTGGGCAGCCTCTCTTCTTCAGAACCCAAGACTTTCCTACACGCGTATTTCCAGACCGGCAACGAAATCCAGTTTTCACGAACCCACTGATGTCGAAGTTTAACTACTTTTCTTGCTTTTCCTTTTCCTTTTTCTTTTTTTTTTTTGTTTTATATATCAAATGAATAGTTTTCGTGGGGAATATTTTAATTGACAGTCAGTCAGTCGTGGTTAATTAAAGTAGTTAAACTAATTAATAAAAATGTGGTTGGGGGGCTGTATATATCATTTTCTTTCCGTTTCTTTCAATATTTTCTTTCCTTTTTTCAGTTAACCGTCAGTCCCTAAACATTTTTTAAATTTTCATTCAAGTCCCTAATCAGCTTGTTGTCCTAAATAAAACAAGGACGTTGTTCGTAGAGTGATCGACATTAATTTTGTATAGTTGATACGTGTCGATAATGATAACGACCATCACATTTTGTTTCTCTGGTGGTGTGTTTGATATTGTTGATTCAGTGTGCGATATCATTCATGCCATGGTTAAGATGGATGTGAAGATGGATGTCGATAACGATAGTTTGTATTAGATGACAGATGTTGATTATTTGATTGTTGCCTCCTGGACATCGAACGATTAAATTTATCGTGAAGACGGATGGTAGAAACTACTACGAGTTGTAGGCAGTAGAATCTGGTGATAATATTGTCAAGATGATGTCAAAGCTAGTATGAGCATGGTAGGGTAGGGCTGATAATGTTGGCTACTATTCAACAAACCAAAAGGAGATAATGTTGGCAATTGTAGTTTGCACCTAATTAGCATCGATAGATTGGCGTTGGAGGTGATGGATCACTGTCGTTGGCATCGAAACCAACTTCAAATATGCTCACTTATTAGTTGAATTCTTTTATTACGATCGTATTTTGCAAATGTAAGAGTACTTATTCTTTTGCATATAGTCGATATGATAGATTGGTGTTGGAAGTGATGGATCACTATGGCTGGCATCAAAACCAACTTCAATATGCTCAATTAGTTAAATTTGTTTTTTTAATCTACTTAAACGCCAAATTACGAGCAAAACTCTAAAATACTTTTTAATATAACTTTTCGATTTCTCCGTTTTGTATAAGGTACTAATTGGTAGAAGGGTAAATACAATTTAATATCCAAACCTTTCATTTTAAATAATATAATAGCCAAATCTTTTTGAAAACAATCTAATATCCAAATCGTCAACTTTCCGTTCGTATGACCGTTAGTTGACACTTCAAAAAAGTTCGAAGTACGACGCTTCATCAATATCCATCGATATCTTCTCTGAAAAACCACCAACATATCGTGGTTCCAAACCCGAGAAGTCCATGACTCCACCATGATGGTATAGAATATCTAAATATTCAGTCATCTGCAATGCCAAAACAAGAAAACAAAGTTGTATTGTGACAATTTCCCATAAACAAAGCTTTTTTGAAGTGTCAACCAACGGTCAAATGGACAGAAAGTTAACGATTTGGATATTAGATTGTTTTCGAAAAGGTTTGGCTATTATATTGTTTAAAATGAAAGGTTTGGATATTAAATTGTATTTACCCTTGGTAGAATTCTATCCTTACAATCAACATCAAAAACGGTATTTTCTCATTATACGATTTTCTTAAGTTTGTTTTGCAATATTTAATCTTTGTTATTGTTACTAATACTATATTAGCATTTATTTTAGTATTTGAAATAGATGATAATAATAATGTTCATAAATCATAACATATCAATCTAAACATTCCCGCAGTATTCGGGTCAATGATTCAACAGGCTCAACTATATTTTGTCTCCATTCGTAGGAATTGACTACCAGGAGGAGGGAGGGACCTAATTGGCTATCACAAAAAGGCCTCTACTGGAGGTTCAAGAAACAGAAAAAAGTTGAAGTTCTGTTATTTGACAATGGAAATATGACGTTGTTAGATGGATCCATTTCAACAAAACTCTTGAAGCATTCCCAATCAGACTATATAAGAAAGGAAACAAGATTAGCCAAAGAGCAGTGTTCACTGTTTCTCCCCCACTGATGTTGCCCCAGAACACCCAAATTCGCAGCATAAATCGATACCGAGAATTTGCTAACACAAAAACAGATGATCTCGAGTCTACAGCGCTACACTGTTGCATAGACTTACTAGTCAAGTTCGACGATGAGAAACTGATTTCCTCAACGAAACAAAACTTCAAATAACACATTCAGGAAGCAAGAGCACATGCGAGCCTGCAGCATTCTTACGTAGAGCAAACTGCTCGATGCATTCATCTCCTAGCTCTTTTGCTTGCCACGGCTTCCTTTTTCCTCGATACCAGATTGACTGAACCTGCGTCGAAGAACATCAAGCACATCTTCCATTTTAACATCCTTGAGTGCCAGCAGTACCATGGCATGATAGAGGACATCTCCCATTTCCGAAGCTGCCCTGCCTTTATCCTCATTATCCTCTAGAGTTCGGCACAATTCATCTGCCTCCTCCCTACAAAGAGATTGTAAACCAACTTTAGCTCAGACTGGATGCCACCCATTATCGGCTCTTGTATATCATCTAAAGTAGGGTGCAACATAGTGTCCGACTAGAACTGGTACCGGATTTTTGAGCATAGCAGGTCCTGATTGAGTAGTAATCTTTTCGTCCAAGAAGGTTTCCCACTCTCTGTAGTTGTTTCTATTTCTGCTCTTCGTTGAAAAACTGTGGACTCTAATGAGTATAAGGTTGTTGATGCCAACCTACTTCCTGCAGCCTGGAAGACAGAGGATTTTGTGAGTTCATAAATAGTAGACGTAGTTTGTTCAATTATACAGCATGGATCTACCCGAGTAAATGAAAGAACAAGTATTTGTGAAACTGAAACCAAAACCAAATTTAACTTAAACCAATCAAAACTAAAACATAAATTTTGGCATTGGATAAACAAAATTTCAGCCGAATTTCGAAGGCAATAACCGTGAAAAGTAAAATAATGAATCAAGATGATATGAAAGATTCCCTTCAAATTCTTTTGGCTAATTCGATTTGATTGCTACAAAACTGTAGAATCAACCACCAAACCCATATAATTCGGTTTTGATTAACCAAAAACCAAGAAATTTGATTTGGGATCAACCAAAAACCGCTTTCCCACCCTGATAGAAATGGCTCAAAGAAAGACATAATCGAGGACCTGTTCAGTTTCCAAAGAGTCGAGCACAGAAGTGTAGTAGCAGGTTTCAGAGCCAGTGTGGCAGGTAGGCCCATCAGGTTTCCCGAGGTAAATTATCTGCAGCAGGAGGGTTGTCAATTTCATACCGGAAGTTGATTTCACAGAACTCCTACCAACAAGTTGAGTAAGTACTTACAGAGTCATGGTCACAATCGAGAAAAATGTCATAAACATTGATGAAGTTGTTGGACGTCTCTCCTTTGGTCCACAATGATGAACGTGATCGACTGTAGAATGTTGCCTTCCGGGATGAAATGGTTGTAGCTAGTGCATCCCTGTTGGCAAAGCCTTGCATTAATATGGCTCCCGTGTCAACATTTTGTGCTATGGCCACCGCCAAACCTTTGTCATCCCATCTTACACTATCTAACAATGTCTCGACCTACAAGTTTAAGACATTAGAAAATGGTGTTCCTAAACACCATGTTATGATAGGGAAAATAAGACTTCCAAGATTGTTATCCAGAACACAGGCAGAAAACAACCTAGGAATCAAGAATTCTCAAGGTGGTGCTTTGCTAACCAAAGCAGTAAAGATCAACAGCTGACCAAGAAATGATGCAACTAAATTTCATCAGAAGGAAAGCTAGAAACACTCATTGTAGCCTCGCATATAATTGCTTGTCGGGATGACATTCCACAAGTACATTGTAGCCCCACATATAATTTCTCCCTCCCATAAACATGATTACATATGAAAGTAGCTCATGCATTGATCAATTTCACATCATATGGTTGCAGGTTTCTTTTGTCTTTCCCTGTTTTGTAGGCATGCCAATTACTACAGTAACTGGTGGAGGCATCTGCCTACCAAAAGAGATCAGTGACAATACCAGAAGACATGCACAGATTTTTAGTCCGACTGTTGGATACAATCTCCTTGGCAAGTTCCTAGAATTTGAGTTAGCTAATGCCTAAGTGAAACCTAAAGTACAAACACGAGAAGCATTCAGACAAATCCACAAGCTTAACGCTTAGCTCTACCCATTGAAGACAATGAGAAGAACATACAGAACCAATGTCAAAATAAAGAGAAGGTAAGTTATAATCTTTTTGAAGTACCTTGGATACGGAGCTAACATCTTTGTTGGATTTTAACGAAGATGCAAAGACCAAATGGCTGTTCCTCCTCTTCAAAACACAACCACCAGGGAAGGAAACGCGGCCTCTGGATGTGAGGCACAGAGACTGAGCACAACTAAAGGATGAGGCCGCCATTTTCAAAAAATTGAAACACCAACAAAGCTTCAACCCCTTCTCAGTCTAATTTATGTCTTCATATCAATCAGAAATCCTGAAAAGAGAAAAGCTTGATGAGAATCACACCATCTAACAACCCAAGAGCAGAATCTGTCATGGTGAAAGGAAAAGACAGCACTACCAATTACCGAATGAAAGAAAAAATCGTGGACAGAAACATTACTGTAAGGAGCTAGCTATCATCAAAGAAATTGGACAAAGTGACAGCACACATGAAAACGGCATATCCCCTCATTCACTAAGCGCATTGCAATGCACTGAAAAAAAGTTCAACCAACAATCTGAAATGGGTTGAATTCATGAACAGGGTTTACATATTCAGAAAATTACAGTATCTAATCGAGATAAAATAAAATATGCACTCAAATCCATCAATCACTGCACAAGCATCGAATACGGGAGTTGGCAGAGAGGACAGGGAAATTACCGAGAAATTTTCCGGCGGCAGCAGAGCAGCATACGCAATGTGAAACGGCCCCCGGCGGCTGAGTAGTCGGAGAATTGGAGGAGAAAGGAAGGACGGCGAAGGCGGAGAAGTAACGGCCATTATATGGGCCGTAAATTGGTCTCGCGCGGCCAAGCTGGAAAACGCCTATTAGATGGGCCAAATGGGCCGTCAATGAAAAAGACAACTAATAGAAATGGGCCGTAAATATAGACGAGAAAAATATGAACAATTCCTTCTCTTTCGTCCTTCATTTCTGCTGAAATCGATCGAGTTGCAGATGCTGGTGGTCGAGTTCTCACCGAAACCAAACCTCGCAACTTTGTGATTTCTGTTGGCTTAATTGCAAGTTTGGTCACTCGAATTGCTATAAAATTTTACGTTTGCCACTCAAATTAATTTATTCCATTTATAGTCACTCGAATTAGTTGAACAGTTCAAGTTCGGTCACTCTCCGTTAAGCTCCGTTAACTTTGGCTGACGTGGCGGTCAACTCTGACAATTGACCGTTAAATGTATGACGTGGCAAATAAAAAAATAATTAAAAATTAAAATTTTAGAAATTACACATCATTATCACAAACAATTATAATTATAAAAAATGAAAAAAAAATTCTTCCACATTATTATCACAAAAACAAACAACACAAAATTATAATAATTAACATTATCAAATTGAAAAAGAAACTCCTAACCTAAGATCGTCTTCGTCTCCACTCTCCAACACCACACTGTATGTTAGCCCAAAATTGGAAAAGCCACCAACTGCTTACCTTTTCCCTTCTTCTTCCCCACATCAAACACCACCGCTACACCGCTTTCTTATCCGACAATTGCTTCCAGTTCGGCGGCGCATCAGCAGTTCCCAATTCCCATTATCGTTCAACACCAACAAATTCATATTCGCCTGCCGTAATTTTAGATCTGTTCCCCAGGGAGGCTAGGCTGGTTACCCGAATTGGAAATCCCTAATTGAAAAACAGAGACTCAATTTTCCGCATGACGAGTCGTTCTATCATCTTCATCGAAAAATTAGGGGTCATTTCTTCTTTTCTCAGCCGTAATCACCTTCACCTCCTCCACACTCGACCCGGCCCCTTCCTCTAACTCCGTCAAATCTCGTATCTCGGCGGTGATAACATCCACGATGAGGCCCGCTGCCTCCGCGGCCACCATCTTCTTTTCCAAATACGTCGCGTTCAACGCCGGGCCGACCCTTCCGTCATCTTCCAACCCAACGCGAATAGCGCTTCATGCTCAGCATCAACACCAACTTCGAGGGGTGCATGAAGCTGATCAACGAGGTGATCCCCGAGCTCCCCATCTACCTCGTGCCTTAATTACCAGACGATGATTTCATATCGTACCGGACTTCCTATGCCCAATGCTTCATTTCACTTCCAATCCCTTTGTCGAAATGCTCTGTTCCTCCGAAAAGCAGAGAGGCTGGAGGGTTTGATGGACTATGAGTTTCCTGAACTGAGTTTGTGCCCGAGAGACTGTGTGCATATGATCTAATTGAATCGCTGCATTTTTTTGTCCAATTCCCCACCTGGAATGTCGACAGAAGTTCATCGAAAGAGATCCGAGGCCGGAGAATTTCCTGAAGAAGAAATCGGATTACGTGAAGAAGAAAAGAAATTTATTTTATTTTTCATCGTTTAAAGATTAATGTATGTAAGAATGAGGTGTAAATTTTAAATAATTAAAATTTATTATTATATTATTTTTTAATAGCCACGTCACACATTTAACGGTCAACTGTCAGAGTTGACCGCCACGTCAGTCAAAGTTAACGGAGGTTAACGGAGAGTGACTGAACTTGAACTGTTCAACTAATTCGAGTGACTATAAATAGAATAAATTAATTTGAGTGGCAAGCGTGAAATTTTATAGCAATTCGAGTGACCAAACTTGCAATTAAGCCGATTTCTGTTCTTTCTTGCTTACGATGTAGGCAGCAGAAATTTTGGGGTTCATTCTGAATCGCCGATCACTCAGGCAATCAGGAGACCCACTTCTGGTTTTGGGATTTCTAACAGAATCAGCTTTCCTTCAACACGCCATAACTTTCCCAATTCGAAGCTAACCCCATTTCTTCAATCTCCTGATCGCCGCCATGAGGTCCGATCAGATTCCGCTGTTCAAGCCTGACGAAGTAGACCGGGAGCTGCTCAGCCGGCCCACCACTTCCCTAATCACCGCCCGCAAGAAAGGGACAGGAGTTCGGGCGTGGCTCCTGCTGGACTCCACCGGCCAGGCCCAGGTCGTGGAGGTAGGGAAGCATGCCATCATGCGGCGAACTGGGTTACCCGCCCGCGATCTGCGGATTCTCGACCCGCTTCTGTCGTACCCGTCCACGGTTTTGGGTCGCGAGAGGGCGATAGTCATCAATTTGGAGCACATCAAGGCTATTATTACTGCCCAGGAGGTTTTGTTGCTGAATTCCAAGGACCCTTCTGTCACCCCGTTCGTTGAAGAGCTGCAGAAGAGGCTTACCTTCCATTTTCACGCCACCAAAGCTCAGGTACGGAGGTTTTTGCAGCTTTATGTGAAGTTTGCTAGATCGCAGAATTTGAATGCATTCTGATTAATGGGTTTGTGGAGCTAGTTTGTTCTTTTTGATCGTATAGATTGATTGTGTAGGTTGATGGGGTTTTATATGGACGAGTTAGTGAACCAGTTCAGTCAGTGGGGGAAACTTCAGATGTAAACTATGTAGGGAGCTTCTTTGTTTGAACTTGATCTTCCTTATGGGCAAGGATACTCCATGGCTTCGTATAAGGAAGTTGCCTACATAGTTGGTGCTACCCTTGAAACTATACATACAGAGGTTTCTGGATTATGTTCACTTGTATAAATGCCAAAGTCGAAAGAAGGGAATTTCAATATACTTTCAGTGAATTAGGTGAGTCTGTTCTCCCAGAACGAAGGCGAGAGGTTATTAGTCTGGGATAGGCATTCAGTGATTTCATACGGGCATCCGCCAGAATGATTTCATATCAGGATACTAAAGAATTGAACTTTCATGTGCATTTGTGATTCCTCTGCATCTGGCGTGATCTGCAGTATTGTTGAGTCTTGACACCACTCTGCGACTTTTAATCTCCCTTTGATTGTTAAAGGAGGGTAATGGTGATGATACAAATTGGAAGACCGTGTATGATTCACAATTGCTGAAATCAAGCACCGAGAGCCCTGAGGATTTTCCTGAGCGTTCATTACTTGGTCGAGATCATGAAGAGGGAAGGAAGGCAGATGGGAGGCAGAGTGTTGAGAACCGTGATGGATCAAAGGTACTCCCATTTGAATTTGTAGCCTTGGAGGCTTGTTTGGAGGCGGCCTGCAGCTGCTTAGAGATTGAGGTAAGCTTTTATGTTAGGTTCGTTGCTTCTGTTACTGAACAAGTTTATGATCGTCTCAGCTCATCTATTGTTGTTTTACATTTTCCTTAGGCAAAAACACTGGAGCAAGAGGCCCATCCAGCATTGGATAAGCTGACTTCAAAAATTAGTACTCTCAATTTAGAACGCGTTCGGCAGATTAAAAGTCGTTTGGTGGCAATAACTGGCCGAGTCCAGAAGGTTAGTCTGCAATTGATTTGCTTGTCTTTTTCTTAAGCAGGGAAACTGATCCGCGTATGTAATATTCATTAACAGGTAAGGGATGAGCTGGAGCACTTGCTTGATGATGATGAGGACATGGCTGAAATGTACTTGACTGAAAAATTAGTTAACCTGGAAAACTCTTCAGCTTCCTCTTTCAGCAATGGAGATGAGATGGACGATGATCCACCTGAAATGGATGACAGGTAAGTGAGACATGGATGTTGTATTTTTCTTGTAACAGGTTTGTTTGCCTTAATTATTATTTTTTGCTCGATGATTCTCTGTGTTTGCTCATCAATAATTATCCTCATGTTGCATGCACGCCAGCCTTCCTGTTGAAGCATCTAAAGAAGGTGGACATGGTGCTTCCACTAGCTATGATCCAGATATTCAAGCGGATAACCCTCATGATCATCATCCGTTCAGTGCACTTAGTCGCACGCTCACTAGTACCACTACCATGAGCAAGCACCTTGATGTGGAGGAGCTAGAAATGCTTCTGGAAGCATACTTTGTCCAAATTGACGGAACTCTAAACAAGCTTTCTACGGTATGAATGTACATTCTTGGCTGTTGCTTATAACTCTATATCTGGAAGAGGGGAATAATTACTTTTGGAGGTTAAAATGTTGTTCTAGAACAGTAGTTTGTCACCCAACTTCCAGCCTCCTTCCCTTGCACCGTGCTCCCTTTCACCTCTTATGCACCAGAAGATTAGATAACCACATCATCATGAGAAGAAACTGTGATTTCTGACCGATGTATTTATTTCTAACGTTCGGACTTTGGATTTTGCATCGTTTGTGTGTGTTTGTTTGACGTGAATGAAGCTGAGGGAGTACGTCGATGACACAGAGGACTACATCAACATTATGTTGGATGACAAGCAGAACCACCTGCTGCAGATGGGGGTTATGTTGACGACTGCAACGCTATTCATCAGCTTCTTTATCGCGCTTGCTGGTGTCTTCGGCATGAACATCGAGATCGAGTTGTTCAAGGAAAATGTGAAAGAAGGTATGCCACATTTTCTTTGGACAGTTGGCGGGGGCGCCACTGGAACCATATGCCTCTTTGTGGCTGCAATTGCTTGGTACAAGCACAAGCGGCTTTTGGAATAGTATAGTAACTGTTATCAATAATTGTATAACATTAGACTGTATTATGTAACAGTTAATTTACTACCAGAAAGGAAACCTGCAGATCAATTTTATCTCCCCCCAACAAATTTGACTCTCTGCCAAAATTGTACTCTGCCTTGGTTAGCGTACGCCTGTATTCACACTTGGTTTTTGCACTTCAATATATTTCATTTGAGTTAGAGACTGGGGTTCACCCATTAGAAGTTAGGGTATATTAATTTGTCGTCTAAATAGTAAAACTCGACGGGCGTACAATGTACGCTTGACGTTTGCTATGCCTTTTAGGGTTTTTTTATTAATATATTAGTAAATTAAATATTTGACACATTTCTAAATATGTTGTTTACTAAACAAATTAGATGAGTAATTTTTAATGAGTTATTTGTATAAATATGTTGTTTTATTTTTTCATGAAGACAAAATAAAAAGGATTAGTACTAGGTATTGTATATGAAAATAAATAAAGTTATTTTTGGAAACTAATGACGAAAAAATGAATCATTTGCAAAATGACCGGAAAGAGTCATTTGCAAATGACTCGTTCTGCGTTTTACCAACGAGTCAATTGACACTTTATCCATTTTCTTTCATTTCTTGTAACCATATGATAAGAACTTATATTACTGATGGCATGACTGAATAGACCATCAAGTAATATATGTATTCTATAGAAATGTTCAACCCTTGTTTAGGGAGTGATAGTGACTAGATTGAGCATCGACCATCAAGTCCTTACAAAAAAATCTTGCTCATCTTTGACTGAATCCACCTCATTTTGCATTATACACAACTACACAAGCAAGGAAAAACAAATATTGTATGCATAATTAATAATTAATCAATTAGCTTGTGTTAACAAATAACAATGGGGGAAAATCCGCCGTATAAAATTTATTCAGGAGAAATGATAGAATACAAAATCGTTAAGCAAAGGTCATTAGATATTAGGAGTTCAATTTTAAGGTTTGATTTAGCCCCTTTTCTTTTCCCCCTAATCTTGATTTTTGTTAATTGTGCCATATCTTATTTGCTTTAACTTGAAATTTTCAAAATCTACATAAAAAAATAAATTAATTATTACCTACACAATCATATTCATTTTGATATATTTCAACAAAAAAAAATCATGCTCTCATACAACTATCATTCCATGATCATACCACAATGACAACACAAAGCAACACCATCATACAACTACCATATCACGATATTACCATAGTGATAATATCGTGATTGAAGTTAACAAATTTTTCCTTAAAAGTGTTGAAATGAATATTCTCTTGTAGTTTTAGTTTTACGCTATGATAAGACTTCAATATCACACCACTACCATACACACATCATACCATTAGGTTAGACTCAGGGATTTCAATTGAACTCGGACCCATGGGTATCCAATTCGACCCAACCCGGTCAAAGCAGATAATTTATAAATAATTTATGGATGTTATTAGTTTTTAAGATAATATTATTATTTGTCAAAATCCAACCCTCTTTTCACGTGACCCACATCAAGAAAGGAAAATGATGTTATTTTGCATTTAACCTGAATAACATGAATAATTTATGCATGTTATTAGTCTTTATGTCAATATAAGCCTAATAATATGAATAATTTATGAATGTTAGCCTTCTTTATTGAGATATATTTATAGATAAAAATTCAATAACATTATGATGTGTGTGCTCAAAGAAATATGTATTGTTATGTTCGTGAACTCATGGGGACCCATGCTCCCCGTGAGTACTTTTATGTTGGGTTGAGTTGGATTTTCGTTTCTATAATGGGTATTTTGCCGAATTTTTGAAGGATTCACCCATTGGGGTGGGTTAATGTTTGGACAAACCCGAACCAACCAGGCCCATTGACATCCCATAGACTTCATAATACCAATTTGCCACTGTCATAAAATTATCTGACCACTATCATGTATTCATGTGATTTAAAAAATGTCATATTATGATATTACCATTATGGTATAATACATAATGTCTTTGGCGGGAAAAAAAAATATCCAAATGAATGTCATCTTGTAGATTTGTGAGAGTAGTGATAATATCATGATATGATATAATGATAGAAAGTGAGATACGAATAAAATGACTTTTCATTTTAATTATTAAAAATAAAATTACAAATTCGATAATGTACATCAAATTCAACCATACTACACATTGATCATAGTACAACGATTTAACAATCAGAGAAATCAAACCAACCATTCCGATTTTGGTGTGAAGTAAACTACCACCAACCCAAAAAGATATAATTTTTTCCATAAACCAACATATTTGATCCATGTGAAAATGTTTTCACTCCCTCCCTCGTCAAACAAAGAAAGCAGTTCAAAGCATTGGACCAACCATCATTAAACAAAATGTTTACGCAAAAAATGTAGATTTTTTTTTCTCCGGGGAAATACATATTTAAATCCAGGGAGAAATACATATTATAAATAAAAACTAAAAAATATTAATAATCCGCGCAAAAACTTTTTTTGGTTTTCGATAACATCAGAGCGATTCCCATCCTTCTCTGGATTTAAACCGCGCAACAACAAAGCAGTGAAAAAATTCCTCTTTGGGATCTCATTCCCCTTCCCCACCATCGCCATTCCAAACCAAGAAGATCTTGCCTCAGCAGCTGCTCTGTAAAAAACCAGAATCTGAACCAAAGCCAAGTCCGGGTCCAAACCGTCCTTTACAAAAGGCCGTGTGACGCCCGTTTCAGTCCACAGAATTTGGGTCCTCTCAAACCCTTCAAATAAGCAAACCAGTCGCCTCTACCGGGGAAAACTTACGGGTGGCTTGTTTTTCGGGGGAGGAGAAGAAAAGTTGCAGACCTTTTTATCGCTATTTAATTAGTAGATCTGCCATGCCGGTTTCTGCTGGGTGTTCAGAATTCTTGGGTTCTCGTTGAGGTTTTCTAAACGATGACTGCTGATGGTGGGGAAGAAGAATCGCGGCACAACCGGACGCGCAGAGAGTTGGTATGCCATGCCGGCGCTGGCGCCGCCGCGGGTTAGATTCAATCACGCTTTGAAATCCCCATTTCCCCCCTTTTTTTTTTGTTTCTTTTGCTTGAGACGCATTTGATTGGGAAATTACGGTTCTTGTGTTGCTGGGGTTTCCAAGTTCTTGGAAGCTGAGCATTCTGTGAAATGAACTTGTGAAGAATGGCTAGTTCTTGGGGATTTTTGTTCGGTCGATTGGCTGCTTGATGGGGAGGGAAGTTTGGGTCTTGGATTATAGGCATTTTTGTTTGATAAAAGCTTTGTGCAACTTTGCAGGTGCTATTGCAGCCACGTTTGTGTGCCCATTGGATGTGATCAAGACAAGGTTGCAGGTCCATGGCCTGCCTGTAGCAGCACATTCTAGTGGCCGAGGTAAATTATAGTGATGGGTGTTTGAACAAAAATAAAGGACACAATGGAACCTAGCACTTCGTATCCTTTCTTTCTAATTTTGTGGTCAGAGCAAGGTTCTAAAAGGCGCTAGGCGTAAGGCAGGCGCTCGGCTCCTGACTTGCGCCTTGCCTGATTAGGCGTAGTCTAGGCGCGCCTAGGCGTTCAGAGCATAAATGGAAAAAGTTCTCAAATATTTCTTGTTTTCTGGAATAATTCATATAATCCAAGTGCATATAAAATTAGTAATGCCTAGTTCTTAACAGTAAACACTTAACATAACAAATAACAAGCAAATAATGACCACTTCCTAGAATCACAAGTTCATAAAATGCAGAAATACTAAACAATAGTCAATAAGTTCATAGGAAAATGTTCATTCTTTATCATCCAAGTAGGTCCGTCCAGCCACCACTTCATCTTCATCATCCTCAAAAGCAATCTCCTCACCATCCTCCTCCTCTTCAGACTCTAATTCTTCATCATGGAGCTCTCTCACTCGTGCACTCGCCATTGCATCTGTAATAGTACTCGAGGGTGCACAATATGATTCCTCATTCTCATCTACAATACATACATAGCATGGTCATCCCCTTCCCGTGTTTCTGATTTTCTAGGGCAAGAGGCTATTTTCTGATTTTCTAGGACAAAACGAAAAGTATTGGGTTTAACCGCCTAAGCTCGCCCAGGAACGCCCAGGCACGCCTTCTCTCCACTAGGCGCAAACTAAGCGCTATTCCTACCTACTAAGCGCTACCAGTGCCTTTTACAATGCATATGGCCAAGTCAAGGCGATACTCCACCGCCTAGCGCCTAATTGAGCCTAAGCGTGCGCCTAGGCTTGCCTTCTTGAACCCTGGGTCAGAGACCTTTTCTCCTTTCTGGTAGTGGTACTATACGGGCTGTGAGTTTGAATCATAGTTCTGGCTTGGATAAGTCTCTGAAATCAAATAAAAATGCATTCTTTATCTCCTTGGTGTTCTTGATCCAACTGTTGACTGGTTATATTTACATCTGCCTCATATAATGGAGTACAATCAACATTATTTGATTTCCTTGCTTTTCTCTGTTCAAATAGTTGAATGCTGTCTACTACAAGATGCGAATTTCACTCAAGTTTATGTTTATACCCATTATTACCATTAACCATCCCTTGCGGGTTTATTTGATTGTTCTTCAGTGTTGGTTGGATGGTTTAACTTTTAGTTGGCGAATTGATGGCTATTCTTTGCGTTGGTCTTTATCATTTATGCTCAGGTAGTGCTATTGTCACAATCTTACAGAGCATAGTCAAGACTGAAGGTGTTAGGGGGCTATATCGTGGACTCTCCCCCACAATATTGGCGATACTTCCTAATTGGGCTGTGAGTATTCCTTCTTTTCCCCCTTTTTGGTATTGGCTCCGGGTATGCCTGTTCTTGTTAATTTGGCTGAGAAATGTGACCTGATATATAAAGTTGAACACTCCTGGGGCATTCCTTATCCTTAGCTGTAAGTTGTTCTATAATGTGGAGAAAGGATATTAAGTCTGAGGAGATGCTATCTCTCTGTTCTTCATTAAGCTGTTTCACTACAGGGCCAGTTACTTTGCATAAATTATCCTGTACAATTCTTATTAGCCTATACTAAAATTTATTGAACTCTAAGAGGAGTACGGTGGAAGTGATCCAATTTTTACTGTTGGCTTCTACAAGAGAAAACCATACAGAATATGGGCTAAAGCTGGTGGTATCCTGACTTCTTGTTTGTTTTGTAGGTCTATTTCACAGTATATGAAAAACTAAAAGGCTTGTTTCTTACAAATGGTTGGTTTAATGCCTCTTTGATTGACTCCTCTAACTTTCTAATCAAACCATTTTATGGTATTGATCATTTCCTGATTACTCAGGGTCTCTTGTTCTGATTTTGTCTCATTTCTTTTGTTAGGGGATGAGAGTGGCCAATTAACAGTTGGTCGAAACATGATTGTTGCTGCCGGGGCTGGTGCTGCCACAGCCATCACAACAAATCCACTGTGGGTTGTCAAAACTAGGCTCCAAGTAAGTTTTTGCATGGTTGCGTCTCTTTCTAGCTTTTAATAGCTGAAGCAGCCTCTGTTGTTAGCTTCCATTTATGAGCCACATCTTGCGCTGAGAGAAATGGGTAGCTATGTTTACCTGTGCAATTAGAATGTCATGATCACTGTATGCTGCCAAGTTCATAGTGCTCTATTCTTCCAGCTTGAAAATAGACTCTTCAGGTGTTGTGGGTTGTTTAGAACATCTTCAATTAGTGTAGCAGTGGACATTACAGACATCATGTTATAAATTGATTAGCCTCAGGGCCAACCTAGAAGGCAAAAGGCTTTAACATATGACGAAGGATTAATAACTTAATGCTATTTAAGCCTTTCCAATCTTGTGGATTAGTTAGAACATTTTCAATTAATGGTGTGCATTTCATGTGTGCCTGTTTACTCCTTTCCCATTTCGTTGTAGGGTAGCTGGGAAATAAACTCTACTAGCCTCTGCCTTGTGTGGACTGTGCTTCATCCTGAAATAACAGTTTTTTCTGTTATCTTTTCAGACACAGGGAATGCGAACTGGTATAGTTCCATACACAAGCATATTTTCGGCTTTAAAAAGAATAACTTGCGAGGAAGGTCTGCGTGGGCTGTATAGGTTAGTCTTTTCCCCTAGTTGAAGTATGTGATTAGAGGAGCTCTTATCTCAATTTGGAGTTAGAATTGTTTAATCCCAGTTAATAGATTGGAACAGGCAAATTAGAGACCACTTTTGATGATTCTAATTTTCTGGTTTGAAACAGTGGTATTCTGCCTTCCTTGGCTGGGATAAGTCACGTTGCAATTCAGTTTCCTGCATACGAAAAGATCAAGTCTTATATGGCAGCACGGGGTAATGAATGCTTCCTGATTTCTGTTCAATACTTGCACTTTAATTTGTTTCCTCAGTTACATTCTTGCTTTGAGTATAGAACTAATATCACTGAGTTATACTTTTGCAGATAATACAACTATCGACGAGCTAAGCCCTGGGGATGTAGCAGTTGCCTCCTCGATAGCCAAAGTTGGAGCTTCTGTAACAACTTACCCCCATGAGGTATGGTACTAAGTACTAACGTGGATCCCATTTAGTTACATTTCATATAGGAAACAGTAAAGATAGTAATAATGAACAAATAAAAATACCACAGGTTATACGCTCAAGGCTTCAAGAGCAAGGGCAGGTCCGAGGTACCGAGGCTAGGTATGCTGGGGTTGTTGATTGCGTCAGGAAGGTGTTCCTAAAGGAAGGCCTCCCGGGGTTTTACCGTGGTTGTGCTACTAACTTGTTGAGGACAACCCCTTCAGCTGTCATTACATTTACCAGCTACGAGATGATACATAGGTTATTGGAGGGACTTATACCCCCCGAGAAGAGGCACTCGAAGCCTCACCGTGAAAACAACAAAGGGAATGGCGGCGGAATAGATGATGACGATAAGGCAACATTGAACCAGGCGCAAAAGAGAGCTGCTTCCTCCATACATCTATGAAGCAAAATGGAGAACAGCAGAGGGTAGAGAAACAGAGATAGATTGGAAGGGAGAAGGGCCCTCCGACCGAGGGGGCTGCGTATTAGTCGAATAACGAAATTACATGGTTCTTACTTGTATTGTTTCTGTTTCTTTTGTTGCATAATTGTGATTTTCACCAATTGTTGTTGTTCATTTGGCAAAAGCTCCAATCCATATTGAGCGAGTTGTTGTGCCATGAAATGAAAGTGACAGGTTTTTATTGCTGAAAGTGAAAGTAAGGTGAAGAGATGATTGATGGATAGGAAGAAGAAATCTGAACTGTCTTTTGTGGTTGCATTTTTTCTGCAGATTGGCAAAAAGAGGACGAGTGGATGGAGTGGTACCGGTTGTCCACTTGTTAAGTTGAAGTGGATGTAACGTAAGGTCCCAGCTATGATAATAATTGGATCTTAGGGTTGAAACTGGGCCGAGTTTGGCCCAGTTTCAGAATAAGACCCTAAAAAACCGGCCGTATATGGCCAATTCACAAATTTGGGCCAGCCCGGCCCTATCCTTTCCTTGACATTGCTTGGTTCATACTGGCCTGGTCGGGCCACGGGGTAGCCCACATCAATTTCATTAAATTAATAGCAAAATTGGGAGGCTTGGAAGGAAAACCATCAATTGTTACTTCAATTTCAAGGCGAAATCTCTCTTGGGTCGGTTTGCCAGAGGATTGGCAAAAGTTACAGGGCGTAGAATTGAAACTTGAAAGGGAGGAAGAAAGAAAGGAGACGCAGTCAAAATTAATTATTATTTACTTTTGCTACATCCATCGCATTACTGCAAGAAAAAGATGGAAATTAAGAAAGGAGACGCAGTTTTTCGGACTCATCATCGTCGTCGCCGGCAGTCTCGGGAATGCCGACGAGGACAGGCCGCCAAGCTCGCCGCAAAATCGACCGGTGCCTGAACCCCATCCACCCCGCCGCCGCCGCCCCCGGCGGCGGACGAGGCGATCCCATCCCCAATTCGCTCACCTTCATCTTCCACACTTGGTACCTGTCTCCTCCTCCTCCGCCGCCGTCGATCGTGCTCTCCCTCCCTCCGTCTCCCTCCTCCTCCTCCTCCGCCGCCGGGGACGACACGAACAGGTCCTTCAGCGACCCCCGCCTCCTCTCCGGCGCCGCCGCGTAGATCGGCGGGGGAGCGGGCTCGTCCCTATTGCGGCGGCCGGAGCTCCGGGTGAGGAGCATGCGGAGGGTGGTCTTGCGGCGGCGGAAGTGGACGACGGGGCTCGTCCTCGGGCTCCGCGTGGGGCTCGGAGCGACTCCGCATTGCGTGGCGAGCAGTTTGAATTTCTGCAGAGACGCCATTGTTATCTCCTATCCTGTCTCGCTCCCTCCCAGAGTTCTTATCAATCAAGAAGAAGAAGAAGAAGAAGAAGGAGGAGGAATGGAATTGGGAATGTGATGCGACGGTGTTTGCTTGAAATAAGGGAGGAAGGATCTGTTATGGGAATTGGGAGTGTCTTTGATTTCTTGCTTTTGCTTTTGCTTTTCTCTGTTCTTCAGGAATTCACTTTTGCTTTATTATCTTCTTTTTGTTTTGTTGTGTTATGATTGGTGGGGAGGAATTTGAAAGTGCGTGCTATTGCTTTGAATGGAATTTTCGAATTCTGTAACAGAAATGTGATTCCCGAGGTTAATTAATTTGACTGTCATCATTAGGCAAGTTCTGTTTGCTAATTATAGGACCAATTGATTTTTGGAGCCTGTTAAGCACTCTAAACACGACTGAATCACACCAGTCAAATCGAGAGCATTTCATCCAGTTTTATAACAGGTACTGGTTGAATTTGATTGTACCGGTGAGACAACCATACTGCGAATGTTACAGAACAAAATAGATAATACCAATTCGAAAATAACATGTGTTTGGAAGGTTATGCATCAACATAAAACGTACAATTTTGTGGCATTAAATTTAACATATTTTTTATTTTCTTCAATCTGGAATTTTATTTTTCATAGACAAAATATTATACTAATAATATTCTATAGAATTATATCGACTTTGATATATTTTGGGGGAAAAAATTGACTCATACATTACACCTCTATACCATGGTGATAATGTTTAGTAGTACATAAAATTATACATAGTGGTATGGAAGTGTACAATAATGATACGAACGTACTAGCATAGATGGTTTTACACATGATTGAATGATATATTTGGACTAAAACAAAGAGGCAACGAGTGGCAATAAGTTTTTTCTTGAAATATATCGAAAATAAGTACAATTTTGTAGATCATAGTAAGTTGTTTCATTGTATTAAAAATTTCAAAATTCAGACTAAAAAAGAGATAAAAATCAATTAAAAAGTTGACAAAATCTTTTAATCTCACTTTTTAAAAATTTAACATGACTCGAGGGACCAAAAAAAAACAAATCTTATAAGAAACAAGAAGAGTTATGTTCTCATCGGGAATAAAGGAAACCGTGAATAGTGTCTGTCATGCCTCCGCTTCTCTTTTGTTGGAAGAAGAAAAAGTCATTCGGATTCGTATGTCGCAGATATCTCGCGGAAACAACCAACCAAAGGGAGAAAAAGAAGAGATTCAAATGCCACCTTTTGACCTCCGCTTCTTATGATTTGTTTGTGGTTAGCTATATTTTGCTTAGTGGTTAATCACTAACAGAATAATCGGTTAATGATTAATTGATAAGAAAATCGATAAGCACATAATAGTATAACAACATAATCTTGGGCTTTGGCTAAGAGAAAAAGTTTCAAAATTTAAATTCAACCAAACTTGCAATTCCAAACATCCCAATTTTCCACCTGTTGTAAGCAACCCTCATCCCAAAATCTCAACATCAATTGTGTTTAAGAGTCAAAGCCCGAAAATCATTCTTCGACTCCCCTTTGCAGTCGACAGAGAGAACCTCGCACCCTAGTGATATTTTTTTCTTCGATGTTCGTGAATGATGGTGATCTTGATGAAAGGTGGTCGTCGACCGACTCCGATGCTCGGCATAAAAAAAAAAACTCAACGTCGGCTACAACCCCGACATCAATGACTCCTTGTCTCGTTCCAACCTTCACCGTGGGCCGTCCACACTGGCTTTTGTGACCATGAGCTAGCCCGCCCCACAATGGTAAGAAGGCCACCTCCCTATCAACTCACGCCCATGTCCACTCTTGACCGTGCCCATGCCAACTCGGGGCTTAGCGACTGTCTTTCTCGTGGCATGGCATGACCTCGTTGACGAGTAGCACGTGCCCTCGTCGTCTCGTGAACATGTCGTCGTGGTTCTTAGCTACTTGGGATTAAAATTCCTGCTAATGCTTAACTGATCAAACACACTCAACTTCACTTCTACTAATACCAGTCCAGTCCCTACTACATGGGGCTAGGGGTGTGCAATGGTCCGGTCCGTACCGGACCACACCGGACCAAACCGTTGTTAAGACCGGACCGGACCGAGTAAAATGCGGTCCGGTCCGTGGTCCTAATGAATTTTATAATTACTGAAGAAATGGTGGACCGAGCTCATATTTGGACCGGACCGAACCGGACCAAATGGACCAAATGCAAGAACGGTTCGGTCCTTGGTCCTGACATGTCTTTCACTAATGGACCGCGGTTCTCATGAGTTTGGTCCGGTCCGGACCGAACCGTTGCACACCCCTACATGGGGCTAATTATCAAAAATCAAACACAGCCTTGCAAACTGGCAAGCAAATTACTGTTTTGTATGTACACAAAATCACACAAAATGCTCCATTCCTCATCTTCTTGCCCGTACCTGTTCCTTTTCTTTACACTCGAATACAGTTGGAATCGCAAAGGAAAAGCAAGATATTCCCCCCCTTTTTTGGACAAAACAACAAGAACGGAAATTTGAAGGCAATCAGACACACTTACAGAAACAAAGTCGGATCTTACTTTGTAACAAAAACACACATGCTACTCTGTTGAAACCATCGCGGAATTCTTCACTGTCCACGAGCATAAGGAAGAGGGATTTCTGCAAGTTGTGATGCCTTCCCTTCATCCTCTCCCACCTGCACAATTGACTGATTCCATATGAGATTAACAAGTTGAATCAACACAACTCTGCCACATCTCTGCCAACATCTGAGACTTTTTGCAGCTCAAGGAGATTCGTTCTATAATAGCAAAGTGAGACAGCCATGTATACTATAAAACAAATGAACTGAGCATGCTTGGTCCGGCCCCGTCCAGAATAGGACTGGAATAAAGATAAAGGAACAATGAGGACCAGAGTCGAATTGAAAGTACATCTAGTCTCGGTCCTATTTCGATTGTGTCTGCGTTTTCTTTGGTTTTAAGAGGATTGATGAAACCAAAACTGAATCTATCTGAATTCGGTCCGGTTCAACCCAAATTACTGCACTCCCCTAGAACTGCCATAAATTCTATTATGAAACTGGCAAACTACTGGCCACATCACATAAAAAAATGGAAGGGAAAAAAAAGTATTGACCTCAAGCAGACAATCAGATTACCCATGCAGAGGAAGCGTAAAATATGTACCTTTCAGTGACGGCTTATCATATTTGCTATTTTTCTCGTCTTCATTTCTCCATTCACCATCATCATCGTCGTCGTCGCCATCATCATGATCACCCCCACCACCCATTTCATCCTGTATTCCACCATCATCACTTCCACTCGCTGTCTCCCACTCTGAGTCATCACTCTCACCCCCATACATCCCTCCACCACTACCATCTCCCTCACAATGGACCCCACCATGCTTGACAGCTGCCTCCCTAAACAGCCATGCAGCACGCATCTGCTTCTTCACCAGTCGTTCTGCATAGTCGGGAACTTTGTTCTGCCTCAAACAGAGATCCGGATCATTCGACTGAGAGCATTCATTGATGAAGAGAATGGCATCCAACAAGCTCTCTTTCCCCAACCCCAACATATCATATGCCTGAGCCCTTCTCCAAAGGGATTTGGCATGACGGTTTAGAGGGCTGTGAAGACAAAGTGCACGTGTGGCATCACTTATTGCAGCCAATGGCTGTTGCAGCAAGAGATGGCACTGGGCTCGATTGCTGTACAGAACAACTCTCTCCCTTTTGGACCTGACTGGACACAATGCCAATGCTTCAGAATACTTTGAAGCTGCTCCACTTATGTTTCCTGATGAGAACAGGGAGTTCCCCTCCAGCTTTACGACCAATCCTGCTGCCTGCTTGATATGGAGGTCCTCCTTTGGTATGGTTTTTTCCCATTTCAGTCTTTGCTTGCACTTGAGTAGTTCCTCTATCGCTTCTTTGGTCCGGCTGCTCATCGAAGAAACCCCAGTCCCATGTGATTGTTGGAGACATTCTTGAAGAACATTGACAATGGAATCCCCCAGCTTTTTGTGGTCTCCCAGGGCAGTGATGTCGGCAAGGTCTACAAGTGCAGGCACTGCCTTGTCTATTATCTGAATAGAATGGTCAAAAACCCATTAGACATGATCTGAGAATACCATGTTGCAAACAGTTTAGGTCTTTCTGTCCTCAAACTATCTTTCAGGTATTGTCAGCACTTCAGACGATATTTGAGATCTATTGGGGAAAATCCAACGAAATGCAGAAAAAAACAATGTCTAAACAGGCTAGAGACAATTGCACCGGTAAAAAATTTCAGAAGGGCGAGAGCGAGAACATGAAAAAACAACGGCTGAACTTTATCTTGTGCCTGCAAAAAATTTATAAATTAAAAACAAGTAAAACATAGGTTTCAAATTCATCTATCCAATCCATCATTCCTTTTACATAGAACTTCAAATTCTTACCGAACACGAATGGTGTGAACATAAAATTCAATTTAATGAAGAATCCAGCTAGACAAATTATTGACATCCTCAAATGCCACTAGACTTGTAATATTTAAGATCTTGTTATAGGACATGATCACTCAGCAATAGTATTGGCAAGGTTTTCCACCTCGTGTATTATTCCTTCAATTGATAAAAGTAAAGGACAAGGTCAAGAAGTAAAGTATAAGAGAAAATTTTATAGTGGAGGCAGTAATGATCCAACACGGACGAATAATATAATTACCAATAAGGGAAATGTTCCAAATCGCATACACAGTTTTGTAGGCATGGACTTTGGAAAACTAAAAAAGAAATGTTTCTCCAATAAAATTCAAAATTAAGCAAACACACAGCTTGCAGCCAAAGAGAATCCACTATCCACTCAATGTTATTCAAACAGCATCACAGTTTAACACAGCAAAGCCTCCTCACAAAGGCATGTCAATTATGGTTGAAAAATAAGACAACCAAGTTCTTTTGTATTAAGACAGAAAAGTTCTTTTCATGTAAACAGGACTGGCTACAACAAAATGGAAAATGAAATCAACAGGCAGCTTCCATCCAAAGAACATCCACCATTCATTCACCGGCATATGAATGTCATTCGAAAGCATTTCATTTATAGACATGAAAATCATATAAGTCGCAAACTAAGCATGTGGTGCGTGTCTGTCGGGCATTTTCAAGTGACGAGAGCACAGAGAACAATTAAACAAATTCTCATCTGCCTACTCTTGTAATCACCATATCATTGAGAAGAAACCTCAAAATTTAGTCATGAATCATGATGTTGGCCAAGAAAAATAAACCAAAATGCCAAACAGTAAGAAATTTAATCATAATTAGTCATTTACCTTATGGCATGTACTTGGGTCCTGGAGCAACCACAGGAGACATTCTATAGCCATATACTGCCAATCATCTGACGAGCGAGCAATATTGCACAGTGCCTCAATAATACTAGGACAGCTGGCAACAGGTCCCCTACCAAGCTTATGATGGCAAATCGTTCTCAACAAGCCAATTCCAGCAGGAGAGTTTTCATTGACAAGTCCACCCCACATCCCAGGGAGTTTCACAAGGAATTCAGGCTTGCATATAGTCGGGAGAAACTCAGCTTTGAAAGCAAAAGAATTAATAAGCTGAAGTGACCAACACTGCAATTGACTAGCCCATTCCTCAGCTTTTCTGGATTCCATTTCTACACCACCCATTCCACGAGTAAGCAAATCGCAGTGATAACTAAGCCTTCTATCAACATATTGGTAAAAGTGTGAGTAAACTATTTCCAACGAACTCATTGCAAGTTGAATTGACAGTTCAAGAATTTCCCCTTGACTTGCTATGGAAGGAAAAGTGCTTGAATATGTAGCCAAGTGCCCTAAAGCTCGTACTGCCACTCTTTGCTCAACCCAAGTCAATCTTCCCCTAAGGAGCTCAACTAAGGGAGGAATAACCCCAGCGTGGACGGCACTCTCTGAAAATTCCTCCATGTTCATGGTATAGGATCCGATAATGTGAGCAGCATAATAGGGAATGTAAATGTTCTGATCATGAGAAAGCCAACGACGATTTTTCAATCCCTTCCAAATAAGTGCAGCCATGCATTCAAAGATCCCCAACTCGATGAACTCTGGGTCATTTGGATGTGCCATCGCAGTGTTCCAAAGGCCACTAATAGGGAGCACCTGGCCATCATCATCTTGTGCAGGAAGTTCTCTGAAAAACTTCAGTATACTAGCTCTGCGCTTACTTGGATTTCCTTCCTTCATCACACAGAAAAAGCATCCCGGATACGGACAGTCGGTAGATCCCTTTTCCATATTCAGATTGTCAACTACTTGGACTTCAATTAGCCAGTCAGTTCATCAGTCGCTCACACGCAGGACTGCATCAAGACGATATTCCAATGGTCAATCACAACTGAACAAAGTAGATTCAGTTTAGAAAAACAGAAGCAGGGGAAAGGCATATTCTTGGACACTAACAATTAAAGAAAACCCACACCCATCTGGCAACAGTGAGCTTAAGCAAACAATGAACTTCCCGCAAGGAGTATCAGAATGAGAAACAAGGAGTTCTCAATCTCAACAACTCCCATAATCAAATTAGCAAACCGAAATGGGCAACAAGAACCAAGAGAGTACTGAGGCACTATAACACATAACCACACAATAAAATCCAACTAATGGGTCTGTGTGTGCAAACACCAATCTGAGAAGTGAATCTACTGGGGAAAGCACAGTCTCAAATGGGCAAACTCATGTCAACTTGATACCAAACACAACGGCTCATTTCTTCACACAGAAAACTGCAAGGACTAGTAAACCCATATCATGCTTCGACTGACTGCAGTCGAATGAAGAACCAAGGAGAAGGAAATCATTTTACCCAAATGCTGAGGGAAACGATGGCAACAGTAACTCCGCCTAGAACCAGATTTCTCTGGTTCCTTATCAATAACCGAAAGATGGAAGAGAACCCAATCTCCTCCACCTTCTCTTCCGCTCTCAGTTCGAGCTCAGATCTCAAGTCCCGTGGCTCGCCCTCTCTTTGCACGCGATTGTATTTCCTCCAGCTAGCACCGAAGCAGCAACGGGGAACAGCAAGCTCTCTCCTTCGCTTTCCCTACCGCCGAATGCAGCCGCCGGTCACTCCTCAGAAAATGTCTTTTTCTTTTTGGGTTTATTTGCTTGAGATCTATTGTCCACCCCCGCAGGCCCTGCTGCAAATCATGGCACAACTTCAAATGGCGCCACTAAAACGACGCTCCCCCTTCCAGGGAAACGGCACCCGTTGCAAATGTTCACAAAAACTTTTGAGTAATACAATTTGATATCCAAACCTTTCATTTTAAACAATATAATAACCAAACTTTTTCGAAAACAATTTAATATCCAAATCGTCCGTCCGTTTGACCGTTAGTTGACACTTCAAAAAAGCTTTGTTTAGGGAAAATTGTCACAATACAACTTTGTTTTCCTGTTTTGGCATTGCAGATGACTGAATATTTAGATATTCTATATCATCATGGTGGAGTCATGGACTTCTCGGGTTTGGAACCACGATATGTTGGTGGTTTTCCAGAGAAGATATCGATGGATATTGATGAAGTGTCGTACTTCAAACTTTTTTGAAGTGTCAACTAACGGTCAAACAGACGGAAAGTTGACGATTTGGATATTAGATTGTTTTCGAAAAGGCTTGGCTATTATATTGTTTAAAATGAAAGGTTTGGATATTAAATTGTATTTACCCAAAACTTTATTTGGGATGATTTGTTTTTTGGATTTTATAAATGAGGTTTTTTGTAAAATTTGAGTTTTAAAAAATGCTAGATTTACGAAGGATTTGTCAATTAGTTTATTATTTGTTTATTGAATTTGCAAAGAGTCCGTAAAAGTTTTGTCAGGTCCGAAATTAGGGTGGGCAACAAGAAACAGGTATTTGAGTATATTTATATTTGTTTTATTTTTTAGGGTTACAGATACCCATATACCTATAATTACTATTATAATAAGTATTAAAATATAATTAAAATAATCATAATATAAAAATTGAAGTATCAAAATGCAGTGTGACGAGATATGACCTTTGTCTTTGTTTGAAACGATCAAGATTCAAATCTCGCAAGCAACGAATTTAACATTGATTTTTCATTGCCAAAAAGTAAGAATGACAATTACTATTATAATTCTAACTATAATTAAAGAGAAGACAGAGAATTCAAAATGGTGAAATCTCTTGAAACTCTGTCATATATTATAATAGGATATAGTGCACAATAGCATAACACTAAAATTATAATCTTGTTTACTGAGACGTGCAGAACAATATTTGCAAATATATAATAATAGAGTTTGTGACAATTTTTTAGCATTTCAAATTTTCTCTAACAAAAGCCAAAGCAAGAAGTGTGTAGATTTGTCTTTACAGTTATTTATCTTATTCATATGGAAAAAAATATACCAGTCATGGGATTTGTCATTTGAACTATGATCGCTCTAAACATGAATATGAATCCTCATTACCAATTACACTAAATAAATCTTATGTATTTTTTAAAACTAAAATCATTCAGAAATCTTAAATCTTAAAAACATATGACTTTCTCACCGCGGTTAACTAGCCCACTAACTATCCCGTAAGTATTTCTTTGGGGTTTGGTATTTCAATTTTTATATTTTTATTATTTAATTCAATGTTAACTAGCCCAACAACTGCTGCTGAAAGAGATGAAAATGGTGGCGAGAACGACGGTTAGCATGGTGCGGACTGGCGGAGTGCCGACTGACTCAAGTTACTGTACAAAACGATGTGAGCCATTAACAGTGCGTTAGGCCCCAAACTGTAGCGGTAGGTGAATGTTTTGTGATCCAATACAAAAAAAGCAAACCGACGTGGCTGGCTGGCGGCGACATGTGGCCGGAGCCGTTGGGTCCCCCCTCCACTCTCAATTAACAATCAGAAAGGTCGTCGTCGTCGACGACAACGACGATAACTACAATTCTTTTTTAAAACAAAAAACGAAACTCCATTACTTCAGTTCCCGGGCTCTCACCGACGCCGTATTATTGCCATCTCTCCCAAACAAAACTACCCGTTGATTCGCCGGTCCACCGTTGAACCGTGTGTGTGCGCGAGATCAAGATTAGATTCAAAGTCAAACCTCCATTATTCCCTCTCCCGAAAAACCTTTCTTCCTCCTCCTCCCACACTTGTTCCCACTTCTGACTACTTCCTTTCAACCCAACTCTCTGCTCTCTCCAACTCAATCACCCCCATGGCTCTGCTCCTCCGCCACCCAATTTCAATCCTCTCCATCGCCCTCTTCCTCGCCGCCGCCGCAGTCACCGCCCAGGATCCACCGGCTTCTCCTCCATCCAGATACGAGTCCTGCAGGCCCAAAACCTGCGGCACCGGCCCAAACATAACCTACCCGTTCTACATCCGCGGCAACAAGACCGACTTCTGCGGCCTCCGCGGCTTCGGCATCCGCTGCGAGTCCGGCCAGCCCATCTACCGAACCTCCGCGGCCCACTACGTCATCCAGAGCATCGCCTACTCCAACCAGACCTTCCGCCTCGCCAATCAGCAGTTCATCTCCCCTCCTTCCGCCGCCGCCGCCTGCCCGACCCCTCACCTCAACTACTCCTTCGACCGCTCCTCCGTCGAGTTCAGCCCTTCCCACGCCGACGTCTACTTCTTCTACGGCTGCAACGCCTCCTCCTTCCGCCTCGCGAGAAGAGCGTCCCAGATTCTCGACTGCAATTCGTCCGCCGACGGGGAAAATAACAAGACGTTCGTCGCGTTGATTCCTCTGGATGAGGAGTTCGATTGGAACAGAGGGTCTTGCCGGGCTGCTGTGGCGGCCCCGGTTCAGCTCCGGGAGGGGAAGGAGCTCAATGCGTCGATTACCGAGGTGGATTTCAGGAAGCTTTTGCGAGATGGGTTTAGCCTGAAATGGGTCGGGTTGGCGGGTTATCACTGCGGCGACTGTCAGAACAGCGGCGGCCGGTGTGGGTTTGAGGAAGGGGAAAGCAAGTGTTACTGCCCCGATGGAACTTCCCATCCGAATAATTGCCGTAATTACGACGATTCCGTCTCCTTCTCCAACAACTCCGGTATTACCCAATTCATTCCTTTCCCCACCCTAAAAACCCACTTCTGAATCGGATCTGTTTTTCCGCCTGTCTAAGCATATTTCTGCAAACATTTCCTTTTGCGCAGGGAAACGTAGATCTATGTTGAAGCTGGGATTGGGTAAGTTATCAATGTCTAGTTGCTTTGTTTTTTTACCCCGATGGAAATTTCCTGTCATACATTCTGATTCCTCTGGTTTTTCTCTCCAGGTCTAGGGTTTGGAGTGGTAATACTAGTCATGATTTTGCTCTCCGCTTACATTTGCCATCGCAAGAGAAGAAGAAGAAGGCAGAAGAATCAACAAAGCTTCGATTCGGGAAACGCCTATCTCAAACCATCTCCCACCACCAGAGACCCGGACGAAGAGGCCAACGCCTGCTTCGGAATCCCAATCTTCACCTACGGCGAGCTCGAGGAGGCCACGAACCGTTTCGACAGCGACAAAGAACTCGGCGACGGAGGATTTGGCACCGTGTACTACGGCAAGCTCCGAGACGGGAGGGAAGTTGCGGTGAAGCGCCTCTACGAGCACAACTACAGAAGGGTCCAGCAGTTCATGAACGAGGTGGAGATACTAACCCGCCTCCGCCACAAGAACCTCGTCTCCCTCTACGGATGCACCTCGCGGCGCAGCCGCGAGCTCCTCCTGGTGTACGAGTACATCCCCAACGGCACCGTCGCAGATCACCTCCACGGCGATCGGGCAATCTCCTCTCCTCTTACGTGGCCGGTACGGATGAGCATCGCCATCGAGACTGCGAGCGCTCTGGCTTACCTCCACGCCTCGGACATCATCCACCGTGACGTGAAAACCACCAACATTCTCCTCGACGGCAATTTCGGGGTGAAAGTCGCCGATTTCGGGCTGTCGAGGTTGTTCCCCGATCATGTCACCCACGTCTCGACTGCTCCGCAGGGGACCCCTGGCTACGTCGACCCGGATTACCACCGGTGCTACCAGCTGACGAGCAAGAGCGACGTGTACAGCTTCGGCGTCGTGCTGATCGAGCTGCTGTCGTCGATGCCCGCGGTCGACATCTCGAGGGACAGGGACGAGATCAATCTGGCGACTCTGGCCGTTGATAGGATCCAGAAGCGGAGGTTGGACGATTTGGTGGACGGTCAGATTGGGTTCGATACGGATGCAGAGGTGAAGAGGATGGCGAGCGAGGTCGCCGTGCTGGCTTTTCAGTGCCTGCAGCAGGATAAGGAGATGAGGCCCAGCATGGATGTGGTGATGGAGGATTTGAAGCAGATTAACGACGGCGTGCAGGGCGATCGAATGAACAATGGGGAGAAATCGCTAAGCGTTTCGACGACGACGATGATGTCGACACCATCTTCGTTGTCATTGCCATTGCCGTTGCCATCACTTGATTTTGCAGAAGCCGTGCTGCTGAAGAAGCTCCCGTCTTCTCCGATCTCTGTGACGGAGAAATGGGTCAGCAGTTGTTCCACTACGCCGAATGTCAGTAGCTAGTGAACTGGGGATCTGGCCGGCGTGGATGAATGGCGCGGCGAATTGGGTCTCATCTTTCTTTCTTGTTTTTGTAATCTAGATTGGAACTGTGCATACGAAAACATCAGCTAATTGTTTGCGGGTAGATATAAGATTGTACATTTCGAGTGTTGAGCATTACTGAAGCGTTCTCTATAATCATACGGTCGGTAGCCAAGTAGGATTGGGCATTCTCTATAATCACCGGCGGGAATAAGCCGGCGCCGGCGTCGTCATTGTTAATTGGCTGGGACCACTCGGCGACACCGGCAGCGAGCATTGCAGAATTTGGAGGTTTACTGGACTAGTTTCATTACAAAATGTGGAATTGTTTCCTAAAATACCAGTTCTTGAAATGAATTTCTCGAATAGGTTTGATTTTGAATGTATGTTTAAACCTACCTCATTGTGTTGTTGGAAATTTGTAATCATCTTTGAACATAACGATATATGATGACGCGTGACATCTTACTGAAATTTGAGTTAGCGAGGAAGACTTGATGTGCAGGAACTAGATCGAGGAGGAGAGTTGTTTTGGTTGTAAAATATCTGTAATGAAATTATTGGTATATTGATTTTGTGTCGCCATTAGATGAGTTGTGTGTGCATATCTTATTTACATATTTTTTGAAATTTAAGTTATTTTGTAACAAGAAGTTTTTCTTCGTAACAGTCTAACAGATATAACTTATATTAATAGCAACATCAATTGACTCGACTGATGAGTTTGAAAAGTGTAATATGTACATTATTTTTATTTATTAATAAGAATGTTTGCTAAAATCAAATCATGATAAATTAAATTTGGACCAAATCAAACTAAATTTACTACAATAATTCTATTTTAATTTTCCAATTGATGATTTTTCGATCAAAATTGAAGATATTTTCCCCCTATTGCATGGTTTCTGTAATATTCCAAACATTTTTTTTTCCGGCAAGATATTGTCCGCTTTAGGTCTAGATCCTCATGAGTTTTAGCATTGGGGCGCCACTTGATCTCGTCCACTCTTTCCACTACCATCTGAGTAGCATACTAGCATTAGATTATACTATTGTTATGTAATTTGACATAGTTATGTTCTTTATCAAAGTAGTATAAGTTATGTACTTTACGTAACAGTGTTGGGAGAAGATTAATTATCAATTGTATACCACTCTCCTATACTAACACTAACACGAAAAATACCTAACATTTGCTTCACTATGATGTGTAACATAACTCTATCAAATTATACAACAATAAACGTAATATAACATAATACTATTCATACATTTTACCGTCATACCTACTCTAAATTCTAATGGTTGGACAGTCCTCATATGTCATTGCATGTTCCTGAGATACTATAAATAAAAATGAATGAGGACACAGACTGGCCAAGAACTCCAAATTTTAAACTATTACATAAATACATGTACTTATGTATTTGTGAATTGACAGAGGGAAGAATAGTTTAATAATGATTTGTTTGATTGTGAAAGATATTATATATGGTAATGAGACATCGTCCATTTTTGTGTATGTAGCGTTCACACCAACTATACTATTCTTCCCGCTGCGGCTTCGAGAGAAAGAGACGAATATATTGATTTCTAATTTTCTTGTATATGAGTTTAGTACAAAATAACGATGCTCACGTTGCACAGTAATTAACTATGGCTAACTACAGCTAACTTAAACGACACAGTTTAGCCGCACTGAAAAACAGAAGGAAAAAAAAAACGAAACGTTTTGTTTGGATGAAACTTCTTCTTCTCGCAATCCTTGTGTCATAAGGATTGACTCATTTTTTTACTTCAACAGCTGCAACTCCACTCACACCGGCCTTTCAAGTTTTGGAGGTGATTGAAACTCCCAACTTGTTAAGTAAGTTCCGCGCAGTATCGCTTTATCGTCCAGTCCTTTAATGAACAGGTCTGCCAGCTGGTTAATTAGTACTAACATGTTTTAGTTGTATCAAGTCATTTTTTGGTTTTTGTCTTGTGACATGCATATCAATCTCAATATTGTTGTATCAAGCCACTTTTTAGTTGTGTTTTAACCATGGTTGTCACGTCGGCAGGCGTGCCACTGGTTGAACCTGGTACAACCGGTACCGGTCATAAAATCGGCGTGGCACCACCGGTATGACCGACATTGCCATCAGCCGACACAAACCGGTATGTACCACCGGTCGAACAATTTCACTTGCTAAACCGGCACACTGACATAAACCGGTTTGACAACTTTGATTTTAACCAACTTCATGTTGCTGAAGAAAGAGTCATGCGTGCATGTTAATGCTTAGTGAACAGTTTTTTTTTTTTTTTTTACAACATAGTGAACAGGTTATTACCGCTGTAAATTGAAAAATGACCTCCAGATGAGCATACTATTACTTAGCTACTGCTCATCTTTCCAGACACATGCTCCATCCGCCGACCATGGCCGATGCCTTCAAGAGCACCAGACTTTTCCATTCACCAAGCGTTGAAGTTTTGCCTCCTTTTTTGAAAGAAAGCAAAAGGATGGAAAAAGGAATCCCATAATTATTTGGCCAATTTTGACTAATATGGCTTTCTGCAGTAATGCAGCTCCATGTCCCGATCTTAATTTTGACCTCGTTTGATCCTATTACACTTGAATTGACGGAAAAAAAAGGACATCCATGATCCTCTCTACATGTTCTACATATGACTGATATGAGGATAATTCTAAAAAGTAGAAACAAAACAATAGTTTTTTTTTTAGATAAATAAATAAAAGGAAAAGATAAAAAGGAAAAGGAAGAAAGGATGATAAATAATTTGTTCCCACTTTCCTCCCATGGTTGTTAAACCAATGGCTGCTGACCGCCGATGGGGTTCAACCGGTATCAGCTATATAAAATCAATTGGAATGCTCTCGATATGATCGACATGCACGATTTTTTTAACTCTAAATAACACGATTTTGTTTTGTTGAATTTTTAATCAAGTTTTTAATTTCCTTGGATTCACGTATAAAAGTTTCGATGTTAGTGTTAAATATATTGTATTTAAATATGGAACTTTTCATTTTGTTTGGATTGTTGTATTTTATTTAAATATGAATAGACTTTGGAGATACTATCTTCAAATATATGCCTTAATTTATTAAGTGTTTAATGATTTCTACTTTCTTACATGTTTTGTTCAAACCGATATGAACCGAATTATCTACTGATCAGACCAATACCACCTGCCGAAACGATGTATAAACCGGTAACCTTCTTCCCTGCCAAGTGTCAAAGGTGCGACTCTCACCAACTCACAATTTTCCAATTTGACAAATTAATCGCCCACCTAACAACAACAAACGCACCCGGGGGCGGCCCTTTTCATTCTTATACCCAGATCTCTGTATCTGTTTTTGACTCGCTCTTTTGCTTCAATTCATCTCAACTCTCCCTTTCGGCTTTCCCATCTCGTACGTTTCACAGGGTACTTGCCTCTGCTCCTTTCTCTGCTCGTCTTTCTTTCTCTCTCGCGTTTCTCAGGTTGTCCATTCAATTCGCGAATGTGTTTTTAGTGCTTGTATTTCACTTTTGTCCTTCCGTAGTTTCGTTTTCTTGGTTTTTGTTCTTTCTCTGGTTTCTGGTGGTTGGGGATCTCAATAGTCACACCAAACGTTGAGATTTCTTTCACCCCCTAGTTGGGTATCTTGATAGAGAAATTCAAAGTTCCAAGCTTTGTTCTGATCCTTTCTCCCCCTCTTCTGAGTTTAAGTCTCAGTTTTTGAAGGGAAAGGAAACGAGTTTAGTAGAATTGCTGAACTTGGTTTGGGGTTCTCCCTGATGCTTTGATTGATAATTGTTTCAACTTGTATTTCTCTGCTGCTGCTCTTATATATATGTATGGTCTCATGAGCTAAACTTAATTGAAGTATCTTTGGCGATGACTGATCGATTGGTCGTTGGCAGTCTGCTGTCCTCGTTTCTATATGTTGGTTTGTACTAGGATTCTCTGCTGATTGATCTTGCTGCTGTTATCTATAGTCTTGTGGTTGGGGAGATGTGAACTAGTCTGAATTCTGTCTAGCTGCTCCTTTTAGTTTGACACAATTTTCTGTCTGAATTATGTCTCATGAGAAGTTTACTTATGATGGGTGGTTGAGCAATTGGGTCAGTATTGTAGATGACCAATGGCTTTTATGAGGTTTACACTGACCTCTTCATTATTATTTTGCCATTTTCTAATTTGTAGTTTATTGTAAGCCAGGACATTGGATTACTACAATGACTCACAAATTATAAAGAAAATTAAGTTTACTGATGTCATTATCTTAGAAGAGCAGAATAATTATACAATTTTGAACCTGATTCTATTTGAGGATAGATGGCAAGGTTTCACAGGCATTCTGATAACATATGTTTATGTATAACTTTCCTTTTGTCTTGATTCTTTTCTTTTAATTGTGTTGTATCTGAATGTAATATGGTCAAGTTCTTAAATTCTTCTTGTTTATTGAACAGGAATATTATGGCTGCACAACCAACAAGAATCGGCCTTGCTGGTCTGGCTGTCATGGGCCAGAACCTAGCTCTCAATATTGCAGAAAAAGGATTCCCCATATCAGTCTATAATCGAACTACCTCCAAGGTTGATGAGACTGTGGAGAGAGCAAAGAGAGAGGGCAACCTTCCACTCTATGGCTTTCATGATCCTGAATCTTTTGTTAATTCAATCCAAAAGCCTCGGGTGATAGTCATGCTAGTCAAAGCCGGGGCGCCAGTTGATGACACAATCAAGACTCTTTCTGCTTACATGGAGAAAGGTGACTGCATTATTGATGGTGGGAATGAGTGGTATGAGAACACCGAGAGGAGGCAGAAGGCAATGCTTGAAAAGGGTTTGCTCTATCTTGGAATGGGAGTATCGGGAGGCGAGGAAGGTGCAAGAAATGGACCTTCGATGATGCCTGGAGGTTCCTTCGAGGTGTACAAGTACATTGAAGACATCCTTCTTAAAGTGGCTGCTCAAGTTCCTGACAGTGGTCCGTGCGTGACATATATTGGGGAAGGTGGATCAGGTAACTTTGTTAAGATGGTCCACAATGGAATCGAGTATGGTGATATGCAGCTAATTGCAGAGGCATATGATGTGCTGAAATCAGTTGGAAAGCTTTCAAATGAGGAATTGCATCATGTGTTCACAGAATGGAACAAGGGCGAGCTTCTAAGCTTCCTGGTCGAAATAACTGCTGATATTTTTGGAATCAAAGATGACAAGGGAGAAGGGTATTTGGTTGACAAGGTTTTGGACAAAACCGGCATGAAAGGGACTGGGAAATGGACAGTGCAGCAAGCTGCCGATCTATCCATTGCAGCACCCACCATTGCTTCTTCGCTTGATGCAAGGTTTCTTAGTGGTCTGAAGGAGGAAAGGGTCCAAGCTGCTGAAGTGTTCAAGTCTGGTGGGTTTTCCGATATTTTGAGTGAACAGGTTGTGGACAAGGAGAAGCTGATCGACGATGTGAGGAAGGCTCTTTATGCTTCCAAGATTTGCAGCTATGCACAGGGAATGAATTTAATTCGTGCAAAGAGTGTTGAGAAAGGATGGGGGTTGAAGTTGGGAGAACTGGCTAGGATTTGGAAAGGAGGCTGCATTATCCGAGCCGTGTTCCTTGATAGGATCAAGAAGGCATATGATCGTAACCCCGAACTGTCTAACCTTCTTGTGGATCCCGAGTTTGCGAAGGAAATCATTGAGCGCCAGACTGCATGGAGAAGGGTTGTGTGTCTTGCTGTCAGCTCTGGCGTTAGCACTCCTGGTATGTCATCTAGTCTTGCTTATTTTGACTCGTACAGGAGAGAGAGATTGCCTGCTAATTTGGTGCAGGCGCAAAGAGACTACTTTGGTGCTCATACTTATGAGAGAACCGACATGGAAGGTTCTTTCCATACTGAATGGTTCAAGATTGCTCGACAGTCGAAGTACTGAGCCATTTCCTGACGTGTTCAAGCTTGTTGTGCATTATAAACTGAGACCGGTCTTTTTCTGTGGTGAAACTTTTATCTATGTTGGATGTACTTTGGCAGGTTCTAACTGCTTTCTTTTGTAACGATTTTAAAGATTTCATATGTGCTACTTTGGTTGAGATATGTCACCTCCCTATGGGACTGTTATCTTATTGTTGGAAATTTGATGTTTGATTGAGAAATTGAAATCTGATGGCTTTATTCTCAGTAGCCTTTTCGTTTCACCAGCTCTTCTTCTTCTTATTCTTTAGGTGAAACGTTTTCTTTAAGTGGGATTGTTTACTTCGTGGATTTTAAAAATGAAGGTTTTACTAAAATTTGTGTATTATAAAACTATGGATATAAGAGGGTTTTGGGTTCATTATGTATTTGAATGATAATATTGTTTGTTTTGTAGATTTCATGGTGAAAATGAAATGGACATATATTGTCCTCTTCGATATGAGAAGTGAAATGAATTATTTTGGTCAAATTATGATTCATTTTAGTTTCCAGTTAAACCACGCAAAAATGCAAACCAAACTTCCACAACCAAATGAAAAGGCTTAATTGCAAGTTTGGTCACTCGAATTGTTACAAAATTTCACGTTTGCCACTCAAATTAATTTATTCCATTTATAGTCACTTAAATTAGGTTAACAGTTCAAGTTTGGTCACTGGCCGTTAGTCTCCGTTAACTTTTGCTGATGTGGCGGTCAACTCTTATAGTTGACCGTTAAATGAGTGACGTGGCAATTAAAAAATTAATAAAATAAAATAATTTAATTATTTTTTATTTTCCACCTAATTATTATAAAAATAAAAAAAACCTAATTCCTTAATTGTTATTTTCCACCGCCCGTAGCCGTTCCTCTCCCCTCAGGTCGACGACCTCTCCCGGCCGGCCAAGCCCCGCGTGGTGGAGGAGAAGTAGGCGGTGGCGGAGGAGGAGGCCTAATGTACACGATCTTGTTCAAGGTCCTCGGGTCATCCACAACTTTGATGATGAACGCCGGCAGTCAAGAACATCGTTGAACATCATAAATACTTAAATGATACTCCAGAAGATGCAATAGCACAGACACTGAAAGCAGGTTTACTTGATCAACTCTTTTCACTGCATTTTTTCACTTCAGTCTCTGCATTTTCACTTCAACTCAACCATAAACATTTGACCCTGTGTTTTACAGGCCTGAATTTGGACTGTGGAAACTACTTCCCCAAATATGTTGGCCAAGCAGTGCATCAAGGCAAAGTCGGCGCCAACCTCATCGACGCCTCCCTCAAATCCCTCTACGTCGTCCTCATGCGCCTCGGCTACTTTGACGGCTCGTCGGAATACCACCACTTGGACAAACAGCACATCTGCACGCAGGAAAACACCCAACTCGCCGTCGAAGCGGCGAGGCAGCCGAAACGACCAACACACTCTGCCTCTCGCCGACGGCAAGACGAAGACCCTCGCCGTCGTGGGCCCGCAAGCGAACGCCACGCTCGCCATGATCGGAAACTACGCGTTCGACCCCAACCGGCCGGGATTCCCCTGCCGCTACGTCTCCCCTGTTTCGGGGCTCTCATCGTACGCCAAAGTCAGATACTCCCCCGGATGCGCCGGCGTCCGCTGCCCGGACAAGACCACCTCCTCCTCCGCCATCAAAGCTGTGGATGACCCGAGGACCTTGAACAAGATCGTGTACATTAGGCCTCCTCCTCCGCCACCGCCTACTTCTCCTCCACCACGCGGGGCTTGGCCGGCCGGGAGAGGTCGTCGACCTGAGGGGAGAGGAACGGCTACGGGCGGTGGAAAATAACAATTAAAAGGAATTAGGTTTTTTTATTTTTATAATAATTAGGTGGAAAATAAAAAATAATTAAATTATTTTATTTTATTAATTTTTTAATTGCCACGTCACTCATTTAACGGTCAACTATAAGAGTTGACCGCCACATCAGAAAAAGTTAACGGAGACTAACGGCCAGTGACCAAACTTGAACTGTTAACCTAATTTTAGTGACTATAAATGGAATAAATTAATTTGAGTGGCAAACGTGAAATTTTGTAGCAATTCGAGTGACCAAACTTGCAATTAAGCCCAAATGAAAATGACCTCATGATGATCATAATACCGCTCATCTTTCGAGTAACGTGCTCCATTCATATTTATAGCCACCGGTGGAGGCCGCCATCCATTTTTGTTACTTTGGTAGCCTAAGCTAACTTTTGTTTAATATTGTTCACGACAACCGAATAAAATGTGAATCCGTAGTTTACTTTGTTAGCCTAAGCTAACTTTGTTTAATATTGTTCACGACAATCGAATAAAATGTGAATCCATAGTATACGTAGTTGTGTGTATTCATCTTTTTAACCAAATTATTGCGGACAAATAGAAAAATATACATGTAAAATAAGTAGACATTATCTTTTCTCTCGAGTTGGCGAAAAAAAGACGTCTTTGATCCACCACATGTTATGTGGATAATTCTAAAAAGAAAAAAAAACAATAATTCTTGGTGCATAAGAAGTTTTCTCATTTGGTATCACCAATTCACCACATGTAAAATCAATGCAGTCAAAATCGCGCTTTAAAACTGAAAAGCTTACGCTTTTACCTTTTTGGGTCACCAAAATGTTTCTACGTAGAATCATGATATTCCCTTACAAATGTAGTCAAAATCTACTTTTTAAAACTTAAAAGCTTACGGTTTTACGCTTTTAGGTCACCCAACCGTTTCTAGGTAGATTCGCGCTTTTGACCGCACTGTGTAAAACCATACTAATCACCAAAAAAACCATACTAATAAATAATATTCAAATCGTCCAAAGAATTTCTCATAAATCACATTCTCTTAATTGATTTATTCATAAATCATTTTTTCCTAAAATTTTAACAAACACGATTTTATAAATTTTGTTATTAAACTGTGTTAGACTAACTTAGTGAAGTAGTCATCCTTACGATTAGGGCTGGAAGTTTGGTACCGGTATTTGGGATAAACCGAATACCGTACCGAATTTCTCTATATTTGGTCTTACCGAATACACGTATTATTTTTTGGGATTGGGATTGGGATTCAATTTCAATTGTTATTCGGTATTAGGGATTACGGGATTGGGATCGGTATATACCGAAATACCGAACAATACCGAAATATAAACTAATGTGTATTTTATGAACTCAACTAAACTATCTCATTCAATACTACACGACCCTTAACCACCAATCTATTGTTATTTACATAACATCAAAAAACAAACACTAGCATTAGTCTTCTCTTAACCTCCAATTCATCAAATTAAAGATTACCAGTGACAAAAACTTGAGATGTCATCTCTCCTACATTCTTCTTATCCATATCCTAGCTCTAGCCAAACTCAAGACCTTTTGCTTAGTCTCTTTGTCTTATATTAAGCAATCAAATCTAACTAATTTCTTATTCGATAATACCAATTGGGATACCGAAGTACCGATTGGGATACCGAAATATTTAGGGATGAGATTGGAATACTGAAATTATTTAGGGATTGGGATTGGGATTGAATTTAGGATGTAATTCGGTATTCGGTATTTCAGTATTTGATATTGGGATACCGATACCGTACCGATTTCCACCCCTACTTACGATTAGAGCTTAACCTGTAAGAATGTCATGAACAATGCCCTTCAATTTTTTTCATACAAATGAGCCATGACCCATGAGCCAATGACCTTGACCGTTCAATTAAAAGGGGAAAAAGGAAAAGGAAGAAACAAAATGATAAATAATTTGTTCCCACTTCCCTCCAATGGTTGTTAAATCAGTGGCTGCTGACCATTGATTGGGTTCAACCATTATCGGTTATAAAACCGACTGAAATGCTCTCGATATGATTGTTACATATGATTTTCGATCTCTAAATAAAATGATGTTGTTTTGATGAATTTAATTATTTCATTTTGTTCAAATATAAACTTTCGGATAAATTGTCAAATATATTGTATTTAAATAAAAAGTTTTCATTTTGTCTAGAATATTTAAATATGAATGTAGATTTTAAAGAGATTTCCTTCAAAATATACCCAAATTTATTTAATATTAATAATTTTCACTTTTCTACCTATTTTGTTAAACCGGCATAAATCGATATCAATACCACGAGCTGCACCATTACCACTCCGTAAACCATATAAACCGGTTTTCCAACCTTCTTCCCTCCCAAAGGTGCGACTCGACTCTCACCAACTCCCACAATTTTCCAATTTGGCAAATCGCCCACCACCTAACAACACCAACCCAACCGGGGGCGGCCCTTTTCATTCTTATACCCAGATCTCTGAATCTGTTCTTGACTCGCTCTTTTGCTTCAATTCATCTCACAGGGTACTGCCTCTGCTCCTTTTCTCTGCTTGTCTTTCTTTCTCTCCTGCGTTTCTCAGGTTGTCCATTCAATTCGCAAATGTGTTATTCTTGACTTTTATTTCACCTGCGTTTCTTGGTTTTGTTATTTACCTGGTTTTTGGTGATTGGAGATCTCAGTAGTCGCACCAAACGTTGAGATTTCTTTCCCCCCCTAGTTGGGTATTTAGATAAGAGAGATTTCAAAGTTCCAGACTTTTGTTCTGATCCTTTCTCCCTCTCTTCTGAGTTAAAGTCTCAGTTGTTGAAGGGAAAGGAAACGAGTTTCTGGTGTTGCAGTAGAATTGCTGAACTAGGTTGGGGGGTTCTCTTGATTGATCAATGATCCTAGTAATCTTGTTCTGCGTTCTGGCATGTCATTGTTTCAACTTGTATTTCTCTGATGCTTGATCTTGCTGCCCTTATGCATGTATGGTCTCATGAACTGAACTTGATTGAGGTAAACTTTGGCGATGACTGATCGATTGGTCGTTGGCAGTCTTCAGTCCGCTTTTCTGTGTCTTGATTTGTACTTTGATTCTCTGCTGATTGATCTTGCTGCTGTTATCTATAGTCTTGTGGTTGTGGAGGTGTGAACTAGTCTGAATTCTGTGTTGCTGCTCCTTTTAGTTTGGCACATTTGTGTCTGAATTGAACAATTGGGCGAGTATTGTAGATGACTAATGGCTTTTATAAGGGTTACATTGACCTTTTCATTATTCTTTTACCATTTTCTAATTTGTAGTTTATTAGAAGCCAGGACATGGATTACTACAATGACCCACCAATTATAAATTTTTTTAGGTGTACTGATGCCATTATCTTTGAAGAGCAGATAATGATATCTTTTTTAACCTTACTGTGTTTGAGGATAGATGGCAAGGTTTCGCAGGAATTCTGATAATATGTGTTTATGTCTAACTTTCTTTTTGCACTCCTTTTTCTTTTGTCTTGATTCTTTCTTTATATTGTGTTGTATCTGAATGCAACATGGTCAAGTTCTTAATTTGTTCTGGTTTATTGAACAGCAATATTATGGCTGCGCAAACAAGAATCGGCCTTGCTGGTCTGGCTGTCATGGGCCAGAACCTAGCTCTCAATATTGCGGAAAAAGGATTCCCCATTTCAGTCTATAATCGAACTACCTCCAAGGTTGATGAGACTGTTGAGAGAGCAAAGAGAGAGGGAAACCTTCCACTCTATGGCTTTCATGATCCTGAATCTTTTGTTAATTCAATCCAAAAGCCTCGGGTGATAGTCATGCTAGTCAAAGCCGGGGCGCCAGTTGATGACACAATCAAGACTCTTTCTGCTTACATGGAGAAAGGTGACTGCATCATTGATGGTGGGAATGAGTGGTATGAGAATACCGAGAGGAGGCAGAAGGCAATGCTTGAAAAGGGTTTGCTCTATCTTGGAATGGGAGTTTCGGGAGGCGAGGAAGGTGCAAGAAATGGACCTTCGATGATGCCTGGAGGTTCCTTTGAGGTGTACAAGTACATTGAAGACATCCTTCTCAAAGTGGCGGCTCAAGTTCCCGACAGTGGTCCTTGTGTGACATATATTGGAGAAGGTGGATCAGGTAACTTTGTTAAGATGGTCCACAATGGAATCGAGTATGGTGATATGCAGCTAATTGCAGAAGCATATGATGTGCTGAAATCAGTTGGAAAGCTTTCAAATGAGGAATTGCATAAGGTGTTCACAGAATGGAACAAGGGCGAGCTTCTAAGCTTCCTGGTCGAAATAACTGCTGATATTTTTGGAATCAAAGATGACAAGGGAGAAGGGTATTTGGTTGATAAGGTTTTGGACAAAACTGGTATGAAAGGGACTGGGAAATGGACAGTGCAGCAAGCTGCTGATCTATCCATTGCAGCACCCACCATTGCATCTTCGCTTGATGCAAGGTTTCTTAGTGGTCTGAAGGAGGAAAGGGTCCAAGCTGCTGAAGTGTTCAAGTCTGGTGGGTTTTCCGATATTTTGAGTGAACAGGTTGTGGACAAGGAGAAGCTGATTGACGATGTGAGGAAGGCTCTCTATGCTTCCAAGATTTGCAGCTATGCACAGGGAATGAATTTAATTCGTGCAAAGAGTGTTGAGAAAGGATGGGGGCTGAAGTTGGGAGAACTTGCTAGGATTTGGAAAGGAGGCTGCATTATCCGAGCCGTGTTCCTTGATAGGATTAAGAAGGCATATGATCGTAACCCCGAACTGTCTAACCTTCTTGTGGATCCTGAGTTTGCGAAGGAAATCATTGAGCGCCAGACTGCATGGAGAAGGGTTGTGTGTCTAGCTGTCAGCTCTGGCGTTAGCACTCCTGGTATGTCATCTAGTCTTGCTTATTTTGACTCATACAGGAGAGAGAGATTGCCTGCTAATTTGGTGCAGGCGCAAAGAGACTACTTTGGTGCTCATACTTATGAGAGAACCGACATGGAAGGATCGTTCCATACTGAATGGTTCAAGATTGCCCGACAGTCGAAGTACTGAGTCGTTTCCTGACGTCTTGAAGCTTGTTTCTAGCATAATAAACCGAGACCAGTCTTTTCGGTGTGGTGAAACTTTTATCCTTGTTGGATGTACTTTGGCAGGTTCTAACTGCTTTCTGTTGTAACGATTTTAAAGATTTTACATTTGCTACTTTGGTTGAGATATGTCACCCCCTATGGGAGTTCTATCATATTGTTGGAAATTTGATGTTTATTGAGAAATTGAAATATGATGGCTTTATTCTCAGTTGCTTTTTGTTTTCACCAGCTATTCTTGTAGGCTATCCTGGTCTAGAGAATGTTTGGCTATTCTTAATCCATTGGTGCATTGTTTGCTCACTTTGGCTTCACTGGCATGATCTAAAGCTATGCTTCAAATTATCAAAGCTGAACATTTTTTAGGCTGATGACAGCAGTGTGGTTTAAGAAAATTATCAAAGCTGAAACCCATTTGAAACACTGATATGTGAAATCAATCTTGCTAGTAAAAGCTCTTGGACAAGTAACTGGTTCAACTCTTTTGCTCTGCTCTTAAACAGTGGCCAATATTCGACAATTCAATCTTGGACCACTCCGAACAGTCTCGAGTTAGAATGTGAACTGATTCTTGGAAAGCACATAAATAATGTAGCTCTTGTTGGCCTGTCTTTTGTCACTGTCTCTACTACCAAGCATGGCCTTTCTCTTGTTTGTTTTCCAATTGTTCTACAATAACTAGTAGAAGAATACGAATCTCCTTGGAGATTGGGTTTATGAATCACAGATTAGATTGTGGAAGTGTGTGTGTGTGTATGTTTGAGTGTGTCTATAATATTCTTTGGCTTTTAGTGTACAGCCCATAACATGAACCTTCCTAGCTGTTGGCATTTGCATGATACAATTTTTATATACAAATGAGTCAATAGGGTTGGCATTTGTCTTTCTAGGTTGATCCATCTTCTTTCCAGCACAACATTCATTCTCTCTGTGGATGCATTTCACTATTGCACACATGCAGGCACTCACATCCCATTGCATATTATTAGCACCAAACCAAAAAAGTCCAAGACAACAACTATTAAAAGAGTATTAAAAAGAAGATATAGGAAGGATCATTGTTCTCTTCTAACTACCTTCATGTTCAATCATACAGCTTGGATAGAAATTGTACAGCAATAAAGGTTGGACCTTTGTTTCCTTCACCAGCAGAGCCTGGAATCTGGTTGGGGAAACTGTGTTGTTCTTTCTAAGTGAAAGATTAAATATGGTATGAGACTTGGATACTACAATATCCAGTTGCAGTAAAAAAGAAGCCATTTTTTTCCTTGTCGCAACTGGGTGACACTTTTTGACTATTGGGAGAAGAAATCAAACAAAAGAACACTTAAAATATGTGTTTTGCTTTTCAGAAGTGTCTGAGAAAGAAGCTACATGATTGTGTGAACATGATTTGCCTTGTCAGGGAATTTTATATGCAACTCGTGGTAAAAAAACATAAGATAAAAGAACTATTTCCGGCATTTTCTGCTACCTGTTGCAGGTAGCTTCCTATCTGGTCTGAGGCCCTTCTCTTCTTTCTTCTTGTCTTTGCTACTGCTTGGTTTGATGCCCGAGAGGAATTGGCTGAAGCTGCTGCTGATGTTCTTCTTGACTTTACCACCATGCTTGAAACTTGCAGCCTTCTGGCCATTGGATTGATGATGGCAAGCACCTGAAGAAGCATCAGAAGCCATTGAATCGTCGCTGTCTGCTTCACCTCCACCACCAACAATGATATCCCTGTAATTCCCACTGCAGTATCCTCCGTGGGCATAATAGCCGTTATTAGCAGCTTCACCATGTTCATCATTATCACTTCCATCTTCATCCATGGGAGAAACAATGTAAGTTGTCCATCCTGATTCACTGCTGCTGCACCCTTCTGAACCCACAAATTGCTTGAATGGATCCATCAAGGGAGAGAGAGCCAGAGAGGATGGGGAAAATGGAGAAACTGGAAATTTTGACAAGAGGAAAGAACTTGAGCTGTATATCACTAGTTTGAAAGAATGAATGGAAGACTTGCAGAACATGCTGATATATTTATAGATGGGGCATAGAGGGAACTTTTTCAACACATGCATTCTCTTTATATATTCTGAATCAATATATATAAGAAAACAAAGAAAAGGGAAAAGCACCAGCCTTTCTTGCATACATAATTGAGAATGTCCAAAAGTGAGAAAGAACAAAAGGGGAGAAAGCAATAATGGTAAATGAGACCATTAATCTTTCCTCCAATGTCACTTTCATCCCAACTGTGAATCCAGGCATTATTGATCACCTGTCACACTGAACTGTGAATTCCAGTATTTTATACATGCTGCTGTCCCTGTGATCAGAAGTTCCAGGAGAACCCATTCTGGAAAGGTTCTTGTGTCATCGGACCCATGACCTTAGAGGAAGTTACAGCACAGCCCACTTCCCATAATAATATCACCTTTCTGCAGAGCTCATTGAAGTTTTTGCCTGAGCTTTTGTCAGAAAGGAAAAGGCCAATCAGAAGAAGAAAAAAAAGCTGGACTGCATAGCAGGTAGTGTTTAATGTGCACAATATCCAGCTGCTGGTATGAAATCCAAAGGTTCATGACTTGTGTTCCGTTTTTTATCCTTTGTTTCAATTCAAGTGGACAATTGGATGGACTGTTCTCTGCTATTCACAGTGATTGGGCTGGCTGATGGATCTTCAGCATGGAAGGTAGAAATAACTATCATGGTATTGATTGTAGTACTCGGTGGTCCTTAGATCTGTGGGGGAATGCCCTTCTTCTGTTTTGTCCTCTTTCTTGTTATCTCACTTGTTTGTCTGCGTCATGGCAAAGCCCTACTAGGATGGATCAGAAATGTGCATGACAGTAGCTATGAGGCTGGAGGTCTGAGGAGAATGATGGTTTGAATAAAACGGGATGCACACTTCAGCACAAGTACAGTGAACAATCTCGGAAATTTATACGAATTTGTGCCGTGAACCTTCAATAAAAAGAAACAAGGACCATATGTTGTTGCCGAACTTACGCTTTCTGAAAGAATGATTAATCGTTTTAAACTCTTCCTCCCTCGCACAGCACGCATCGGCTCACAAAGAACCTACAAGGTCCAGAAGAAATCCAACCACAAGGAAGACGAGATGACATATTAATCAAATCCAACCTCTCTCTCTCAACCCCTCTCAAAGAAAAAAAAAGTATATGTAAATTCCAGTTCGCACTCCCCTCTGCTTGATGATAGAAACCTATTTCTTAGAGTTCAGTTATTAATTATGGTAGGATAATTATTATTAGGGTTAGTAGTCTTTTAGTCGTATTAGGGTTACTATTAGGTTTTTCTATCTTTCCCTATAAATATGTACTTGGGTATTCAGTTATAATCAATCAAGAAAGAATTATCAAAGTATCCTTTCAAACCTAATCTCTCCTAATCCTCTCAAACTCTTTTCTCCTCCTAATCTGGCCGCTGGCCGTTCTGTTCTTCTTCTCCCTAAATTATGTTCCTAATCCCTAATTCTCTTCTAAATCCCTAAATCTCAATCAATTCCCAAATTCCCAATACAATCGATAGAACCCTAGAAATAGGTTTCTATCACCTCATGACATAAGAAGATTAGCAGCATGTTAAGTACGAGGTGTAGTAGAGTGATAGTTGTAATCATTGTTTTTACAATTGTATTTTTTGCAATTGTATGACCACAACCCGAAGCGAAAACTATTACAATTCATGATCAGCTGCCTAAACCCAAAACTGACAGTAGTTTTGGTCTGATATTAGATATTTAACGTGAAAGATGGCCCAACCCATGAATACGATAACAAATGGCCCATTATTCTTATTGGGCCTCGGAAAGCCCGAAACATCGATCCGAAGTCCGAACAAAACAATTTGTCCGAATTCCTAATCCGACAACTAAATGGAAGCAAAGCCGCCGCCGTATAACTGGAGTATAAGCACTCTTCGTCTCCGTCGTAATCCCTAGCCAGTGTCCATCACAGAATCGTTTCTTCCGGCGCCGGCGTCGGCGTCGGCGTTTATCTTCCTTCAGCCCATCCGTCTGCGCCATGGCTATGAAGAAGCACTACACCTCCGATTCGGTTCTACCGCGACGCATCCTCCTCGGCCGCTGCGGTAAACGGCCACGAATCAGTTCAGAAGCAACAAATCCTCCTCCTCCTCCTCCCACGGAGATTAGCAAACTCGGAGACGATCTTCTCGTGGAGATTCTGATTCGTCTCCCGAGCCCCAGATCCGCCTGCCGCTGCAAACCCGTTTGCAGCCGCTGGAGGTCCCTCATTTCGAGCCCTTGCTTCAACAGCCATTTCCTTTCTCACCACCAGAGATTGGAGCTGCCACCTATGCCGACCAACCCGCACGAGCTGCAATCGATCATCCTGGGCGTTCTCCCTCCCATGCCCGATAGCGTTGGAGGCAGTCTCAAAGTCTTGGATTGCTTCAAAGACTTGGTCTTGTGCGGGTTCTGGGATGTGTATAATCGGGAGCTTTGCAGGTCGTACCTGATCTGCAATCCGTTTACGAAGCAGTGGATCGCGCTACCTTTAGCCCCTAGGAAGCCAGAGTGGTATTTCTCATCAGCTTCAAGGTTAGTTTGTGAACCCCGTAGTTCTAATAATCTTGATCTAGGAGACGGCCAAACATTTGTTTATTCTGAGTACCGCTTCGCGGTGGTGTGCATATATCAAGAAATCTCATCGAAGGTTTATCTAAAGCTAGACGTATTTTGTTCCGGAGTCTGGAGAATGGACCAACGAGGCATTTGTCGGCGTTGGTCAGCATAAAATAGGAGGAATGGGGTCTGTAAGTGCGTGCAGTGGGCAGTTTTTCTGGACGTATGGGAGTTCCATTGGAGCTCCGGTTTCGCTGGCTGTGTTTGATCCTTTCCGCCATGGTACACCTCCAGTTTGCATCGATACGTCTGCATTCCTTGGGGGATCATTAGTGTGGACAACTTCGGTTTGCCAAGATGCTTTGCACATAATTGCTAACAACCGCAAAAGTGCAACTCTTCGTCCAACCATTTGGAGATGGGAAGAAGACGGTAAATCTTGGAGGAAACAATGTGAAGGGTCGGTGAATAAGAAATGTCCTTGTTGTGGCCACGAACCTAAGGATTGGTTTGAACCTTTTCTTCATCCATATAATCCAGAGATTGTCTTTTTCCAATGCATTGGTTGTGAGACTGCTTTACTGTCTTGCGATTTGAGAAGGGAAGAGGTAGAGTTCGTCGCTAATGTAGAAGGGAGGCATGCTGACATTCCAGTCATGGTGTTTGAGCCTAGGGTATCTTGCTGGCCGGCTCCGATTCCAAGATACGAGGAATTGCGAGTTATGTACAATGGAAGCTATAGCTTTTGGATTCAGAGCAGCAATGAAGCAACCACTCCCACGGTAAGTAGTTACATTTACTTTTTTGTTTTTGGCTATACATGTCTGTTAGGTTTAGGAATTTACCGGGATGAGATAGGGTCACAATACCATTATGTAGCTTAAGGACACTCTTATGTATCTGTACCTTTATAGTCGAGATTGGTGAACTAGGAGCCCTAACGTGAAATCTGATTTACCAGCACCGAAATCTAGCTTCCTAACTATAGTCGAGGTTCAAGAATTTGGAGAACTAGGATTCCGCCACACAGAACTTACAGCACTCTTAATTCCCAGAATCTTCGTCCTGGCCTGTCGATAGGGTACAATTAAGTTTCTTCTTCTTCTTCTTCTCTTCACATACCAGCTTCCTCGATTCCGCGGCGGTTGAGGAAAAACTCTTGCAATGCATGCTGCCTTTCTTTCTTTGATTTTGCTTTTCACGTTTCATTGAAATCTGGGTTTCATCTTGCAAGTTATAGGTTGCTCGTTTTGTATGTTTCTTTTCTCTTTGATTTCCGCTCATCTACGGCAGAAGTTTTTGTTTATTTATTTATTTATTAAAAGAGCTTCTTCGTCGTCACTGCTGCAGAGTGATGCTGCTGATGCTGCTATCGTTCTAGTTCTACCGATATGGACTGAGAAGAGATGGAGGCGCAAACGATCCAGATGAATAAGTGCCTACATTGCAATTTTCAATAAGTTTACATTCTTACTTTTTATTTTTTAATTATTAATCAAATGGTTTAACCGGTTCATGATGTCTTATTGGACTTTGCTACGGGACTTACAAATCACCGTAATTTGCAATTTTAAGTGGACCTCATATAGGGTTAGGTCGACTCAGTGGCAGGTCTAAATTTTGAAAAAGCGATTATCCAATCCCGGTGGTAATTTACGTATGGACAAAAAAAGTAATAATTAATAGTCAGGGACACCCTGAAATTGCGAAAACAATTATCCTACTCTCGTTTGCAGATTGCATATGAGAATTTAAATGGTAGTTTGGGTAATTCAAACACGGGTCACTACTATTATTATATTAATAAATATAAATCTCATACAATTTTTTTGTTGTTCTATTCTAAACACTATGTAATAGCAAAACCCTATTCTATATCTTTAATTATTTTCAAAACATAACAATTAATCTAATTACAAGCTACCCTTAATTTGTATTGATTTTATGGTTGCACGACAAGTGTTGAAAGTGTCTTTTCATTTTTGAGTTACATCAAGAACAAATTTAGAAGTTCCTTACAAAAACAAATTTAGAAGAAGAATATGTGTCAGTTCGTCAAGATTGTCTAGTAGGATATACCGAGACAAATTTGTTGAGCAGCGTAGACACCAAGTGTATTTTACAATTTTTTCAGAATATGAAAATACATTATGGACTTTGTTTAACTTGTACGAGTTGGTTATTTTCTTATTTAATAATTATTTTTATTTACTTTATTTTTTGAAAGAGAACACCCTTATGTAAAAATTTTGGGTCCGCCACTGAGTCGACCTAATCAATTGTTTCAGTTTTGTTAGACTCAACGACGCGGTTGACCTTCATGCGCAAGTGGGTGACCTCTTTGGGAAGCGAAAAATAGAAAAGGTCGACCTACATACGGAAAAAGCCGACCATTTAGCTACAAAAGGGTCGACCTCATATGTGAAAAGGTCGACCTCGGTGTAGTTAACTGATCAACGTCAAATTCTGGATTAGTTAGGAAAATAATATAAACGGTCGACCTGACAATTACGAGGTTGACCGCATCCAAACCATATACTTATTGGATAAGGATTCCAACACCAGAAAGGTAACCCTAACTTGTCTGCCACTTAATTCGACCCCATAGCTTCCTAAATATCTATAAATACGAATATATGTCACCTTCAACGCCACCGAAACTCTGAAGTTGTTTTTTTGTACGATTAGAGCTTTTGTGGAGAAGATCATTTGCGGTTGCTGTTGTACATGTTTGAAGACGTCGACCTCGTGAGCGGTTTGGACGAGTTATTTTAGCTATCGCCATCATCTTGTCTAGTGCGTAATTTGCACCGTTTAATTTGATGTTTTGTTGTGTGCAGAAGACTATTCGGTTGACCCTTATCTCAATCAGGTCGGCCTCTGTTTGACAATTGCGAGAAATTGAATTTAGAGCACAACACTCAGACTTCTGTACTTGCGAGGTAAGGAAGATCAAACTCAATAGGTCGTCCTAATTATTGTCTAGGTCGACCGGTTATGTGTGTAGACACCACTTTTTATCCGGGTCAAAACATATTTAATTAATAAAAATTTAGTTTTTTGCTTGAGATTTGCAATAGCAAATTTCTAGCTATAATGTATTATAGTGCTTGGGATGAGTTGTCACATTGCCTCAATCGAGATTATGCAATAGAAAATTTCAATTGATTCATTTTGATAGTTGATAGTGACGAGTTGACGCGATTATACGAACAAGGCTTGTGTTTGGTTTTGGTTAACATGCGAGTTAATTGATCATTGGATGTTGTAAGAATGGGTCTCAAATTCTGAATAATAATAAAATTCGGATGTGCCATTGGTTTTGTTGGCTTTGCAGAGGCTAATAACTCTATTTTTGTTTGGGAGCGTTTTATTCCTAATATTGATGATCCATTCCTCGCAGAGCTCTTGGCCCTTCGCGACTCCTTACGTTGGTGCATGGCTCACTCGATCACTAATGTTTTGTTTTGTGGGGATGCGCAGGTGATTGTTCGGATGATTAATGCGAAGGACTCGGCGCACGTGGTGGGCGGAGCTCTCCTGCAAGAGATTCAGGTGTTGCGGGCTTCCTTCCTTCGTGCAACGTTCCATTTCGCTTCCCGTAGGTATAATAGGCTTGCCCATTTCGTGGCAAGACAAGCCCTTGGAGCGATGGTGCAGACACTTGTCGACCATCGTGTTTTGCTTATTTAACTTTCCTAGCCTGGTCTTAGGAGGCCTTGTATTTTGTCGTATCTTCGCTGCTTCCCTTTTGGGATAACTTTGGCAAAAAAAAAACAATGTCATTAAAGATGAAACAATGTCAAATAACTACATTACAATATAAAAGAATTACAATAGTAATTAACATTGTATGATCCACAATAAAAGAAAATTAGTTAGGCGAGTTTTTAACAAAATTCACACCCGACCCAATTCATTATTTACATAAGCGGGTAAAATTCGTTCCCTGCCTACAATTTGGCAACACCGATACCGGATCGGAAAAAGTAGGTAAAATATGCTCTCGAGCCAATTCAATGATTACAAAAGTGGATGAAATTCATCTGGGCCCCCCAAAAGTGTGAGGGACCGGGTTAAACTCCTCGACCCAAAATTTGACAACACTGGATTCAACTCAATAAAGCAGGGCGAGTTCTTAACAAAATGCACATCAGGCCCAATCAGTCAATTACAAGAGTGGGTAAAATTTGTTCACGACCTAAATTCGGCAACCCCGATACCGGGTCGAATTAGTTTGAACACAAAAGAATTTGAGTTCCATTGTTGTAAGAGGAAATATTTAAAACATTTGATTAATAACCCAATTCGTTAATTACAAAAGCGGGTGAAATTCATTCCTGACCTAAAATTTGGCAAGATCGATACCAGGTCGAATTAGCCTGAACTCACATAAATGTGGGTTCAATTGTGAAATAAATCGTGAAATATTTTAAAATTTTGATTAATTAATAAAAAGGTTAACAATAAAAATAATCCTAGTTGATAATACCTATTGATTTGGTTCCTCGACCCAAAATTAGTTAACACCGAGTTTAACTCGCTCTAATCAGGTCAAATTAGGTTGAATATTGATAAGTGTGGAAAATCTGAAAAATTCGTCAACACCAAGTTAAACTCGCTTTCCATTGATTTGGTGTGAGTTTGTGTTCAATTGTGCCTTCATTGCACAAGGCCGACACAACGAACAAAATTGTCAAACGACGCTAATCGTGATTCGGGCAAGCGACAAAACCGGTATGCCAACCAGCCCGATCCAACCACCAAACCCCAAAACCATTTGCAAGACAAAACGAGGTAAATAGTTTGAAGAATCAATAGATTAAGAAAAAAAATTCAAATTCGGCGAGTAAAAACATCCAACCCCTAAAGTCTCCAAAACCATTTCCAAGCTTGAGAGGAAGAAAAAAGCTCTAACTATGATCGATTAGCGAAGGACACCCCCAAAGTGTAAAAAACCATTTGCAAGGCGGGGACAAAAAAAGTAGTAAAATGACTGTAACCTTCATCGATAAGTAGTAAACCGGACCCTCGACCCAAAATTTGTAAAAACTAATTTCAACTCGCCTTAACCTGGTCCAATTAGGTCGAATAGCCATTGATTTGGGTTCAATTATGATTCAATTGTTGTCATAAGTTAAGTGATTAGAACCTCAATAGCACTAAATTAATTGTTTAGAACCTTAATGACATAAAAACTCCTCCAAGCATTAACCAAAAAAAGTGGCAAAGCCGAGAGGACGAAGAGAATCGTCAGTCGGCCAATGAGTCCAACAACACCACAAACGCAAAAGCAATTAAATCACAAACAAATTACAAAAATGGTCGAGAGGACGAATGGTATCGGCCAACCGGGGCGGTTTGCGCAAGAAAATTTAAGTCGGCCAACGGGACCAACAACGCTACAACCACGAAAGCAATTAAATCCCAAAGAACACATGTCAATCAACAAATTACAAAAATGGTCCCAAAGCCTTTCAAGAGTAAAAACACAAGTACACAACAACAAAAAGTGCCCCTAATTTTCCACTAATCACAAAATGATCATGTTTGGTGATGTTTGCTTGTTCTTTAATAATAATAATAATAATAATAATAATTATTATTATTATTATTATTATTATTATTATTTGGGCGGGGACAAGCTCTTTTCTTTCTTTATTCACGAGAAACGGATAAAAACAATCAGTCTAGGTAGTAGAGAAGCTGTCCAAAAATGTTTGCAGAACAAAAGGCAATCTTGATGAAGCTGTAAGATATACAGTCTAAAGCTGGTTTCACCTCAAGTCAGCAGAAGCCAAGCTGGTTTCACATCATTTGTTTATTTAAGGTCACACAAAAGTCGCGTATTTTCAGATTATAGCAAAGAGAAACAGAAACCATGTTGAAACAATAGAAGAATCAGATATCTGGTGAGTTGTTTCTACTCTGGCTTCAAAAAATCTACTTTCCACACCCCTTATCTATTCTGAAGTTTTGAAACAAAACATTCTTCCTGAAAATACAGAAGAAAGCTTTATTATTATGTATTGTTTTCTTAAGAACCTATAGTCAATAATGGAAAAAGTGATTCAGCCTAAGAGTCTGACATAAACGCTCCTTGAATTATACACTGTATACTCATCATCGGCTCACATTACATTAGTTGATTCCCCAAGTATTGAATATTAAATATTCCAACATGGACACTCACTGCAAGGTCGCTCGAAAGGAAAGCCAATCCGAGCTTTCAATCGAACAACTACATCTGGTGTATGATGTAGCATAGCCAATGAGCTTACTAGATAGCTAATGTTATGCATAAGTAAACTGTAAGCCCTAGATTTGAACTACACTAGGGTTGAACATTTTCTAAAAGCATTACCTTCATTACAAACACTTTGGAATTGCTATTTAACACAACATTACCTGATATAACCCTTCCACTGGAGCACGGAACTAACAACCAGAAGGGATCTTCTTCACTCATCTAAAGAAGCAACAAACCAGCTACAAATCCCATTCCCTACAAAATTTTATCTTACTGATGTCATTGTCATTCTGTAGAAAATGCCAATTATTAAAGAAAGCATGAACAACAAGAATTCCAACCTGAACATATCCAACATCTCTATCACAAACAGAATATGCCTTCAAACATCCATGTTTCTTCTAAAAGAAGACGAGAGAAGTAAATGTGTGAGATATCTAACGGATTATGCCCACCCCAAACATCCTGCAGGACTTTTGCAGTAATTAGTTGGTCAAATTCACACTTCTGGACTAAAAGCTCCCATATCCTAGATTTATAATGCCCAGCTTAGTAAACATAGTTCTTCTGAGCAAAATCCAGTCTTCACAGCCAATATGAACGTACTGCCAAGTTTAGGACAACAATTTCTCAGAAAATAGAAGATAATCCATGTACGTGTCATCAAGTTTTCCATTTCTAGATGACATTGTTTTTGCACAAACCCTGAAGCTGCTGATAAAAGATGCAAAACACTCCTTGGTCCCCAACCATTGCATCCTACCGAACCCTTTCCAGTCTACCATCAAGAGGACTAAAGGACTGATAGTTTACAACCGATGCGCCAAGTTATTTGTATAATGAAAATACAAGTTGTTTATAGTGTGGTAAGATTTTCCAGATTGAACTACCTTGGAGTTTTCAATGTTCTGAAGAACAATGAGCATTGAGCTATCCCTGCTAAATGCAAACGTTCCTTTAAAACACATGAAACGCATCAATCAGAATCAAGAAGACAGATAAAATCATGGTGTTTATTCAAAAACTCAACTTAAATAACACATCAAACTACAAAAGTTTGGGCAGTCGGGAGAAAAGGAGCATTGAAGTGCAACGAACTAGTATTTCAAATAGCTGAACTCACAAATGCTTAAAAATCCAAGCCATTCACAAATCAAGTTAACTAATTATATCAAACACCTTAGAAACTCAGAGGTGGTTTAGAAAACAACTCAGTTTGACACTATTGAAACAGGAAGAAGGCGAAGTTGTACCCCTCCTTTTCCCTTGAGGCTTGTTCACTTTCTGTTCAGCTTCCCGAATCCTCTACTTGATAGGGTCCCCCGAGACCTTGGTCAGATCAAGGGACTTCAGGTTTGTGGTAGTAATTCTTTTTCTGCGAAGTATTCAAGTTTTGATATCGCTCTCCAGCTGCATAAGAAATTTAATAACTATTGTTAAATTAAAGAACAACAAGAACGATACATGAATAAAATTCATTTGAATTACTTACTCATGTTGGCAGCTCTCCACCCCATCAAGAAGCGCTTCTTGATCTTCCTTAGGCCAACGTTTATACCCTCTATGGTAGAGGATGCTGTCTTCGTATTCTTCAGACCAGACCCAACAGACTTATCAGACATGCCAGTTGCAGATTTCAAACACCAGAAGAATTATTTCCCGTGGCAGCAGCACCTTTGGTAGCCATACCTTGCAAGTAATTACCAAAGATGAAACAACCAGAATACTTGGGAGCAACACGGATTTTCCACTCCAATTCAACCCTTTTGAAGTCATCAATGTTATCAGGATATTCTCCCATTGAAATTGATCCGAAGCTCGCTCCGAAGGAATCGGCTCCGAAGGTCACTCTGAAGGAATATGCGTCTGCCAAAGTAATTACCAAAGATGGAACAACCAGAATACTTGGAAGCAACACTGATTTTCCACTCCAATTCAGCCCTTTTGAAGTCATCAATGTTATCAGGATATTCTCCCATTGAAATTTGCGCTCCAAAGGATTCAGATCCGAAGCTCGCTCCGAAGGAATCGGCTCCGAAGGTCACTCTAAAGGAATCTGGTCTGCCGAAGTAATTACCAAAGATTTAACAACCAGAATACTTGGAAGCAAGACTGAATCCTTCGGAGTATTCTGGTTGTTCCATCTTTGGTAATTACTTCGGCAGACCATATTCCTTCGGAGCCGATTCCTTCGGAGCGAGCTTCGGATGTGAATCCTTCGGAGCGCAAATTTCAATGGGAGAATATCCTGATAACATTGATGACTTCAAAAGAGTTGAATTGGAGTGGAAAATTAGTGTTGCTTCCAAATATTCTGGTTGTTCCATCTTTGGTAATTACTTCGGCGGACGCAGATTCCTTCAGAGTGACCTTCGGAGCCGATTTCTTTGGAGCGAGCTTCGGATCTGAATCCTTCGGAGCGCAAATTTCAATGGGAGAATATCCTGATAACATTGATGACTTCAAAAGGGTTGAATTGGAGTGGAAAATCAGTGTTGCTTCCAAGTATTCTGGTTGTTACATCTTTGGTAATTACTTCGGCAGACGCAGATTCCTTCAGAGTGACCTTCGGAGCCGATTCCTTCGAAGCGAGCTTCGGATCTGAATCCTTCGGAGCGAACTTCGCACCGGAAATGACACCTCTCTCCAGAATTATTCGCGGCGGAGGAGCTGGTGATGATTTCAGCGGAGGAGCCGGTGCTCATCGCGGCGGAGGATCCGGTGATCATCGCGGCGGACGGCAGTGAGGTCTTCGCGGCAGAAAGCAGTGAGGTCTTCGCGGCGGACGCAGATTCAGTCGGAGCAACCTTCGAAGCCAGGACCGTGTTGATTTGCGCGACGGAGGAGGCCGAGACCTTCGTAGAAGTGGAGGCGGCGACCTGATCGGCGGGTGAGCCAGTGGCCTGAGCGGCTGAGGTGGTGACTTGCTCGGCGGAGGAGGCGGCGTTCTTTGAGGAAGCTTCTTCGGTGATCTTCATGGCGGCAGATCTGAATTCTCCCAAAGCCTAGATCGATTTTGTAGTCGATCGAAATGATGAAAAATGAATTTAATGGATTTATATATCCAGGTAGAGGAGTGCAATGAGACCCGAGGAGGGTTCATTTGAACGTAGAGGAGATTAACACTGTTAATGGGGGAGAGGAGATTCAGGCTGTGAGTGGATTAAGGTTTGGGAGCCTGGTGAACAACCTTTTTCTGCAAGTTCCGGCCAGTTATTTATATGGGGAGTGAAGGGGTATTTGGGAAATAAATAACAAACCTAAAATAATCTTTTACCAAAAGGAAGTACAATAATTGCAGGTTTAGTTTCCCAAATATCCTTCACTCCCCAGAATTGTCACTTACACTAAACTTCGTACTAAATTAGGGTATTAACCCAAACCTAAAATAGTCTTTTACCAAAAGGAAGTACAATAATTGCAGGTTTAGTTTCCCAAATATCCCTTCACTCCCCCATATTTATTTGGGTTAATACCCTAATTTGGTCCGAAGTTTAGCGTAAGTGACAATTCTGGCCTCATTTTTCAAATAAGACATTTATGGCATACTTTTGAAATTATTAGACAAATTTGGCCCGGTGTTTGGGTTGACCATCAAAACTAACGGTCAAACATTCTCACCGTTAATGACTCAGCAAAAGTTGATGATATGGCAACGACATGGCTACCACGTCATTTCCACAAAAATTGAAATAAAAACATGAAAATGAAATAAAAAACAAAAACTTGAAGAGTGAAGGTCATCTTCTTCAAAACCAAATCTCAACTAGCTGCAAACTAGAAAGGGCCTCCATTCTCCGGCAGCAACCTCCTCTCCGTCGAGAAGAACCCAACCCGTCCCCTTCCCTTATTTGTCCCCAACAATCAGCCGCCGCCCTGCTCACCTCTGCTATCGACGAAAAGCCGTCGTCGTTCTCTGCTTCTAATCTTTCCCCAACCAGCCGGCGAGTCCAAGACAAGAAGGACGAGACTCGCCGCTCTCTACTTCATATCTTTGCCAGCCAGCCGGCGAGTCCGATGCAAGAAAAATAGGACCCTACGCCCTCTCACCTCTCGTTGCGAGAGTTGCTTCCCCTATTTCTCTTCACAATCCAATCCGCCATTTTCCCCACCGGGCATCGGTAGTGCAAATCCACAGCTAGGCTAAGCTCTCTCACGTCTCTCGTCGCCAGAGCTGCTTCCCCTGAGATTGAAATCGATGCAAACGAAATTGGACAAAGATTTCATCAAAATTAAGAAAAAGAGGGAAAAAGGAACAATGAATTGAAATTGCGGGGAGGGCGACAGTTCGGGGCCTGAACCTGTGGGGCTTCCTCACTCTGTCAGTCGCGAGGCAGAATTCCTTGCGGCCTTTGTAAGGGACTTGATTTCGGTGAGGATTATCGGGGAAAGAGAGGGGGGTTTATTGGAATGGAGAACAGGAGAAGAGAGATTCAAGCAAGAGTGTTCTTTGTGGTGGAGGATTGGAGAGCGGATGACGGAGACGGAGAGTGGTTCAAGGGATTATTTTTCATGTTTTTATTTTTTTATTTCATTTTCATTTTCATGTTTTTGTTTTTTTTTATTTCATTTCATGTCTTTTTTTTAATTGTTAATTTTTGTGAAAATGACATGCCAGCCATGTCATTGTCATATCAGCAGTTTTTGCTGAGTCATTAACGGTGAGAATGTTTGACCGTTAGTTTTAATGGTCAACCCAAACGTTGGGCCAAATTTGTCCAATAATTTCAAAAGTAGGCAATAAATGTCTTATTTGAAAAATGGGGTCAGAATTGTCACTTACGCTAAACTTGGGGCCAAACTAGGGTATTAACCCTTTAGGTTTTGGGAAAAGATACAAATTCCATGAGTGACGCGGGTTTTAATGATTCAAAAATAAATATTAATTTTTTGCACCCTTCGATATCGATCCATCCGTTTTCACGGCATCCTGTTAATCTTCGCGTTTACAGTTCTGGGACTAATTAACAATAGCTTTTACCTGACCCATTGGTCGGATGAATTTATTTTATTTGTCATTACTTCATTCGATAGTTATAAGAACCGAACTGCATCAACGGTCGGACCAGTAGAACCGTCAAATCAGTTACGATAGCGATCCGGTTCATTGTTTGGACGACTATTGATGGACCAAACGGGTTTTCACGGTTCAACATAAAATCATATGAACTACCACGGTTTAACTGGTCCATTGGTTCGCTATTTTAACCAAAAAACGCTTTAACATAAACTAGCTTTCTTCCCGGCCGTTGGCCGGGTCGGTTACTTTTTTTATTATTTATTTTAATTGATTTATTTGGTGAGAATAAAGTTTTTTTAGGCCCGTAATTTATTGTTTGTGCAATTTGTCGAGGATAGATGGATAAGCAATAAAAAGAAATATCCTTATGTATGGTTAAGTTATTTTTAAATTATCATCTTTAATGTTGTTGTAAATAATTATGAAACCTTTTGGTTGTCTTTTGCATGCAACTTCAATGAAGGGTTTTGCTATCTTGACCGAATATAAGTTATTATCTGTACCAAATATCGAACACATTCTTGTTTCCAAGTTAAGCTACTGACCTCCTAATACATGATTATTCTCTATTAACTAAACCCAACAGAGTCCTATGGCAATATTTAACATACTAATTCATCTTGATTCAATTCTACAATTTCGAATCATGCCGTCCATGGTGATTTATAAAGTCTTGTTAATATTATGACTATGTATATTATCACAATGAATGCACTCAACAAATGGTCGAGGGTTGTGAAAAAGGGTCTAGTTTACTCGTAATACCATTGCTCCTGAAGAGGTCCAAATTCAAATCCCTTGAATAATACCTAACTAAAAGCAAACCTATATTACACATATAGAAAAGAAACAAATGATCGAGGGTTCACGTCTTGACTTGTTCTTTAAATATATGGTTGATAATTTATAGTGCACGCCAACCCTATGAATACATGCAACATTCATAATTAATAGAGCATTTATATTATATGCCATGAAATTTGGATGCCTATGAAACCATCATACATCTTGAATAATAAATATATAAAAATAATGTATATATTAAATTTACAATCATTATAAACATTATGATCACATATGTTCAAGAAACGTTTGATGTATGATAGATGTTATCAATAATAACATTGTAGATGCACTTAAATTTATATGCTCATGTGTAAGCTTTTAACTTGTATTAATTTTAAAGGCCATATAAGAAGGATTCCCAGACAACACAGTAGGGGAATTATTTTTCCAGAAAAGAGTCCAAAGAACCGCTGACTAAATATTTAAATAATATAAATAAAATAACCACCGAAAACAGTAGAGAAGGGATCGAGGATTACGTAGAGGGATTGGTTTTCCAAATCTCTTCAATATTTTTTTTTAACATGTGGTGCATTTTGATTGGATAAAAGGTTGATGATGTGGAAACATGAGGTAACGGGAAATTTGAATTGGGGAGGCTGTTTTTGAGAAAACGCTTATAGTATTCTTTAGACCAAGACCATCAAACCATAATTATTAATTTTATATATGCTTCCTCTTCTCATTCCAACTTTGTTGTCGACTTTACGTTGTCCATTACCGACTGGAACTGTAATTTTTAATTTGAATTAAAAAAATATGTTTATTTTGTGAGATGATTTGAATGATTTATTAGATATTTTTGGTGATGATATGAATTTGAAATTATTTATGGTCAATGATAACTTCATTCTTAAATTAGTGTAATATACAAGTCTTGTATGTTATATATAAGTTCTTTATACCGAGGCTACGAGAGAGGAATGAAGTTGCCTCGACTGAAAGGAGAGGGACTGTCCCGTCAATGTGTAAAAGCAAGAAGAAATTGGGAGCCTCTGAGTTGTAAGCTAAGCTTGCAACTATGAAAAGTAGAAAGAAAAACCAAGATCAAAGTAATAGGAAAGCAGCGCTTGTTGATTTCATCCAAAAAAGGTATTTACGTTTTCAATTACGAATCATAAACGGTTCCATCAACAGTTGACAAATGGTTTTGTAACGATTAACCACTGAGCCTTAAATCACTAACTTTTCTGATTCAACCTCCTGTCCGGTTCGAAAAACAACATACTAATTACCCATGTTGTACAACCAAGTTCAAACCTTCTAATTTGAGGCTTCAAGTAATTGTAAGTCTTTGTAAACAAAAGTGATTGCAAGTCCACAGGAGAGGTTTCAAGTTGGGAAAAAGTAATAATAATATGGTTAAAGATGGTGGTAATAGTTACCAATAAAAAAGATGGTGGTAATTGTGGCATGCTATCTCAACACTTTTCTTTGGTAAGGCCGATGCATGGCATCCAACTTGGATTAAGACATGTTCTTGGGAAACTTTTCGAGTATTATCACCCTCTATATACGTGATTCGTGACTAATCTGAATCTCCCTGTTGCGACTGAGGAAATCCTTGAAATGTTATGCAATCAATATGTCGACCATTAATTGCAAGTAATTCAAGCCTCTTTGTTTTGAAACGTTCATAGATGAAATGCCCCTACGAAAGACTATTGCACTTTGCAGCCACCACACCTCATCTAGACCTATATGCACCCGATTTCCAAATCAAAGGCATCTATCCTCTAATCTAAGCCACTTCCAATGCTGTTTTGAGTATATCCAACAAAAAAAAAAAAAAAAATTATGCAGAATCATCCACTCCATGACTACAGGAGCCTTCACACGTGCGCGCTGCATTCTGTATCAGCCAGTCCAGGAGTAATATGTCATGCCAGTAGGAGCTATGTTGAATCCGTTCTCGGTTTGCTGCCCCGTGATAATTATACAAAGTAGCATCATACTATGATTTACCTGCACTTTGCACTCTATGCAGCCAACATGACCTGCATATCAAGCAGCTAGCTCTCAACGAACTTATTCCATCTTCCATTAAAGGGAAAACTGAGATGGTGTGATGTAGGAGAGTAGCAACTCCTTAAGACACCTAATTGAAAGAAATTAAGCACATGGTCACCTAACCAATAACATTCATTGACCCAAGGGTTTTCAGCAAATAAGTGGTCATGGTTTTGGTTCTAATGAAAGTGAATTTTAATTTTGCCCTGCATATGGTTCATCCCCAAGCGATACCCATGCCTGGACTGCCTTACAATGAAACAAAGAGGAACCAAACGACCAGGATTGGGGGACATATAGTTTGCCCAAAAAATGGATGCAATTCAACAAAAAAAAGGAGCAGGAAAATTAAGACGTATAGTTCTACAATGATTATGACAACATGACAGGAGCAGGAAGATTAAGACATATAGTTTGCTCACAAATGGCTGCAATTCATATAGTTTGTTCAAAAAAGGCATTCAAGTTCGTACAACAGCCAACATATAATTCGAGTTGATGAAGTTTAAGACTGAAAGCTCAAGTTTTATGTAAGGAACCAGATTTTGATAGTAGAGGGAATAACATACCTTCTCACTGTTCTGTTTCCAGCTTACTTCACTCGAAGAAGAAAATTCCTTCGTATTACCTTCGAAGACCCTTTTCCAGAGATAGATAATTTGACTAAATGAAAGAGCAGAATCGCGGAGGCAGGAGGGCAGAGATTTGGGAGGTGGCCTTCCTATCACCTGCAAGCTGCACTTGGCAAATCTTCCAATTTTCTCAAATAACAAACAAATACCACATTCAGAAAAAGATCAATATTGCATCGGTAATTTGGTATTCTAACCTTAAACTTAATGTTATAAATAAAGCATAACATCATTTAGTCGAGAGGGGTGCAGCCACAAACAGAAAGATAAGATACAGAAACATCAATGAGAGTTGGATAGCTAACACATCTAGCATAAGTAACACAGTGACAAAGTAAAATCATGAGGTTCCTTCCTGTACTTATAGATGTTATTTTACACTATTGAAGAACCAATCAAGCAAGTGCACACAAAGAAAATAGAACATGTGCTCATAAATATAATACTACTGTCATCTTAGATGGTTCCCTACTGCTAGCCCGGAAAAGAAATGTTGAAAGACTGGACTATAGGAAACTATATGATATGAGTATCTTTGGCTCACTGGTTCGGTTAAGTCGGATCCCTTATGTGTGGTATAATTAGTTCATGATTCAGGTTCTGTTTTCCTTCTCATTGAAATTATATTTTTGCTTGGTTCTATTAGTTTTTGCGATTCATTTTGACTGTTCATATATTAGTTGAGAAGTCTTATGAGTTACATATACAACCACTGCTGCCTTTTGGACACTATATAGTCTGTAAATGAAACAGAATGTAAAACCTAGTACGTGCCTCAACTTTGGCAAGTTACAGATAAAGAAGTTATGTTTTTTTCACTGAACAAAGCCAAAGTAGGGAACACACACCCGACTCATAAACGTGGAACATGATCTGGATATTCCATAACTGACATATATACTCCCTTACATACTCAATCTAACCTGCTATGAATGAAATACTCATTAACCCTATAGAACAATCTCAGAAAAGATCACTGAACATACTGCACTCTAAACCCAATTATGTGTGCATTTCCACCTCATAGCATATTTGGTTACTACCCCATTCCCAAAACTGGGTTGCCTTTATCCAGCCACCACACAAATATAGGTTCAATAACTAATCACTTCAACTCTGTGGCTGACCTTCTTAATAAATGCAGAAGCCAGTAAGCAAATCCAAATTGTGCTTGTCTCGATAGAAAGCCACAAAATGATTGCCAGCAGTAACAGAGAAACAAAGAGCACAGATTCTAACTTTGCCGAGTCTAACTACCTTAACCAGTATGTATATACCACATTATAACCCAACCCAATATTGAGCTCAAAGGACTCCTAGTAGACATCAAACTGGGAATATAGTAATTGGCTAATTGCACTAAAATTTCTCACTTCAGATGCCAGGTGTCAAGAGTCACATAAGACCAAGAGATTAGAGCATAATTGAGTCCAACGGACTAAATCAGTATGCATCCACCACATAACAAACCAGCAGAACACCATGATCGGCAGCATACAATAGGTACCTAAACCTAATATAAGTAGCTTGACCAATCCCTAAAACCAATCTGAATAAGAAATTTACAGTGAAGCAAGAAGCAACTCAAACCTTTAACAAACATTTCACAGCTTGTTCGAGGGAACAACGTGCAGGTTCCCCAACTTCGGCCGGCGGAGTTCGAGACCGTTGTAGGATACGGTGGCACTCTACGAAGAAACAAACAGCCGCACCCCAAAATCCAATTTTCGGAACTCAGTGAACGGAAAGCAGTGATGGTCGTCTAAGAAGAAATGAAGATGAGGGACCGAAAACCCAATTGTAAGAATGCAGTGAGCGGACCATCTACTTGCCATGGTAGCAGCGCTAGTGGTGTAGGTGGCGTCGAGCGCGAGACACACCGGCCTTTTCTCTTCTTCTCCTGGGTTAATTCAGCACCTGCAGAACCTCTCTTCGCTACTTCCGCCAAGAACAGATGGAAGAGTTGAGCTGGAAAGGGGAATTTTGATCGAAATGGCAAGACAACTACTTCCCTTCTCGTGTTTGCGATTCACACGAGATGGACAGGCTTGGTCTCGTTGGGCTAATATCTACAAGGCAAACAACATTTCCTAAGAAGTTTAATGACTTTTATGTGGGTTTGAATCAAGTCAGTATTGATCCCAAGATCACAATACCACCAGACCTGGCTCATCTTTCACCAGAGCAACAGCACTTTGCATTGATCCTTGCAGCAGCTTTTGAGCCTTCTTGCTATGCAGAAGCAGCTCAGGATTCCAGGTGGAATGCAGCCATGATTGAAGAGTTAAAAGCTCTCTTTGATAATGATACTTGGGACATTACTGACTTGCCAGGGGGAGTTAAGGCAATTGGGTGCAGATGGGTTTTCAGGATTAAATACAATCCAGATGGTTCAATTGAAAGATTTAAAGCGCGTTTAGTAGCAAAAGGATATACACAAATCTATGGTATTGACTATTGTGATACCTTTTCTCCTGTAGCAAAGTTGACCTCAGTAAAAATGTTGTTAGCTGTGGCATCTGTTAACAGTTGGCACTTACATCAAATGGATGTTAACAATGCCTTTTTGAATGGAGAATTAGAGGAAGATGTGTATATGGAATTACCTGAGGGAATGAGAGACAAACCTGAGTATAAGGGGAAGGTGTGTAAGTTGAAGAAATCACTTTATGGATTAAAGCAAGCTAGCAGAATGTGGTATGCTAAGCTAACTGATTCATTACTGGCTAATGGTTTTAGACAGTCTAAATCAGATTATTCAATCTTCTTGACTGATATAAAAGGACATCTTGTTATCCTTATTGTTTATGTGGATGATATTGTTGTTGGAAGTGAGGATCTGGATGCTGTTAAAACTGTGAAGAACATGTTAAAGTCTTTGTTCAAGATGAAGGACTTGGGGGAATTGCAGTATTTCCTTGGTTTAGAAGTTAACAGAACAGCAGATGGAATTCATGTGTCACAAAGAAAATATTGCACTGAGTTGTTAAAAGAAGCAGGCTTTGATGAGTGCAAACCTGCAAAGACACCTTCGAGTGTTAAACAAGTGCTTTCAGCTGCAGATGGTGATCCTTTTCTGGACATCAGTAAATACAAGCATCTGCTAGGGCAGTTGCAGTATTTGACAAGCACAAGGCCTGACATTAGCTTTGCTGTTCAGCAACTATGTCAGTTCCAGGACTCTCCAACTTCAGTGCATTACAAGGCTCTACAAAGGGTTTTTAGATACCTGAGCAGTTCACCAGGACAAGGTTTATTTTACCCTAAGAATTCTGCTATTCAGTTGACAGGTTATAGTGATTCTGATTGGGCTACATGTCCAGATTCAAGGAGATCACTAACAGGGTTTTGTGTGTTCTTGGGAACTAGTTTGATTAGTTGGAAAACAAAGAAACAGAGTACAGTTTCTAGATCCTCTTCAGAGGCAGAGTACAGAGCCTTGGCTCAGCTGAGTTGTGAGTTGCAATGGCTGATGAGGTTGCTTTCAGACTTTGGAGTAAAGCATTCCCAACCAGCCATGGTGTTTTGTGACAACCAATCAGCAATACATATTGCTAGGAATCCAGTCTTTCATGAAAGAACAAAGCACATTGAGGTAGACTGCCATGTTATTCGTGAAAGACTGATGAATGGATTGATTGATTTGAAGCATGTTTCAACAAACTTCCAACTTGCAGACATCTTTACCAAGAGCCTTGGTATTGATCGTTTCAATATGTTGATGGACAAGCTGGGAGTTTCTGCACGATCCTCGCCAGCTTGTGGGGGGGGGGGGGTAATGGAGATATGAATCAGAAGCAGTAGCAGCTGAAGCTTGAATGAAGAACTTGTCCTGAGTCTGCTACTGCTGATGGAAGCTGCACACGAAGAACACAAGCCCAGAAGAAACGGTGGCGTTTTGCTTTAATCCAGGAACTGCTTTGGAGCAAAACGCAGTCGTCTCCTCTAAAGAAGAAAGAGATGCGCCAACACGACGCCGTCCTTCTTAGTTGTCTGTCGTAGCGATTTGGTTTGTGTCTTGCGGACACATGTTGTTTTGTTATTGGTTCGTTTTCAATTGTTAGTTAATTACTGTAGATTAGCCGTTAAGTGTTCTGGGTTTGTAAAGGTTGCTGGGTATATAAATGAGAAATCGAAAATGAAGATCTCAAGGTTTTGAGACCCTTCACCAAAAACCTAGCCGCTTTCTTCTTTTCTTCTCAGGAGCCCAAGATACTCACTTACACTTTATGTAAACAAGCCCACTGCAATTCCTTTCTTCGGCCTTCACACTTGCTAGAGTTTAATTATAACAAACAGAACCAATTCACTTACCCTATAGTATACTCACCGTTTCACCAACACAACACAACCTTTCGAGTGTTGCCAGAGGGTCAGCAGGACCTTTAGGGTGGCTAGGGATGGCAATGGGTCGGGTTGAGTCGGGTTTAGCCAAATCCAAACTCATGGGTTTATCCTTGAAAAAAATCCGGGGTAAAACTCACTGGGTTTCAAAAACTCAAACCCAACCCAACCCGCTGGGTATCCGCGGGTTTTTGTCATAAAAAATTCACAATAACAAATTCCTTTCAAAATTAAAGTCAAATATCAATCTCTCAATACAAATTATCCATATATAAAACACCATCCTAGAAAATTCAAGCAAATCACAAATTAACAATACAAATTGTTCAACACCAACCTAGAAAACTCAAGAAAATTCAAGCAAATCACAAATTATCTATAAATAACATGATTAATTGAAAGCTTCTTCCTTTCAATTAAGTTTTTCACTCCACTCGATAACATCAATTTCATTCTACATAACTAGAAAGAAAAAATTAGACATGTCTCCACAAAAATAAATAAGATTAGTTGTTTAGAATATTAAATATACCGAGAAAATTAATTGTATGAGTGTGGGCGGGTACCCATGGGTTGGGTTTACCTAAACCCAAACCCAACCCAACCCGGTCAATAGTGAACGAGTTTAAATACAAACCCGACCCAAAACCCGTCAACACGGATTTCACCCGCGTTGACCGGGTTGGGTCGGGTGGGTATCCGTGGGTTCGGGTTTTGTTGCCATCCCTAAGGGTGGCCAAGGTCATTTGTCGTCGTTGGGGGGGGGGGGGGGGAGGGGAGGAGAGGAGAGGGGAGTTAGTCTACGTCAGTGGTTTGATCCGGCTACCTGTAGGGCCATAAGGGCTATCCCTTTCCCTCGTCAGGCTGTAAAGGATAAACTAATATGGCATGCCACGTAGGATGGGATTTTCACGGTAAAATCTTCCTATCACCTTGCGGTCTCCCTTGACAAATGCTCTGGCCGGTGGCATGACACTGTTAGCTGGATGGATAAGAGTAGTTGGATCCGTTTGTGGGATGCCAATATTCCGCCGAAGCTGAAAATATTTGCCTGACAAATCTTTAATCGCATCCTGCCGACTATGGAGGCCCTTGTCGAGAGGAAGGTGTCGGTGCTGCCACGGTGTCCGGTTTGCTGGGGTGAGCTGGAATCCTTGGAGCATTTGTTCCTTTACTGCCCAGTGGCTCGAGCCGTGTGGGATTATTCCGGGTTGGAGTACCTGGGTCAGGAGTTACCTAGGCATACTTTCCCCCTTTTTCTAAAGCGGTTAATGTCCCTTAATCACCAACCTTCTCTGTTCATGGCCGTGATTGTCATCCTCTGTCGGATTTGGAAGTCCCGTAACTAGGTAGTCTTTGAGGGGAAGCAGTTTGGGTTCTTGCCTCTAATGCGCCAGTTTCATCAGCAATATGACGAGTGGACGCGACTACCAGTAGATCCTTCCCCAATTGTGGCAGCGGCTGCCTCGCAGCACCTTCTGGCCCCCCAGGGGGAATCTGAGGTTGTTTGTCGGTGAGATGGGGCGACTAGAACTGGTTCCCATTCTGCGGGTGGTATGTTGTGTTGAGTTCAGAGGGTGGGGTCCTTGTGGCTAAGGGGGTCCAGTTCCAGATTATTAATGACCCTTTAGTGGTTGAGGTTCTTGCGTTGCGGGAGGCAGTGTTGTGGTGTCTGGCTCAAGGGTTCAGTGAGGTTCGTTTTGAAGGGAATGCTAAGGTGATTATTGATAAGATTCAGCAATCGGAGGTTAGGGATAGCATGATGGGGGTTGTTCTTCACGAGGTGGTGCAATTGTTTGCCCTTCATCCGGGATTGAGTATTCGATTTGTAGGTCGGCGTAGTAATAGCCCATTTGATGGCTAGAAAGACCCTTTCTTTGTACCCGACTGCGTGTCGTTTTTTTTACTTTCAGGCCTGGCTGAATTCCAGGATGTAACTATCTCTTGCTTATGATCAATATATATATCTTTTGTTAAAAAAAACACAGCCTTTGTTTTCTTTCGTTTTCGATCAATGAGTCCCCTGCAAATTTAATTCAAGAACAGGGTGTTGAAACAAAAAAGCTAAACACAAACTGTAAACAGGACACCGGATTTTTACGTGGTTTCCAACGTTGGAAGAAAGAGTATTCCAATGTTGACTAGTCCACGGTCGGATCCACGCTATCATCGCTTCTCCGACGATTCACTAAAGATTTGATATGAAGTACTTCGAAGTTACAATAAGAACTCTCAACCCGGAACGATCAGCTCCGCGCTTGATCGAACCCTTTTGAATCACTCTCTCTGAAACTACCCAGTTAACAAAGAAACCCTTATACAACCCTGTATCAAAACACTCGGAAGTCTCCCCGATCTCCCGACCGACTTTTATCTCAAACTAGAATCACTTGCACACTCAAATGCCCTTTGGTCTTGTCCGTTCTAAAAGTCTGTCTCATCCTTAGGGGATGGTTCTCGATTGCTGAGTTGGCAAAACTCCAATTTACTCTCGTGTATATATATATGTTTTGATACTTTTAAATTTCTATATTCGATTGTTCAATATATAAGCAATGTCGTAATTTTGGAATTTTAATCATTTGGAGTAAAAACACAAATGATGGATTCCAACTCTTCTCATCACGAGTTCTATCTATATTCCATCGACTATTTCAGTTCATTCAAGGTGTCAATCACGAACCTATATGATGGATTTGAATTTGTATGATTTTTACTATATATTGGATTCAAGTAAGACCTATTATTTTGGTCTTATGTTATTACTCCTATGTTAGATGAGATTTATTATTTTAGTCTTATATTATTACTCCTATGTTAGATGAGATTTGATAATTTACATACATATAATTTACATATATAATTTACATATGTATGATTTTCTATATATCCTGGTTAAACTGATCTCAAACAATAGGAACATTAATCCTTCACTCACTTGCTTAACCGGGCAACCGGGCCAAACCGGTTGACAACCTTACTGATGGGTGAGAATCTCCAACAAATGTCAAAATTTTGGCAGAACAAAGAAATTTTCAATAAAAGAATCTATTGTCCAACCGTGTACACAACTGTTTCTTTTCTTTTTTGGATATAGTACATAACCAATTTTTGGCTGAACCAAATCAGTGCCCGAACCGAACCAATGACTGAATCCAAAATCTTCACTATGGCAAATTCAGTATGGACACCTACCAGCTTAAACGCAGCGTATCTGACCTGGAAAGAGTGGGGGAGAGAGGAAGATGTAGAGAAAGGGAGAGGGGACTATTTGGTTTTCGTCATCTAAAGGCCAAAATTGCACATCTGCACAAACTCCATATCACCGTCAATATACTTGGTCCACAGATGCTTGTACTGGTTCATGGCAATGTCCAGCCACGGCTTCATGTTCCCATTGTAGTGAATCACCGCAGCATTCCTGATCTCATCCATGCTGATTCCAGGGTTGTAGCCAAGCCCGAGGACGTGCCACGATTTGTCCAACGACTTGGTCTTCGAGTAAAATGTGATCAAACCAGGTGGGAGAGTGCCCAACTTCCATAGACTGTGATTCTCATTCTAAAACAGGAAACAAAGAACGGGCGAACACACACACACACATTGGTAAAACATCTAACCAATAAACCGGTTCAAGCGTAAAGAAGCACAAAAAGCTTACCAAGTTCTGCCAGTGGTGATAAGTGTCTGTGCATTTCTCACGTCGCCAAGCATCCAGATCAAATATGTTCATTCCAAACGCCCAAGCGCAAGCCTTGGAATTGAAGTTGTCCCTAATCAGTGGATGTGAAAAGTTCAAGTAGTGTGAATAACGATGAAACGAACCAAAGCAAGTCTCAACAGCTCCATTCACCCGTCCATCCAAATCGATCTTCCATAACCCAGTCAAGTCTTTCTGGACAACAACATCATCATCCAGAAACAACACCTTGTGCAGCTTGGGATACAGCTCCGGCAAATAGAAGCGGAGATGATTCAACATAGACATGTACTTTGGGTTCCTGAACTTGATGTTAGTTGCATCACCACTACTACCATTCTCACCTTGATTCTTGTAGTAATAATTCTGCATATAAGAGCTTTCAAGTTGCTTCAGAACAGGGACGTACGAAGAAGTCAAGAAAGGAAAATCTTCCACAGCTTTTATCTCCACATGAGCACCTCCTTCCACGGGCCTCATCCTAAACCAGACCTTCATAGCTGCAAGATTCATCCTATCCGTAACCACATGGAAAACGTGCTTCCACGGTTCCTCTGCATTCATCACCACCGACCTCACCACCACAGAAACAGCAATCACATTATCCGAGAACAAAGCGTAGTGATACAAACTCGGGTCCTCGATTGCAGGGCTGGGCTCCTGCTCCGTGTAGTTCTCCGGATGTGCAATCCTCTCCTCCACAAGCCTCATAGCCAAGCAATGCAAGCTCTTGGGTATCGATTTGGCAGAAATGCTGCTAGCTATACCACCATTCTTCTTGGCCTTGCCCAGCTGCTCATTCACTGCAAAAATCGTGTCTTTCAGCTTCTGAATCTTTATCTGATTGTCATAGCTCTCCTTCGACTCCACTATCATCGATCGCGCGACTTTCACCTTCTCCTTCACCTCCTTCTCGAACTGCCTCAGCACCTCCTCGTCCACCGCATCCTGCCCTTGGAACGAGTAACCGGGCTTCGTGGTCAGATCCGAGAAATTCTTGGCCAAATCGTCGAACATCTTCAGCTGCTTCGAAATGTCGAGCTTCAGCTTCCTGGCGTAGGCCGCGTAAGCATTCACCAGGGTCATGTGATCAGTGGCTTGCTTGTATATCAAATCCAATCTGGTTTTCAGGGGATCCGACTTGATTGCCAAAAATGTTCGGTGCATATACGCATCCCCGCTATGAAATGACTGGTTCCAAACAACAACAATCAAAAAGCCGTACAGCAATTAAATCAAAAACCAAATTCCCACAAAAACCATCCATTAATGTACACAGTCAGTCCATTTCAGGCAAGATTCTCCCCAATCCGTAATCCTCTTTACATTCGATTCTCGCAAGCAAAATAATTGAACGATTCAACAGTCCGTGTATGAATTGATTAGAATATCATCATCATCATCAGACAGTGGTTGGTGACTTACAGAGGGGAGCTGAGAAGAAGCGGACGGATGAGTGGTGAGTATGGCGGAGAGCGTGGCGACGAAGAGAAGGGTGAACATGGCGGACAGGAAGACCCGGTAGGAGAAGAAGCTTCGGAGGCCGGCATTGACACCGCCGGATCCAAGTCCACCTCCTCCTCGGCCACCTCGAACGGCGACCGCCATGGGAATCCCGACCGACGGTGACGGCAATCTGAAATTGGGATACGGAAAGAAGTTCCGACGAGTGGAAGGCGAGATTGGGGAGATGCAGAGAAGAAGAAGAAGCTAAGAAGATCGATTATGGAGTCGGAGGAGGAGTGTATCGAGATCTAGAGAGAGTGGATCCATTTCCATTCCCATTTCCGCGTCGGTGAGGATTATTCTTCTTCTTTTTTTCCCCTTTCCCCTCTCCTCCATGATAATGATATATTACGACTGTCCTGCGTGTGTTATTTTCATCATAGAAGACGGAAATTCGGTAATTGGCGGATAGGTGTAACTAATGGTCGGTTTGATTGAATATGGGATTTGAGTGTTATATTTTTTGTTTCAAGGATTGTAAAATCGCATCGAAAGTCGTATCGAAAAAAATTAGTTGAATGATATTTTATAATGAAATTATGGTGTATTTATGGTTTGATTAATTCATACGGTTAGATATCGTTTATCGATTTAACTACTGGTATGAAATATGGTATTGTTTTCAATCCTTGATACCAGACACTAGTGCTAAATAATATGTTTGGTTGAAAAGATGTATTATTTGATTTTTTTTTCCCCTCAAATATCACCAACATGTTATTTGACAAATATTATTGTAGGGGTAGGGATGGCAATTTACCCACCCATGGGTAATTTTGCCCAAACCCAAGTAGACCCATCTATTATGGGTAGGGTTTGGGTGATGTGTGTATGGGTTTGGGGTTTGTATATGGGTTTGGGTTAGATATGGATATTATCTAAATGGGTATGGGTTGGATATGGATATCCATTTACTTGAGGGTGTCTTAACTACACATGCAAAAATTGGACTTATTTGTAAAACTTGAAAATTTTAGGTACCAAAATATAAGACCAAAAAAATTTAGGTACCAAAACGTAATTTTCCATCGATATTTTGAGGACTTATATGCAAAAAAAATTAAATTTAGGTACTAAATATGCATATCTATTAAGTTTAGGTACCAAACTGTAATTTGTATTTGGGCATGGGTACAAACCCAAATCTATTTGTTATAAACCCAACCCAACCCAAAATAAATGGGTATGGGTACAAACCCATCAAACTTTACCCATATCCATATATTTGGATTTCATACCCAACCCAATTGGGTTGGATAGTAAAATACCCATGGGTATGGGCATAATTGTCATCCCTAGTAGGGGGTATGGAAAGAAGCTCGGGCCCAATCATCATGAGTATGGAAGGAAGCCAAGAATAGGTCTCAAGGAATAAAGTACAGCCCAGAGTGAGGGCCCAACGGTAGCAAGGCCCAACACAATGGGGAGCAAGTAGCAATTTGGAGAAGTGGGTCCGACCTCTGACACTAGGCGCATAGGACAAAAGAGTGTAATGACCGAAAAATATACGGAGGGCGCAACAGATGAGGTCAGGCGCCTCAAATCTCTAAACACAGTGTTATGTGGTCGAGGCGCATGATAAGGTGAATGTACGGTGCATTGATTGTGGTGATGACGTGAGTCACGAGAGAGAAATGAGGAACTTGGCTCAAACAATTATAAAAGGGAAGGTATTCTCCAAATAATAGGTTGTTGTCTTTTTTTGTTTCAATGATGTAATCAATCCTTTTTTCATATCTAAACTAGCCTCTCATTTTTGTTATACCTTTGTCTCTTCTTTCCAATTATTCACATAATCGTCATTTGGTTGCTTCTCTTACCTTAATTATGTCTAACACCACAAAGACTTAATATGTTTCCGAAAAAGAGAAAAAAACAACACCACTACTTATAATTTATATAAACGTGACCTGATATGTCGTACAAATGCTACATGACAAATAACATGTATTGTAGCATATTATATTTGTGTGGTAATTAATTAGTTCCAAATAATAAATTTGAAAATCGCATGTAAGCACACCAATAAATAAAATAGAGATATGGTGAATGTAATTTGATGAGCGGGTTGACTGATTTTGGATTTGTTTTCTGTACGTAGTAATTTAGTTGAGTTATATTAACATATATATACATCATAAATAAAATAGCAACACATTTATGGCAACATTGTTTCCAGCCTAATTTGTGTATCAATAAACTAATCAATGTAACTGATACTATCCACTATTACTCTACTTTGGTTCCTAATAACAAGGGTTTTATCGTGCTAGTTAAGTAGGCTAATGCTCGTTTGAGCAATTAAGCCATCAACTTATAAATTTCAGCCTTTATACAAACCTCGTTGTCCTATATGTATGTTTTATATTCTAATTTCTAACCATATACTCTTTCGTTAAACAGTGGGAGAGTTGATTGTTGCTAGCCTGCAACCAAGCTTTTATTTCTTAAAAAGTCAAAGGACAGAAATCACTCAGCTCAGAAATCTGGTCTCTGGATGAGGCGAGTTGATACGAACTGTGGTAATTGAAGAGAAGGGAGTGCTAAAAGCGTTATGTATTAGTATGGACATCACGATCACATCCAGCTTCTCCATATTTATTACGATTCTGTGACTATTTTGATCTTAAATAAACGAAAGCAAGAAAGTCGTCTTTTTTTTAACTTTTCTTTTTCATACCTAAATTATCGTGATTGGATATATGTAGAGAGAGAGACAAAGCGAGATCACCACAGTGATCCTCTATGTAGTCTCTTCTTAGTTACACTGTTGTACAAAATGAGATCCTAGAAAAAGGGGAAAAAAGTACTAGCAAAGTAAACCGACCATGGCCGGAAAAAGAAGCCGAAGGAAAAAAAAAAAAATAACACATGTGATTAATCTATCCAATCTCGTGTATATACTAGTATTTTATTTTGTTTTTATTTTTGGCGCGAGGGCGGATTATGATGGGATCTGATTCATCATCAGTTAGATTTGTTCATCCCGGTGGCATCCTTGACCGATTCAACAGCTCCCTGAGCCTTGGCCTTGATCTGCCCTCCTGCTTCTTGAACCGACTCCTTTGCTGATTGTGCCGCGTCCGCCGCCCTGTCCATCATCCCGCTCGCCTTCTCCTGTGTCGTACCCCCACATCAGAATGTACGAAACGTTACAACGTACTCCGATCGAGAGTCAAAAATTAGAACGCGCGCGAATTGGCGACCATTTTACTAATAATTATCGAAAACCTGATTATAAGCAACTATTTCTCTATGGTCATCGAGAGAATGGTAGCCGAAACACTTTTATTTTATTTTATTTGTAGCGGTAAATGGGCCGGGCCGGAGGGGATGATGAGTAATTGCGTACCTGAGCTTGGCCCTTGGCCTCGCCGGCGCTGTATGACATCTTCTCGGTGTTGCTTGCCATTTATTCTTCTTCTTCTTCTTGTTACGTTTGCTTGATTTGCAGAAGAAAGATGGATGTTTTTTGGTATTGTGGTGGGCGATGAAGAAAAGTTGAGGGAAAGGGAGCTTATTTTATAGGGATGGGAGTCGGGAGATGCCGACTCAAAACTTGACGCGTGTCCGTAGATCCTGACGTGTATTGAAGCTTGCCACGTGTACGACGTCCCAGTTTGATTGGCTTGGGAACTTGTTCAAGGCAGAATGGATTTTGCATGGTGCCGGCCGGTCATCTCTTCTATTATTGGCTTACTGCTCGGAAAAAAAATGGAAAAGAAATGGACGATCAAATAGCCTTCTTTTGTGTGGTTGTGGAGTGCAAGTTAGCCATTTAACCAGGCGATCGAGGGGGCTAACCCATTTTTAACCACAATGAAATTGTACCATTTCACAGTAATAAACTAATAATATAACTCAAGTTTATGATAATTAAAACGTTCAATTTACACCACTAGAGTAAGAATTGAGTAACTCAAGTTTATGATAATTAAAAAGTTCAATTTACACCACTAGAGTAAGAATTGAGTTCAAACTGAAACTTCCATAAGTTTCTATGAAATGTCAGATTGATCTCTTTGATTTACAATTTAGAATCGAATTGATCAAGTCGAAGATTTTCATCGAGTATATTGAGATTATTTGAAATATTTTAAAATTAGCAATGTTAGAAATTCAACTGATCTTAATTTTAAGTTGAATGTATTGAGATTAGTTGAATAATTATTAGTATTTAGAATCAAATTGAATGAATAGAAATTCCAAATTAAATTCTAAATGTTCATAAATATGTCTTCAAAGATTACGATAGCAGTTTTATATGCTTTTGAAGATGTCCGGAGTGGGAAATCCTGAAACCGTTAAGGATTGAATGAAAGATAGAGGTTGTAGACTTTTTGGCAAAAGAAGTCACAAGTAGAGCGTCCCGACGGCCACCCTATGTCTCTTAGTCGACGATGAGGGGGGAGGAGGGGCCTCACTCTTAGTTTCAGGGGTTCGTTGGAGCTTTGATGTCTTCGCTTCCTCGACGAGAAGTGGTGGGCCTGATGGACGCTTACAGGCAGCACCTGGTGCTCAGTAGTGTGTTGATCCTAAGAAGAGGAAGAAGGGAGCCAACAGAGACAGGTTTTTGACTGATGATCCAAGATATGATCCTTGATTTTGGTGGTCATGCGGCCCCATATACCGTGGACATCACCTGAGTAGGATCGTGGGGGTGCTTGAGTGCGACAATGGAAGTGCAACATTGAAGATGTTAAAGCAATACAAGTGGAGTGTAGAGGGTTCTCAGGCGATGATTCAGACCACGGGTTTGTCTCACTTGAGCGGATGCACAATGCCCCATTTTGATGCTACCCTGCTAACGGCCTTCGTGGAGAGGTGGAGGTTGGACACCAACACCTTCCACATGCCATTTGAGAGAAGTCGATCATTCCACACGATTTTCACTATATTCTCCATATTCCAGTGGACGGAGCATTATTGAGGGATGACAAAAGTTAAGTTGTCATGAATAAAAATCTTATCTTCAATTTTGCATATTTTTTTCCAATTGAAACAAATATTTTTTTTGTCTAAATTACTCATTATGAGACAATTGGCCCATATTACCTTGTACATATCCTACATCTTAACAAGCTATACAGTATTATGACAAGTTGACAACTATTGAAAACTATTGTAGAGAAACAAGCAGATTAAAAGGCATGCTCGTGTATTGAGCAATTTACTCTTCATAGGGAATATATTAGAAGAAATGAAAAATAAATTGTATTAATAGAAAATAAATGTAAAACTTCCTGATACATTAGAATTATCAGGTTAACATATAAGATCCAGGAAAATCACCTGGTACAAGTGCTCATCGAACCACAATTTTTTTCCTTCAAAAGATGTGAAATTCATAAAGGAAAAAAATAAAAATAAAAAATAAATTGAACAAATGTCACAAGCCACAGTTATATACTTATATATACATAAACAATTGACCTTAACTCATAATCATAACCCCAATACAACATTTTTTTTCATATAAATTCACAATTTGAAATCAAACGCGCATACAGATTTCAGTACAAAACAGACCACAAAATACATGTTTTTTTTTTAAATTTATTTCTCTTCGACGAAGTCATCCTCCTTCTCATCATCCTCACTCCAGCAACCTCTCATCAGTATAGACGTGGGTGATCCCAAACCATTCTTCCTAACAAAGTTGTGGTAACAAACAATGCCTCCACCTTCACCAATCACTTCACAGTTATTTCCCTCACAATAATACCCTTTCAAATCCATCAACCCAAACTTCATCATCATCATCCCCATCTCATCACCATCACCATCATCCACCACCGCACGATCGCAATGCAACGAAACCGAGAACTGAGCCGGCTCGAAACAACCTAAAACCCTCTCAACCAACCGGTTCAAATCCACACCCCCGAGGAAAAAATCATACCCCGCGGCTTCGAAACTCGCATAACTGAAACCCTCCTCGGGGGTCACGTGGATCGTAGAAATCGCGCCCTCTTCGAGTGCATTCATCGAGTACCCACACGGCTCGAAATCGTAATCACATATCTCGGACCCTGGAAGAATCTCCCCGATGCCCGAATTCTCGGTCATTTCAGTTCCCGACGACGAGTGAGTTTTGTAGAACACAATGGCTCTCTTCGGGTTCAAGCCAGTCATGCACATTTCAAGAGTGTAGGTAGGCGCAATGATTCCATCGTCATGATGATGATGTTGAGTACTCATAGCAGAGTAGACATGCCATTGTTGCGTGTCGTCGGGGCTGTCCATGACGCAAGCCTGGGTCTGGAGACCGAGCTGTCGATGGAAGTGGCCGTCGAGGAAAGCTACTTCCTCGGAGAAGCTCCGGTGAGGGAACAGCTGAGCTCCGGGGCACAGGAAGGTGCCCCGCGTGTACCTCACGGTGCGAACGTCGAGGGGCACGGTTTCGAGGATGACCGGGATGGAGAGCAGCAGTTTCGTCGTACCGCAGGTTTTGATGATGAGCTTGAAGGGGTAGACGAAGAGGCTCGACTCCGAGAGCACGTATGAGTCGAGGAAATCGTTCGAGAGGGAGTCGACGATGGTGCATTGTGCTGGCTCGAGGATTTTCTCCCACTGAGATTGAGATAAATCGCGGAGGTTCATCGATGATAATCCTCCGCCGCGATCATCAGAATCGAAACGAGGCTCGTGAAACGATATCTCGAGTCGTTTTTCGTAGCCTTCGAACCCGATTGCTGAGGCTGAGAACGTCATTTTTATTTTATTTTTTTTATTGTTCGGCTTGAAAGGAGGAGGAAGGAAAGAGGGAGAAATTTTGTAGAGAGTGATGAATTGAAAGAAAAGAAAAAGAAAAGAGGAAACAGAAGGTAGTAGGGGTTATGTTAGATATATGTAAACTAGTTGTGGGAACTCAAGATGGCATTCGGACGCACTGCATTGAAACAAAAGAAAACATTACAAAACGAAGGGAAATATTTTTTTTTTTTTTTTTTTTGCATAGCGAAAAATTCAATAATGAAGAAACAAGGAGAGAGATTGAGATGACTGACGTTGGAGTAAGCAGCAGAACGGAACTTCTTGATTCCACCGTGGGGTCGAAGGTCTTCAATGCTGTAACCGAGAGGTGCTTCGTAGAATATTGTTTTACTGCCGTTGGAATTCTTCTTGCCACCTTTAGCCTCCATTACTTCATACAGTCTTTTCCTACACAAATCAACACGAAGCTAGCTCATGATTGTTTGGGGTGACATACATTCGCCTGTACTATGTATGCAACATTCTAAAACGGATTTGCAAACTAGGCGAATTTCCGGCATTCCGTTAATAATTTTGTCAGAATTCATCGGACGAAGAGAACATCACCAAACATAATTAGTATTTGAAGAATTAATCCTCCATTGCGATTGACATTTGAATCATGAAATGAATTTAAAGAGATTAAGAAGCAGACATTTCCGATAGAATTCGAGATGAAAAAAAAGTATAGGAATGCATGGAGTGTAGATCACCTGTGTTTAACAAATCGAAATGTTAAACCCGCCACACTCTTCTGAAACCAACCCTCCCTTTTCTGTCTTTTTATCTGTTTCTGATTGAAGGTATCCAATTAACCCTGAAAAAAAATAAACGCATATTCAATAAATCACATAACATAAATAAGATATCCTAATCAAACACAAGAACAAGGAAAATTCTATTATTGTTGTAATCATTACCGATTGAAAAAAAATGGGACAAAATCTGGTTCGAACCCACCAATAACAGCACAAATGTTTTCTCGAAGAAGAACAATATTAACTGTTAGGAAGATGGGCTTCAGGCATTGAACACCAAGGGAGGAATTGATTTAATCGAAGGGAATTCTCAGGTGTGGTGAGATTTGGTTGTACCATCAACCATTCCTTTATACCTTCTCTAGAGGTTCATCGTTTCGTATATTGTTGAAGCATACGTCTTTTCGTATTTTGAGATTTTCTAAAAAAATATTATTGTGTTGATGTCGTGGCGGCTGCTTGACCACTAGTATTTATCATTACGTTATAATCCAATTGAGAGATTTCTGTTGTGCCAAATATGATCTGAAATGTTGTGTATAAAATGACACATCAATAAGTTATGGTGTACATAATGCATCATTTGACGATTAAAAAAAAGAAGAAGAAGATAAAGATGCATTGTTGCGACCTTGCATTTGTTGATAACATCTTTGGACCACATTATGAAAATACGTAAACAAGAACCAAGCTTGATTAGAATATGGGCCAGGTCTGAAGCGGAATGGACAGCCGATTTTTCCTTTGTAAACGACGTCGCACTGGTGTGGCGTGCTCTTCTGGCCCTTAACGGTCTCTCTCGTGTCAGAACCGGAGCCAGTGAACCAGTGGGTTAGTACTTAGTAGCTGTGTACTGAATTCGGAAAGTGAGGTTGCAAAATGAGCGCGCCCTCGCTTCCGCTCTGCTGTCGCCATGGATTCTCCTTCTCCTCCGCCGGCAAGGCGGTCAATTTGGCCTCCCCAGTTCCCTCTCGCCGGAGACAACCGAATCTAAATCGACACCTTCCAGCCTTCTCTACCGAGACACGGAGGTCGGCTACCTCACCGCTCGTCTCAACTCGGAAACCACCACCCATTACCCGCACATTGCTCTGCCACTCCACTCCCCGGCGAAAATCCGGCGCCGTACCTGCCGCAGAGAAGGTGGCCGGCGACGGTAGCTCCAAAGCCGTCCAAGTAGCGCTATGGGTTCTCGAAGGGGTTTACATTGTGTGGCTGTTTCTACTCCCTTATGCCCCCGTAAGTGATTCTTGATTCTTCCAGTTTGCGCAGGCAAGCCGTTTGTGAAATTGACTGAAAGAGGAATGCTTGATTGTTTTGATCCTTTGACAGGGTGATCCCGTGTGGGCTATTAGTTCGGAGACCGTGAATTCACTGATTGGACTTTCCCTGAATTTCTTCTTCATCTTGCCCTTCCTCAATTCTGGTATGTCGAATCTGAATTCCTTAAGTATGCATTTTCAGCAGAGCTATTGATAATGGTTGGTTGTTGATGCACTATTTCTGCAATGAACATTTTGGCAGCGCAGTCGGGATACATGTAATAGAAGCCCCCGTTCTTCACCCTGTAAGATTACATCCATCTTCCTTCAAACTGATACCAATTCCACATAGACTACTAATTCATCTACCATGGGTTTGCTTCGCTTTTGTTGGCATTGCACCAAATGCTTCTCTGTCAGATGGCTGAAGGACTATTCAACTTTGTGATTGGGTGGACGTTCATGTTCGCTCCATTGCTGTTCACGGATAACAAAAGGAATCGATACCCATGGTCTCTAGATGTGCTGTGGGGCTTCCAGATGTTCCTCACTAACAGTACGCTACCTTGTTCCCCCCCTACTGTTTCCAATGTAGTCAGAGTTTCCGGAGATAAGTGATTCATCTATCTTCGGTTTGATGGCAGCATTTCTGATACCATATATGGCAATCCGAATGAACGAGGACGATGCAGATGCTGCTCCGAGTAAGCAGTCGCAGCTAGGCAATGTAATGACACAAGGTGCACCTGTAGTTGGAGTGATCGGAGCTGCTGCTTGTCTGGTATCTGCATTATGGGCTGTTTTTGGGCGAGGGGACAGTGGTGATTTCGGGGGCATAACAGAGCGACGGGAATTCTTCGTTAGTTATCTTGGATCAGAGAGGCTGGCATATGCATTCATCTGGGATATTTGCCTGTACATCGTCTTCCAGCCTTGGTTGATTGGTGAAAATTTGCAGAATGTGGAAGAAAGCAAAGTCGATGTTGTGAAATATCTTAGATTTGTGCCAGTGGTCGGGTTGGTGGCCTATCTGCTCTTCTTGGACGCTGACAACGAAGAGCAACTCTAGCTTTAAAACAAGTGGCTGTTTCTGGACTTCAATTGAATACTGCTCCAAATCGATCTTACTCTTATCTTTGTAAAGCCCTGCAATGGGTTTCAGTTTTCCGCCGATATATGTGTAATGACATAGCCTGATGGTTCTCAATAAAACACACTTCCTTCACTTATCTGTTGTTCCTTTTAACAAAAGAAGTAGAGCTCTCTTGTTTCTGTAAATACACCTCACATGACGGCAATCAAGACAATACCCATCAATTTACAAATGCATTGACTAAATACACCCCATATACAACTGGAGAACATCAATCTGTTAGCTGCTTAGAGTCTGGCCCCTGCGCTCCTTTCTCCGTCCAAGAGTCTCGAAGTTTTTACTATGTGAACTTAAGCTGGTTTCAATCAAGCAGTGAATCACACTTTTCAGACGCAGCAATTGATGCGGTGGCATGGGCATGGCCATCATCCTCCCAATATGTAGTGTAAGAATAAATGGTGTACACTGTACACTCAGATAACTGGATGCTGTGCTCCCACTTCCACGATACAGAATAAACAACTAAGTACCCCCTTGGCTCTCCTCTGTTTTACTTATTCCCATTTGTGCAGAGTTCTGTGGGTTGAACTGCCTTAGCGTTTTTCAGGTCATACTCAAGCTTCAACTCTTTCAATCGACCTGACACCTGTTATTGAAATCCCACATATCAAAACCCAAAAATGGGATCACCAGCAGGCAGTGCAGAATTTTGACTAAGAGCAAAACCATGAAACGTATAGCAAGTGATTTCATAACCAAAGAAACACGACTATGAAAAAACAAGATAGACAGTCAACCAAAGCCGGAGCATGTGAGGAAAAAAGGAACCTTGATTGAGTAGGCCATTGGCAACAACACATCCGGATTCATGGCGTCGTCAGGGAAATTACGCAAAGCTTGCATTAGTTTCTCGAATGGCAATTTGACCTGATCACAACAAGAGGAGCCCTGTCAATTCTCAAGCTAAAGCAGACGACAATAAGCTGGAAATTACTGCACCAAAAAGCTGTTATGGGGAGTACTTACCAAGTCATCATGGCAATATTTCAACAGAGCCAAACCCACTTTGAAAACAATTTTTACACCCTGGAAACAGATTTTGAGCAAACATGTTACTTTTTTATTCCCAGTTAATATGGATAGTTGAAGAAAAGCTGCAATCACATGTTGCCAGGGGGGAGGGCTTAAAGACAACCACAAACCTCGTAAAGAAAGACATCCCAAATTCGAAGCGCCAAGTGGAACGGGAAAGAGTATGAGAACACAGTAATAAACCACTGGCTCGCGTACATGCTAGGATTCATCATTTCTCCGGAAAAATGCTCTCCAAGTTTTGGCATATGCTCTCTTACCAACTGGTCAAACTGAAATAGATATTGTTGTACAAGTGGCAGCCCAACCTACGGTAAAAAAGTATGAAACAGCTGTTCGTTATCATCTTCAAATCTAACTTATTTGGATGGCCATAAGCCCCTTTCTTTCCTTATTCCGAGAAATGAATAAAAACAATCAGTCTAGGTGTTAGAGAAGCTGTCCAATAATGTTTGCAGAACAAAAGGCATCTTGATGAAGATGCAAGATATACAGTCTAAAGTTGCTTTCACCTCAAGTCGGCAGACGCAAATAGAACCGAAATAGGAGGCATGTTAAAGGGAAAAGGGTTCTTTTTCCTCGTACAGGGGGTACCAGGCAAGGAATAACTTTGTGTTCTCTCACAGTAAATCACCCTCACCAGCCCAAATAGAGGTAAGATCACCTAGACAGAGATCTTTTGTGGAGAGAAGAACATACTAAGATTAAAGCTTCTAAGTGTATGGTGATAAGGATATGCACGAGTAAGGAGGACCTGAAATAGACCTCAGAGGTCGCGATCCCTGATTCAAATTATAACAAGAATACAATTATCACTAACATCAGCTATCAGCTCTTCTGTGGGGTAACCACATAAATGGGATCAGAACTATCGGGGAAAATGCTCAGTAAATACAATGGTAATGATGGAACTAGTAAGTTATATCAGGAGACGATGTAGAAAGTGACTAGTTGCTCAAAAACTGGTAATCTATAGTCATAAGAGTCGAAATTGATCACGCAAAAGTCTCGTAATTTCAGATCAGAGAAACAGAAACCATGTTGAAACAATAGAAAGTTCAGATATCTGATCAGTTGCTTCTACTCTGGCTTAAAAAATCTGCTTTCTACACCCCTTATCTGCTCTGAATATTTACAATAAAACATCCAACTTCCCGAAAATACAGGAGAAAGCTTTATTTGACAATGACCACAAAGTTGCGTAGGGTAACAATCAGTAGTTTGTCGGACACTTAAGTTCAAAGAACCTAAGAACACTTGTCATATGTATTGTTCATTTCAACCCTAAGAATCTGACACAATCTTTAGTTTTTGAGAAAAAGGTTCTACGCCAGTGATAAATAGGGAAGTAATAAATGAATGATCCTTGAATTATACGTTGTATACTCATTATCGGCTCACATTAGTTGATTCCCCACGTATTGAATATTAAATATTCCAACATGGACACTGAAAGGCCGCTCGAAAGGAAACCAATCCAAGCTTTCAATCAAACAACTAGATTTGGTGTATGATATAGCATATCCAATGAGCTTACTATATAGCTAATGTTATGCATAAGTAAACAGTAAGCCCTAGGTTTGAACTCCAGGAGGGTTGAACATAAACACTTTGGAATTGAGATTGAACACGACATTACCTGATATAACCCTTCCATTGGAGCATGGACAGCACCTTTTAGCAATGCAACCAATAACCAGAAGGCGTCTTCTTCACTCATATAAAGAAGCAACAAACCAGTTACGAATCCCATTCCCTACAAATTTATATCTTACTGATGTCATTTTCATTCAGTGAAAAAGCCAATTATCAAAGAAAGTATCAAGAACAAGAAATCCAACCTGAACATATCCAACATCTCTATCATAAACAGAATATGCCTTCAATACATTGTAAAGGGACCTCTGACCTGGACCGTGTCTCTGCTGGAAGAAGACGTGAGAGGGAAATGTGCGAGATATATCACGGATTATGTCCAGCTCAGATGCTGATGTCTCATATATGACTAGTTGCTGCAGAAACAAAGAAATAAATTTAATCAATGGTAACTCAGGCTTTGGACAGTAACCAATGCACAAGAAGGCTGTGTTAACGAAAGACTAATAGGAATGCAACATGAGCAAAAAAGACAAGGACAAAAAAGTAGCCCCCAACCCCACCCCATCTCAAACATTCTGGCGGAGTTTTGCAGTAATAAATTGGTCAAATTCACACTTCTGGACTAATAGCTCCCAGATCATAGATTTATCATCGCCCAGTTTAGTAAACATAGTTCCACTGAGCAAATCCAGTCTTCAAAGCCAATATGAACGTACAGTCAAGTTTAGGACAACAATTTCTCAGGAAATAAAAGATTCTGCATTCCTTTTCATCATGTTTTCCATTTCAAGATGACATTGTTTTTACAGAAACCCTGAAGCTTGCTGATAAAAGATGCCAAACAATCATAGGTCCCCAACCATTGCATCCTGCCGAACCCTTTCCAGGCTACCATCAAGAGGACTAAAGGGTTAGTAGTATACCAAGGTGCCACATTTTTTGCATATGGAATACGTAAGTTGTTTATTGTGTGGTAAGATTTTCCAGATTGAACTACCTTGGAATATTCAATGTTCTAAAGACAATGAGCATTGAGCTATCCCTGCTAAATGCAAACGTTCCTTTGAACACATCAAGCTGATTATTCAGAAACCAAGAAGACAGATAAATCCTGGTATTAATTCAGAAACTCAAGTTATATAACAAATCAAACTACAAAAGTTTGGGCAGTCAGGAGTAAGGAATCATTGAAGTGCAACGACCTAGTATTTTTAAACAGCTGAACTCATTCAAGTCATTGTATTTAAGATGGTATATGGTACTGAATATGGCGCATGGTTTAGGTATTCACAAATCAATTTAACTAATTATATCAAACAACTTAAAAACTCAGAGGTGGTTTAAAAAAACAATTCAGTTTGAGACTAATGAGATAGGAAGAAGGCGAAGTTTTACCTCATAAACCCCAGGATTCATCAGCAGAAGGTCTCGACTTCCAGAGATCAACTGCCAAACAAGACCTCTTAAACAGTCAGGAATTCCTTTCCTAATACGCCTCTTAACCACATGAGGTTTCCTCCTGACATAGCGCTTCCAGTCACTTCCTCCAACCCCGATCATCTTCCTCCATTTCCTTATCCTTCTTTCTTCGCTGTTGAATGGCAAGAGGTGTCAATTAAACATAAGAGAAATTCAACTGCTATTCATATATCACTGGAGACTAATATTTTGAAAGGAATAGCAAAAATAACTCCTAAAAGACAAACCTTCCCTTGCTCAAACTCTCGGGAGAATGGTATGCATCTTGCTTTAAACAGCTAAATCTGTCAATGAGTCTTGGTGAAGGAAGTGGCCCTGCTTCATGGTCTTCTGCACTTTTCTTTTCCATAATACAATACTAAGGAAACTCTACAGCATCAACAGGCAGAGTACACAGTTTTCGCTTCAGGGACAGCATGATGTACAAAGTGCCAAACTCTGCGAAAGTAGATAAAACTTAGTGCACTTGTTTAACGAAATTAGATCAATATGGCAAGGGAACTCCATTTCTCCCCTCATAGAAAACAAACTTTACTGCACTACATACGATAAGCTGATCTGTAACCCTTCTGGTTCAAATGAACGAGAGAGCTTACTGCAGGAAGCATTTAAAAGTGTGCATTGCAACCTCAACAAAAGGAGTCCGGAAAAAAATGCAACTTTTTCCCGAAAAGAGCGAATAAAGGTATGACTAGAGAAAACATCTAGACCTGAATCATCAAAAGAGCACAACGAAATAACATAATGTCACCAGACTATGTGTTGAAGTCGCGAGTACCCGCAGCAACAATTCCATGTGACAAAACCCAAATAACAGCAATCCGAGTAAAGTAAGCATAATTGAAACACATCCGCTGACTAGAATCTTATATGTTTAAAGTGGTCATAAACCCAGAAAATTTCAGCTTCGATACTTTGATGGGTCGATCACAAAATGAGAGCTTTCCCCACTGAATTATCAAGACCAACGAAAGGGAAAGCATAAATCCCCAAACAGAAATTAACGATTCAAATTACAGAGAGAGGGAGAGCATATAAGGAGATTATTTGCACACCTCTAAATCTCGATCCCGGAAGCGATCACCTCTTTCCAATTGCTACTGGTGGAGATTCGATTCAACACGATAGAAAGTCGCGTCGGAGGACGATGGGAAATGGCAACAAATCGAAATCAACTCAGGAGACGGCGATGGGCGGAAGTGTTAACGGAGAAGCAACGCTTCGGAGGCAGACAGGTGCGGACACCGATTCTCTTCCCCGCTGAAGTTGACGGACAGTTGCGTACTTCCACAATCGTTGCTTTGGACTTTTAATTGAGGAGTGGAGGAGCGAGATGATGAAACGCTTTGTTTGTTCGTTCTTTTCTCGAAGATTGGCTTGATGATTCACTGCGTGTGGAGGCAGCAACTGTTGGGCAGGTAGGTGGAGAAGGATTGCATGCCCTTCCACTCCAGAATCCAACCTGCTCTGGCCTCTGCTGCTACGCTCCTGGAAGGATAGCAGCGTCGGATTACGGCTCCAGAACCAGAAAAGTCGTGAATTGGGCGTCAAATATTAAAATCGAGGGCAAGGATTGGGCACAATGATTGGAGGAGCTGGCGGAAGAAAGAAGAAATTACGAGCCCAACCCAACCAACACAACTCTCCATTTTCCATTATCCATTTAACCATTTTCCACCCTGCAATATTCACGATTAACCATCATGGTTTTTTCTTTAGTAGGAAAAGGAGGGTGTTAAGATGATGATCATGTCAACAAATAAGTTTAAAATTTATTATTCCTTGAATATAATACTTTAAAATCAAACTTATTAAAGCTTCGTTTAAAAGTTGTGATTGTAAGCATTCTGTTTAATCAATGCATGTATTCTCCATAATATAGTATTTAGAAGTATCAAACAATAAAACAATGCATGGATTGTCATGTCCGGTGTCATGTCTGTTGGAAGTACCGTGAGACTATCGAACGTCTTTTCTTTAGATGTTCCTTAGCGATCAAACTTTGTTCACTAGTGGGAATGGAAGAGCTGTTTCAATCGCTCCCGAGATCCAACTTTAGTCTCTGGTAGCGTCATTTGCTGCGATCTGATCGCTCACAATCCCAAGTTCTCCAATGTGTGTGATCTTTTCTGGAGGATTTGGAAAGCTCATAATACTATGATTTTTTTTAATATTATTAACCACATATATGGGTTCTCGCTGCTCATTTTGATTTCCAAATTTGATAATTTTCTTCTACGATCCTCCCCCTTCTCGTGCTGCTCTTCGCTCCCCCCGATTGGTCTGGTGCCCCTCTCCCTCTGGTGTTTAAATATTAATTTTGATGCGATTGTTCGACTTAATGCGTGTTCTGCTGGATTAGTTATTCGAGACTCGAGTGGTTCGACTATGTTGGTGTCAGGTTTCCATCATTTCGGAATAGCCAAACCGTACATTTCATAACTTCTTGCATTTCGAGATGCAATTTCTATTGCGGTAGATCGCCAAATTGCAAGAGTGGTGATTGAAGGCGACTCAGAGGTGCTCCTCCGTCAACTCCAGAAGAGTTTCTTGTCAGATTCCTTAGGTGGGCTAGTACTTCGTGATTGTCTCCATATGGTCTTGGCCATACCTCTTGGTGTAGAGTTTAGGGCGGTTCCTAGAGTTATCAATTGAGTTGTACATATATAGAGTCACACATAAAACCCTCTCCTTCTCATTATTAGAGTTGGAATCGTTTGATTTTTTATCCTGAATATTGTTGTAGTTGGGGTTGGAAGGTTCTTATAGGGGAGGGTCCTCCTGTCTATTGTTGTTTTCTCTTGACATTTCTTGGTTAAAAAAATTAATATATGAACTTCCAAGCGACCGTAAATTAACTCATCAACCCTCTACCTAGAGGTAAATCGGTTAACCAACACAACATAACATTAAACGAAAAACTCTATTGCTTTTTTATCGACATGGCTTCCCACAAGCATTGCAAACGAGGTTAAGAACGGCCTCCTTCGACTCGGACAAATTGGAGTGCGATGTCAGCTCGACGTGCTTATAGGCCTCCTGTACGAACCTCAACAGGGGGCCGCAATTCCCGCACTTCAAGGAAACTCCCGCAATTGATCGATCCACCAATCACTAGGAACATAAGCTCCCTGGGACTTCTAAACTTTGTCTGCGACGAACAAATGCGGTAGGCTCCGGGGGGAGTTTAGAGAATTTTGGTTCTTTTTTTTTTGTCATCAGATCACTCTCAAAGAGGATAGCTCACAATAGATACACAGGAAACCAAGCTAAGGAAAAGAAGCCGTCTAAAGACTGCACACCCAGCTCAAAGTCGAACCCCTTAACATGAGAATTCGAGCTTTTTGATCTATTGGACTTGGAAGGATTCAGATCGTGAATGCCCAAACTCACATTGGAGTTGGTTTCAGGGAGGGCGAGTTCTTTTGCTTATTGGAGAGGGGAGATGTTCTTATCTTCGAAATCGATGGCGACCCTGGGAGGAGGAGAATGTTGGTCCTCCGTCTCCTCTTTATGTTTTATTTATTTTAATTTGAAGTATTGTTACTAATTAAACAGTTAATTATGAAGGTTGACTATCACATATAGAATTAACATAATTGGACGGTCAGTGATAAATCTAGAATATTAAATTAATTTTAATGACCCGAACAAAAAAAAAAAGATATTCATAAAACAATATTTTTATTGACTTTTAGTAGATCCCGTGATAAGTTCAAACTTAACAATTTACCCTTCATTCAACTCTAACATGAGCTTGAAAATATCCGACTCGCATGAAGAAAGAATGAAAACAAAACCATTTAGAAAAATCTCGAGGGACTATCAGCCGACGCGGTAAGACCCATACAAATACAATGATACAAATTACGAATCCAGCTAGTTATTTAACTCAAGTTCTGTGTTACAGCAGAAGAAGATAAGGAAAACACAGGTACTCTCCTCTCACATTTCGTAAATTATTCCTCAAATTCCACCGTATTAGGAGCTGCTTTTGAAGATCGAATCCGGCCTCGGGAACCCATTTTAGCACGGGATAGTAGTTCCTCCTCCTGCTTCTCCAGCAGCTTTGTCTCCCTTGTTCTGCGAGGCAGTATGTCTGCCTTTTCTCTGGTTTCCTATAGTCCATCTTTATATACCAAAGAGAAGAACTTGGGATTTTCCAGCGTGAAGTCGAGACCTTTGAGGAGGTATGGAGCTGCTGTGTCCCATTTTCCGTTTCCTTCAGTACAATTTTGTGGAATTAGCAAAACCCAGATAGATTCCCCGAATTGCAGGAAATTAGGGTCATTTTATAGCGAGAGCAATGGAGTTTCCCTCTTGGGGTTCTGCCCTTGTGGCAAGTCTCGTCATGGGTTTTCTTCTTGTAGCATTAGAATTGGGGCATTGGTAAAGGATAACAATGGAGGTGACCAAACTCAGTTGAAAAGAAGGAATAGGGATGTGAGAAGAAGGTTCTCGTTGAGACTGCGCCCCAGATTGCGGCTGTTGTCCATGAGGTTGAAGAGAATTCTGATTAGGTCAGCCTTGGGCAACTTCATTTTGTTTCTTCGAAAGAATCCCAAAAGGCAGGCGCTTTATGCTTCTTTTTCTGTTGCATTGGGAATGCTCTTCTTGTTTCTGAGACTGACATCCGTGCCATCTCCTAACGTTGTTCCTTATTCCGACTTGATATCGTGCATCCAAGAAGGTTCTGTTACAAAAGTTCTACTCGAAGAGGGGTCTCGTCGGATTTATTACAGCACCGAATCGCAAGTAACTGGAAGTGATCAAAGCTTGGAGGATAAGTCTCCAGTTGCTGTAGATAGTGTCACTGGTCCACAAGCATCAGGTGCTACTCGGTTAGGGAAGCTACTGAAACCTCGAGCATCGACACCTAAGTGGCAGTTTGCGACAAGGAAAATAGACCATGATGAGAAATTTCTGCTTAGTTTATTGAGAGAAAAGGGAACAACTTATAGCTCTGCTCCCCAATCGGTTTGGATGTCGATGAGGAGTTTGCTGTTAACTATTATAGCTCTATGGATTCCTTTATCACCTTTGATGTGGCTTCTGTATCGTCAACTTTCTACTGCCAATAGCCCAGCAAAGAAGCGGCGTCCAAACAATCGAACCGTCACCTTTGATGATGTGGACGGTGTTGATGCTGCTAAGACAGAGCTTGTTGAGGTAAGGATGCTCCTCTGTTGTAGTAACTGATAATTGTGAGAGCATGTGCATGTGAACGATAATGTGCTTTGGGAAATAGTATTTCATCCTTAGATTATTGCTGGGAGTATTGTTGCGTTTCTTTTCTGCTTTGCAACTGAGTTGATCCAAGGGAGACAGTATAGTTTGTATGATTCTGATGAGGGAATTTAAGGGTTCAAAGCTTCAATGTGCTCCTAAAAGATAATGGGGAATTAGTTACTCTCTTTGTGGCCATATATGGTGCTCCAATGCATGGTTGATTCTTCGGTCTATTTGTTGCATATCAATCTAAATACACAGTCGGTATATCCCTTACATCCACATTTGACTGATAGTTGGCTATAAGTTTAACTGTACTGTAACCTAGACATCGATTTTGGGTTAGTAGTTGTATAAATCTCATCACACATACTGGATAACACCTTCACCAAAACGGTTCGGCATTGTTTCTTTAGAATGCTTTATGGATATAATTGAGCTGATATTTATGCATTAGAGGATTTGGACATGCTTTTACCCTCGTGTCGCTAATTGAACGTATAATTCATTCGTGGACCTACCTCCCCGACTAATCACACGATCGTTTCTGGGAATGTGTTTGTTCACATAGTTCTTTGTTCTGGCTTTTGCCATATGTGACATGTAATTGTCAAGATTATATAATTTACATCATTTCAAGTTTATTAATTTATGTAGAAGTCTTGTTTTGTAAAGGTTCTGGGATCTCTAGTCTTTAGAAAAAATGTACTACTATTCATAGAAAAAGGGAAAATAAGAGAATTTACTGCTAATAGCTTGGGATGAAATCGACATTTGATGTATTGTCTCCTGTGGCAGCCCAGTTTGTAATTTGTATCCCTATTATCCTAGTCCAAGTCAATTTCATCACTCAGTCAGTCTGTGTTCATCGAAATTCGTTCTTTCAGATAGTCTCATGCCTTCAAGGAGCTATAAGATACCAAAAATTGGGGGCAAAGCTGCCAAGAGGAGTTCTGCTGGTTGGTCCACCTGGAACAGGAAAGACATTACTCGCTCGTGCAGTAGCAGGAGAAGCTGGAGTTCCGTTTTTCAGTGTCTCGGCCAGTGAATTTGTTGAACTGTTTGTCGGGAGAGGAGCAGCGCGCATCAGGGATCTCTTTAACGCTGCCAGAAAATCTGCTCCCTCTATCATATTCATCGATGAACTGGATGCAGTTGGTGGGAGGCGTGGTCGTAGCTTCAACGATGAACGAGATCAAACACTAAATCAGGTATAAATCTAACGCTCACTTCAATTTCTGCAACCGTTACTGTTGTTGGGTATAGCTTGAACGAATAATCTTGTAAGCCGGTGTTCTCTCCCAAGTTCTTTTTTTATAAAGTGGACCGTTCTCAGTTTATGCTTATGCATTCTCTCTGAAGGTCATAACTGAACTTCTCCACTCGCTAGTCATCATCACAATATCCTGCTCTGGGTTCGGTCTTAAATATTGTGTTTTCCTTTGCAGTTGCTTACAGAAATGGATGGATTTGAGTCAGAGATGAGAGTGGTGGTTGTGGCGGCCACCAACAGACCAGAAGCACTGGACCCTGCTCTATGTCGCCCCGGGAGGTTCTCGAGAAAGGTGTTTGTAGGGGAACCTGATGAAGAAGGGAGGAGAAAAATATTAGCCATTCATTTGAGGGACGTGCCTCTGGAAGAAGATACAGAACTCATCTGTGATCTAGTTGCTTCTTTGACTCCAGGATTAGTGGGTGCCGATCTTGCCAACATTGTTAATGAGGCTGCTTTACTTGCTGCCAGGAGAGGTGGGCTCATATATACTTTCCTTGAAGCACTTTTAACAATTCATATGCCTATAACTGATTCAAGATAACTAGTATTGTCTGTCAGTTCTAACAAGAATTTGCATTGGTTTGTGACAGGTGGTGAGACAGTGGCGAGGGAGGATGTAATGGAAGCCATCGAAAGAGCAAAGTTTGGGATTAACGATAAGAAACTGAGGCCTAGTTCAATAAGCAAGGAAATAGGGAAACTGTTCCCATGGGTGCCAACTTTGGTGGGGAAGAAACTCGATGATTTGCAAGGACCTCTAGGTTACCAGACATTGAGCTAAGTAGTTTCTTTTTCAGAGCTCTTTCTGTGATCTTGGTTCTGTATTGGCCGCAAGAGACAGAGAGAGAGTGCCTATGCTGGAAATAGGTGACCACACTGTTGGAGACAGTATCCCACCATAACTACACTGGCTACTGCAGCTGGTACTGTGATCTTGGCATTACTAGTAAATTTTAAGTAGTTTCCGATTCCTTAATATGAATGTACATATATGGTAGCTTCTTTCGAGGCCTCTTGCTTTCTTTACTTGGGACCTTCCTTCTCAGTCTTCAACTTTCCTTTACTTTTTGTCCAATTTTTCAACTTGGCGTGTTTCTGTCAAGGATTTCTCTGCCCCCATCTGTACACTCGGATTGTGGTGCATGACAGGTTTGGTCCTTCGGAGAGACTGTAACGACTTCGTTATTTGAGTGACTCACTCATCCCCATCCTCCTCTTCAGTAACAGCTGCTCGAGACTAGCTCGACTTGAGCACATAGTGTTAGTGTTGTGGTATATGATCCACGATTGAACCTCTCCCAACAACTCGAGTTATTGGGAGCAACTGGTTCTTGACATGATATCAGAGCCTTCTGTGACCGAGAGGTCTTGTGTTCGATTCCCGGTGACCCCCATTTGTTAAGCACATGGTATTCTTGTCTTCAGAGTTGTACAAACTTCAAGCCCTTGTGAGTGGCTTTCGTTTGAGGGGGCGTGTTAGTGTTGTGGTACATGATCCACGATTGAACCTCTCCCAACAACTCGAGTTATTGGGAGCAACTGGTTCTTGACACATAGCATCTGTCGTCTCTAGTTTCCCTGGTCACTGTTTCCATTGGCCAGCTCATCATTAATTTATTATTATTATTATGGAAATTCGAATTAATTTCTGTTTAGGGTTATTATTACTATTAATTGTTTCTTGTTGAAGAAGTTATTGTTTAGGAGTTGGTTAGTATTAGTTTACCGTGTTTGAGAAGGAAATGATTTACGATTTATCTATGAAAGAGTAGAAATAAGAAGGTTTTCATTGAGACTGCGCCAAAGACGTCGGTCGGTTGTTGTGTTAGACTTTGGCCATGGGGTTGAAGTGGATTATGATGAGGTGGTGGTCGGCCTTGAGAAACTCCATTTTGTTTCTTGGAAAGAATCCCAAAAGGCTGGCGCTTTGTGCTTCTTCCTCTGCTGCAGCGGGATCATCGTTTCAGAAACTGTCAGCTGTGCCATCTCCAGAAGTTGTTCCTTATTCCGACTCGATACCATGCCTCCAACATGGTTCTTCTGTTACAGAAGTATCGTCCGAAGAGGGGTCTCATCGGGTTATCTACAACACCAAATCCCAAGCAACTGTATACGATCGAAGCTCGGAGGATAAGTCTGCAGTTGCTGTAGTACAAGTGCCTAGATCCAAGTGGCAGTTTGCAACGAGGAAAACATATGACGACGAGGGATTTGTGCTTGGCCTGTCGAGAGAAAAGGGGACAACTTACGGCTCTGCAACACAATCGGGTGGAATATCCAACTGGAGTTTGCTGTTGGGTAGTGTTCTGAATACATGGATTCCTTTAGCTCCTTTTGCATGGATTCTGCATCGTCATCTTTCTGATGCCAACAGCCCTGCAAAGAAGCGGCTGCCAAATAGTTATCGAACTGTAACGTTTGCTGATGTCGACGGTGTTGATGCTGCTAAGGTGGAGCTTGTTGAGGTAAAAAGGAGTTCTTTCTGTTCACGTTATCAGTAGTTTTGAAAAGCTTTGTTGGTGCATTTGATAAGTGAAAAACGATACAGGTTGCCAAAAAGCTGCATTTCTTTGCTTCCTTCTGAGTTGTTACTGAGCTGCATTCGGGCAATCTCTGTATGTTCGGTTTCTGTTACTTGATATTTGATTTGCCAGTGAACTTGCATCCGTCGATTTCTTGATTCATGTGGGGGAGTCTGATCTCTTGTAGATGTTCTGAACTCTTGTGCAATGCATGGTTCCAGATAGTCTCATGCCTTAAAGGTGCTGCAAATTACCAAAGACTGGGGGCAAAACTGCCCAGAGGAGTTCTGCTGTGTGGTCCACCGGGTACAGGAAAGACATTGCTGGCTCGAGCACTGGCAGGAGAAGCAGGAGTTCCCTTTTTCAGCGTCTCAGCCAGTGAATTTGTGGAATTGTTTGTTGGACGAGGAGCAGCACGCGTCAGGGAACTCTTCAATGCCGCCAGGAGGTCTGCTTCGTGTATCATATTCATTGATGAACTGGATGCTGTTGGAGGAAGACGTGGGCGCAGCTTCGACGAAGAACGTGAGCAAACACTAAATCAGATATAAACTTTAACAACTCATGTATGTAAGCCATTGTTCTCTCCCAAGTTCTTATATTGAACTTGTCCACTTTGCTAACTCATCATCAACAATGTCCTGCTCCGCCGACATTTCCCACATGCAGTTGCTTACAGAAATGGATGGATTCGATTCGGATATGAGAGTGGTGGTGGTTGCAGCCACCAACAGGCCAAAATCGCTGGACCCTGCGCTATGTCGCGCATGGAGGTTCTCGAGGAAGGTGTTTGTAGGGGAACCTGATGAAGAAGGGAGGAGAAAGATATTGGCCATTCATCTGAGAGGTGTGCCCCTGGAAGAAGACGTCGGTCGCATTTGTGATCTGGTTGCTCCTCTGACTCCAGGACTTGTAGGTGCTGATCTTGCCAACATTGTCAATGAGGCTGTTTTACTTGCTGGCAGGAGAGGTGGGTTCATCTGTATATTCGCGTGGAAGAACTTTTTTTAACATTTCAAATGCCATAGGGTGAAGGAAGAATGCATATTTGTAAGAAAATGGATTCTTTTGGTTTGTCCACAGGTGGTGAGACTGTGGTGAGGGAGGATGTACTGGAAGCCATTGAAAGAGCAAAGCTGCAGATTCCCAAGCAAAAAACAAACGACAAAGCAGTTCAGGTAACTCAGGCAGATAATAGAGAAATAGAGAACCCTTTGGAGACAGGAACTGCAATTCATCCATCACTTAACTTACCAAGCCCGAAAACAGTTCGCGATCAATGATGAGAAACTGAGGCCTAGTACAATAAAGAAGGAGATACAGAGTCTCCTGTGAGTGTGGGGAAGAAATCTGATGATTTGCAAGGGACTTTAGGTTTACCAGATATTGAGCTTAGTAGTTTCCTTTTGCAGACTGATTACAGTCATCTCGGCATTATTAACAGTAAAAGTTGTAAGTTCCAGGTTCTCTAATACGAATACATCGTCCTGTTGCGCAATCTTGGTTGCTCATTGCTGTTGTTGTTCTTGTTGTTGCCATCGCCCATCGTGTTCGTGTTGTTGTCGATGTAGTTGAGATCGAAACTAGCTACGACGTCATTGTTATCTATGTCGTTGTCATCGCTCTGATTCCGATTGCCATTGTCCATCATGTCAATGTTGTCATCCATGTAGTTAAGGTCAAAACCAGCAAGGAAACTGAAACTGCAATTCTGCTAGTAGTAATCAGGTATTTACCCTTTTCTCTAATGACATCCCTTGAATCAGAATGACTAATGGATGACTAGGATCTAGGTTGTCAATTTTGCAAACCACCTAAATGGTTTGCACATTATCTTGTTTCTCAAGGCATCCCTTCTCAACTCTTCACACAGCACACCAATTTCTATGAATGTTCAGATGGGTCAAATCCAAACGGTATGAGACTTGGCCAAACCCAATGTTTGTTAAAGAAATATTGGCAAAAATCAAATTAGATATATGGTTGCAGTGGTTGGTGAAAACCATTGGGGGGTGGGGGGAGGGGGGAATGGAAGGAGTCTAAAAAAATAATGATGTTCAGTAGTTGGACATAAGTATTAACAATCCCAAATACTAAAGAGTCTCAACTTGATACACCATTGAAATTAGATAGAAACTAGAAAGAGAGTAAAGGTAATTTAAAAATAAAACTACTTTTACTTAAGTGTAGGAAAGTAAATTTCTTTTAAACCTACAAAATTTCACGATCAAAGCATACAAACAAATAACGATATTATCCAAAATAGCCCGAGTCCCATGCGAATCCTCCATATTTCTGAATTTTCCAGGCGAGCGACCCCTTGGTATTTCATAGATTTGGAGATACCAATAGGGGCTGTAAGCTTGGGTCTAGACACCAATTGAGCTGGCCCGGCCCAGCTCGATTCTGAGGGTCGGCCTGGATAAGTAAATCTATAGTGTCAGTTTCGGATCGGGTTATCTTTTATTCCTGTAAGGATCGGTTCAACTTAGGTTGCAGTCACTTTTTAGTCCTTTTTGAAGTCTTACAAGTTTAGATGCTATAACGCAAGGTAAAAAAAAAAAAATAGAGGTGCTAAATTGTAAAAAACAAACAAATGTAATTTTAAAAAACCAATTGATATGAGCTGATCCATTAACTCAACTCGATCCTAAAAAAAATTAGACAGGGCCAAGAAGGAAACACGAACAAGGAAAAACCAGTTTTATATATTGACCTTGCATATGCAGAGCCAAATAGAGTTCTTTTTTTTTTGTTAAGGATGATATATAATTAATTAACAGAGAAAAGGAAAAGGAAAAACAGGGAAAACAGGAAAAAGCAGGAACTCAGTCTCGGCGCACAGTACTAATCGGCCGGACTGAGTTGAAAAGGTCCCTCTACAAGAACAGGACAGAACGGCAACAAAAAGAAGTTCCCGAACCCCAGCAAAAAGGCAAAAAAACAGGGGACAACTGCTCCTGCGAGAAGAAATCAGACTGAGCGTGGTGGATGAGTGGCGCTATTAGGGAGCATTCTTGACCGCAGCTCATTCAACCAATGTTCAGCAGTCTCTTTATCTACCTTCTTAGCAGCAGTCAACCATCCAGAGATAGCACTTCCGATTTTAAAGACAAGTACCCGAGCAGGGCAAGCCACATCTCTGAATACTCTAGCATTCCTTTCTAGCCAAATAGACCAGCAAAAGGCGTGTAATGCGACCTTCGAACACCATTGAGCAGGGCTCTCTGGTTGTGCAGCAGGCCATCTTGTGATTCTTTCTTTGATATCGGTCGCCCCATCTACATGTAGGCTGATCTTCACGAAGGATTTCATCAGCAGCCAAACCTGCCTTGAGAATTCACAGGTGATGAAGATATGGTTGGCCGACTCCTCTTGTTTCTTGCAAAGAACGCACCGATTGGGGAGACATAATCCCTTTCTTTTGAGGTTGTCGAGTGTGAGGACTCTGTTGTGGTACACTAGCCAGATAAATAAGCAGATCTTCAGTGGAATCAAACTCTGCCATACCATCTTTGTCGGGAAATTGTTGATGCCCCTAGCTTGTGCCGCGGCTAGGTGATTTGCAGCCGAGTGAACGCTGAACCTCCCTGTGGGAGTCGCCGACCAGCATGGTCTCTCCGGTCCTGCACTAAGAATCAAAGAAGTAACAGACTCAAGAAGTTCAAATAATCTCACTCTCTCTCTCTCCGCCCCACCCCTAAGAGAATATATTAGTGGGATCTGCCACTGATGATTTCCCTCAGAATAAAAAAGATAATCCGCAATGGTGGATGATGTGGTCTCAGCCGCGGCAAATACTCTCGGGAATTCTTCCGCCAAGCGAACGCCAACTATCCAAGTGTCGAACCAAAAGGACGTGTGGAATCCACACCCCTGTTCAATGAAAGCCACCTTCCAGAATTCGTTCTTTAATCTCATGATGCTGGCCCAAGGGCTGCCCCCTATCCTGCCTTGAACATCTCCGGGAAACCAGGATGACAAATGATTGGGAAACTTAATCTCTATGAGGTTTCTCCACCAAGTTCCTCTCTCTGATGCATACCTCCAATGCCATTTAAAAAGAAGAGCCCTGTTATGGAGTTCTAAGTCCCTGATACCCAAACCTCCACGATCCTTAGAAGCCTTGCATAGATCCCACGACACGAGGTGAAGTTTCGCCTTATCCTGATTACCACACCACAGGAACTCCCTTTGAATCTTCTCTAAACTCTTGATGGTTTGTTTCGGGATCAGGTATAGAGAGCTGACATAAGTGCTTTGACTTGCGAGAACCGAGTTGATGAGAACCACCCTGCCCCCCAACGACAGATACTTTCCACGCCAACCTTCCAACCTAGCTTGGGTTCTTCTTATAAGAGAGTTCCAATGCCCATTGGGTGGGGATTGGCACCCCAATGGCACGCCTAAGTAAGTAGTTGGGAGGAAGGCCCATTCACAGCCAAACACTTCCACCAGTCTATCCATGTTAGGAACATCACCTACAGGAAATATTTTAGATTTGTCGAGGTTAACTTGCAATCCAGTGATCCCCTGAAAGCACACTAGCGCAGCTAGCATATTCCTCACTTCTGTTTCGTTTGCTTCACAAAACAGAATGGCATCATCGGCATATAATAAGTGTGTTACCTCTCCTCTTCTACCTTCTTCATCAACGCAAAACCCCGATATATGACGTGCACTGTTGATTTCGCATAAGATGAACGACAGAATGTCCATGCCAATGTTGAATAGAAGGGGAGAAAGTGAGTCTCCTTGCTTGACTCCCCGGGACATCCCAAAGAAACCGACTGATTCACCATTAATCAACACGGACAGTTTGGATGATGACATTAAACCTGCAATCCATTTTCTGAATCTGTTGTGCAACCCCAAATGAGTCAAAGCTTTGCAGATGCAGTCCCAACTTATAGAATCGAAGGCCTTTTCAATGTCTAACTTGATCACCAATCCTGGCTTCCCACTTCGTCTCCGGCTGTCTATAAGCTCATTAGCGATGAGGCAGGATTCCTGAATAACTCTTCCTTTCTTACCTGAGAACTGAAACTCAGACACGAGAGAACTCAACAGTGGTTGCAGTCGATTATATAGCACCTTGGAAATGATTTTATTAAGGCTTCCCAGCAAACTGATCGGCCGAAAATCGGACACTTTTTCCACCGGATCTTTCTTAGGCAGCAAGCAGATAAACGCGTGGGCAATAGACTGAGGAAGCGAGCCAGTGAGGAAAAAGTCATCGAAGGCCTTCAAGACGTCCAGTTTAATTATCCCCCATGCTTTCTTGAAGAATTCGATTGTGTATCCGTCGGGTCCCGGCGCTTTGCTGCCATTAAATTGGTTAACTGCTTGCCAAATCTCTAGCTCGGTGAAGGGCTTCACGAGAACTTCATTGTCCTCTATAGAGATTGATCGAGACCTATAAGTGGTCGGGAATGGACGATCTTCAACTTCTTCAATAAACTTGGACTGAGAATAATTGAGAAAGGCGACCTTAATCTCTTCTTTGTCTTCTATGGCTCTACCGTCGACGATCAATCTACAAATTTTCTTTCTTCTTCCGTTGAACTTAGCTATTTTGTGGAAATAATCCGTGTTTTTATCCCCTAATTGCAGCCAAATCTCTCTGGATCGCTGACGCCATGATATCTCCTCCATGATAAGGACTTTCTCCAGTTCAATTCTCAGCAGCCCTCTTTCAGTAAACAAAGAATCGCTCAGATCCCCCCTCTCCTCGGCTTCATCGATGATCTTGATGCTGGATAATAGTTCCGAAACTCGCCTTTCAACTCTCCCAAAGTGAAGTCTGTTCCATTGCTTGATAAGAAATTTAGTCTGCCTGGCTCTCTGTCCGAACCTAACGAGATGACTGGTTCCCGATACCGGAACTGCCCACCAACCCACCAAGTTCTGCATGAACGACTCTTCAATGAGCCACATATTCTCGAACCTCCAAGGGTGGTGTACGTGATCTTTAACGCCCCATTTTAACATGATCGGATTGTGGTCTGATTCCACTCTATCAAGTGCCAATAGAGATCCGGGAGAAACCTGATCTTCGAAACAAGGATTGACAAGAGCCCTATCAATACGAGAAGCCGATCTTGTCAATCCACCCCTGCTCCAAGTGAAGTTCGAACCCTGCAGAGGTACATCCACTAAGCTACACCTGTTGATCATGCTATTAAACTCCTCAATGATCTCGGCATCTCTAGAACATCCCACGAACTCCTCTTCAGATCTAACCATATTAAAGTCCCCTATGATGCAGAGGGCGGCCAAATATTCTTGACAAACCAACTCTAACTCTTTCATGAAATCCCGCTTTGCCTCCTTTTCTTGCGGCCCATAGACAACAACAAAGGATAATATTTCCTTGGATTCAATGATTTGGAGACGAACAGCGAGGGAGTACTTTCCTTCCCATACTGTGAGAGCCTTATATCTCGATGCATCCCAG